ACTGTGGTGGAGAGTGAGGTGGTGTGTGTCTGGGGCTGATTACTGTGTGGGAGAGTGAGGTGGTGTGTCTGGGGCTGATTACTGTGTGTGGAGAGTGAGGTGGTGTGTCTGGGGCTGATTTGTGTGGAGAGTGAGGTGGTGTTGTCTGGGGCTGATCACTGTGTGGGAGAGTGAGGTGGTGTGTCTGGGGCTGATTACTGTGTGGGAGAGTGAGGTGGTGTGTGTCTGGGGCTGACTGTGTGGAGTGAGTGGTGTGGTGTCTGGGGCTGATTACTGTGTGGGGAGAGTGAGGTGGTGTGTGTCTGGGGGCTGATTACGTGTGTGGAGAGTGAGGTGTGGTGTGTCTGGGGCTGATCACTGTGTGGAGAGTGAGGTGGTGCTGTAGGTCTGGGGGCTGATTACTGTGTGGGGAGAGTGAGGTGTGGTGTGTCTGGGGGCTGATTACTGTGTGGGGAGAGTGAGGTGGTGTGTGTCTGGGGCTGATTACTGTGTGGGAGAGTGAGGTGGTGTGTGTCTAGGGGATGATCACTGTGTGGGGAGAGTGAGGTGGTGTGTGTCTGGGGGCTGATTACTGTGTGGGGAGAGTGAGGTGGTGTGTGTCTGGGGCTGATTACTGTGTGGGAGAGTGAGGTGGTGTGTGTCTGGGGCTGATCACTGTGTGGAGAGTGAGGTGGTGTGTGTCTGGGGGCTGATTACTGTGTGGGGAGAGTGAGGTGGTGTGTGTCTGGGGGCTGATTACTGAGTGGGAGAGTGAGTTGGTGTGTGTCTGGGGGCTGATTACTGTGTGTGGAGAGTGAGGTGGTGTGTATCTGGGGCTGATTACTGTGTGTAGAGAGTGAGGTGGTGTGTGTCTGGGGCTGATTACTGTGTGGAGAGCAAGGTGGTGTGTGTCTGGGGGCTGATCACTGTGTGGGAGGAGTGAGGTGGTGTGTGTCTGGGGCTGATCACTGTGTGTGGAGAGTGAGGTGGTGTGTGTCTGGGGCTGATTACTGTGTGGGAGAGTGAGGTGGTGTGTGTCTGGGGCTGATTACTGTGTGGAGAGTGAGGTGGTGTGTGTCTGGGGCTGATCACTGTGGGGAGAGTGAGGTGGTGTGTGTCTGGGGCTGATTACTGTGTGGGAGAGTGAGGTGGTGTGTGTCTGGGGCTGATCACTGTGTGTGGAGAGTGAGGTGGTGTGTGTCTGGGGCTGATTACTGTGTAGGGAGAGTGAGGTGGTGTGTGTCTGGGGCTGATCACTGTGTGGAGAGTGAGGTGGTGTGTGTCTGGGGGCTGATTACTGTGTGGGGAGAGTGAGGTGGTGTGTGTCTGGGGCTGATTACTGGGGGGTTACTGGGGGCGGTTACTGTTGTGTGGAGAGTGAGGGTGGTGTGTGGTCTGCGGGCTGATTCACTGTTGTGGAGAGTGAGGTGGTGTGTGTCTGGGGCTTGATTACTGTGTGGGGAGAGTGAGGTGGTGTGTGTCTGAGGGCTGATCACTGTGTGGTGAGAGTGGAGGGTGGTGTTGTGTCTGGGGGCTGATCACTGTCTGTGGAGAGCTGAGGTGTGTTGTGTCTGGGGCTGAATAACTGTTTGGGGAGAGTGAGGTGTGTGTGTTGTCTGGGGGCTGATCACTGTGTGGGAGAGTGAGGTGGTGTGTGTCTGGGGGCTGATTACTGTGTTTGGGAGAGTGAGGTGGTGGTTATGTCTGGGCTGATCACTGTGTGTGGGAGATGAGGTGGTGTGTGTCTGGGGCTGATCACTGTGTGGGGAGAGTGAGGTGGTGTGTGTCTGGGGGCTGATACTGTGTGGGAGAGTGAGGTGTGTGTGTCTGGGGGCTGATTACTGTGTGGGAGAGTGAGTGGTGTGTGTCTGGGTGCCTGATTACTGTGTGTGGGAGAGTGAGGTGGTGTGTGGTCTGGGTGCTGATTCACTGACTGTGGGGGAGAGCGGAGGTGGTTGTGTGGTCTGTGGGGCTGATTACTCTGTGTGGGAAAGAGTGAGGTGGGGTGTGTCTGTGGGTCTGAATTACTGTGGGGAGAAGTGCAAGTTGGTGTGTGTCTGGGGGGGCTGATTCACTGGTGGGAGGAGTGACGGTGGTGTTGTGTCTGGGGGGGCTGATCACTGTGGTGGGAGGAGTGGGAGGTGGTGTGTGGCTGGGGGCTGAATTCAGCTGTGTGTGGATAGTGAGGTGGTTGTGTGTCTGGGGGCTGATTACTGTGTGTGGGAGAGTGGAGGTGGTGTTGGTCTGGGGCTTGATTACTGTGGTTGAGAGGTGAGGTGGTTGTGTGTCTGGGGGATGATTACAACTGTGTGGGAGAGTCGAGGTGGTGTGTGTCTGGGGGCTGATTAACTGTGTAGGGGAGAGTGAGGTGGGGTGTGTCTGGGGGCTGATTACGGGTGGTAGAGTGATGTGGTGTGTGTCCTGGGGGCTGATTACACGGTGTGGGGAGAGTGAGGTGGTGGTGGTGTCTGGGGGCTGATTACTGTGTGTGGAGAGTGAGTGGTGTGTGTCTGGGGGCTGATTACTGTGTGGGGAGAGTGAGGTGGTGTGTTGTCTGGGGGCTGATTACTGTGTGGGGAGAGTGAGGTGGTGTGTGTCTGGGGGCTGATACTGTGTGGGGAGAGTGAGGTGGTGTGTGTCTGGGGGCTGATTACTGTTTGTGGAGAGTTGAGGTGGTGTGTGTCTGGGGCTGATCCACTGATGTGGAGAGTGGGTTGGTGTGTGTCTGGGGCTGATTACTGTGTGGGGAGAGTGAGGTGGTGTGTGTCTGGGGGCTGATTACTGTGTGGGGAGAGGTGAGGTGGTGTGTGTCTGGGGCTGATTACTGTGTGGAGAGTGAGGTGGTGTGTGTCTGGGGGCGATTACTGTTGGGGAGAGTGAGGTGGTGTGTGTCTGGGGGCTGATTCCTGTGTGGGGAGGTGAGCGTGGTGTGTGTCTGGGGCTGAATTACGTGTGGGAGAGTGAGGTGGCTTGTGTGTCTGGGGGCTGACTACTGGTGTGGAGAGTGAGGTGTGTGTTGTCTGGGGGCTGTATCACTGTGTGTGGAGAGTGAGTTGGTGGGTGTGTCTGGGGGCTGATTACTGTGTGGGAGAGTGAGGTGGTGTGTGTCTGGGGGCTGATCACTGTGTGGGGAGAGTGAGGTGGTGTGTGTCTGGGGCTGATCACTGTGTGGGAGAGTGAGGTGGTGTGTGTCTGGGGGCTGATTACTGTGTGGGGAGAGTGAGGTGGTGTGTGTCTGGGGCTGATCACTGTGTGGGAGGGGAGGGTGGTGTGTGTCGGGGGCTGATCACTGTGTGGGAGAGTGAGGTGGTGTGTGTCTGGGGGCTGATTACTGTGTGGGAGAGTGAGGTGGTGTTTGTCTGGGGCTGATCACTGTGTGTGGGAGAGTGAGGTGGTGTGTGTCTGGGGGCTGATTACTGTGTGGAGAGTGAGGTGGTGTGTGTGTGGGGGCTGATTACTGAGTGGGAGAGTGAGTTGGTGTGTGTCTGGGGGCTGATTACTGTGTGTGGAGAGTGAGGTGGTGTGTGTCTGGGGCTGATTACTGTGTGGAGAGCGAGGTGGTGTGTGTCTGGGGGCTGATTACTGTGTGGGGAGAGTGAGGTGGTGTGTGTCTGGGGGCTGATTACTGTGTGTGGAGAGTGAGGTGGTGTGTGTCTGGGGTTGATTACTGTGTGGAGAGCAAGGTGGTGTGTGTCTGGGGGCTGATCACTGTGTGTGGAGAGTGAGGTGGTGTGTGTCTGGGGCTGATTACTGTGTGGAGAGCAAGGTGGTGTGTGTCTGGGGGCTGATTACTGTGTGTGGAGAGTGAGGTGGTGTGTGTCTGGGGCTGATAACTGTGTGTGGAGAGTGAGGTGGTGTGTGTCTGGGGGCTGATTACTGTGTGGGGAGAGTGAGGTGGTGTGTGTCTGGGGGCTGATTACTGTGTGTGGAGAGTGAGGTGGTGTGTGTCTGGGGCTGATTACTGTGTGGGAGAGCGAGGTGGTGTGTGTCTGGGGGCTGATTACTGTGTGGGGAGAGTGAGGTGGTGTGTGTCTGGGGGCTGATTACTGTGTGTGGAGAGTGAGGTGGTGTGTGTCTGGGGCTGATCACTGTGTGTGGAGAGTGAGGTGGTGTGTGTCTGGGGCTGATTACTGTGTGGGAGAGTGAGGTGGAGTGTCTGGGGGCTGATTACTGTGTGGGAGAGTGAGGTGGTGTGTGTCTGGGGCTGATCACTGTGTGGGGAGAGTGAGGTGGTGTGTGTCTGGGGCTGATTACTGTGTGGGGAGAGTGAGGTGGTGTGTGTCTGATTGCTGATGACTGTGTGAGGATAGTGAGGTTGTGTGTTAGTCGAGTATGTAATGCTACCCATTTTTTATATTCCTTTAATCAGTCTACACATAACGTACAGCACGCACACATGCCCCTTGCCTGCAGGGCTCTGGTGGAATATTAAAATTAATATTGTGGCCTCGAATTTTCCATTTAATCCCCGTTACAAAGACGGCCGGTGCCTTTACTGCGCAGTGATCAGGTTATGGTAGCAACAGCTCTTCAAAGTGCCTTGTGCAGACCGCATCCACAGCAAATCTTCAGGCTTGGTCAGAGCTGGAGATAAACCAGGACCATCATGTCTTGCTGTCGAGAAAGACCTTGTTTGGCCAGGGCATGGCTGAAGCAATCCGAGGAGATGAAGCCCTTTGAAACGTCCTGTCCACGGTTGATGCAAACTAATGATGTGTACAAGTGTATGTTTGTGTCTATATGTGTGTGTACCTGTGGGTTTGTGCACATGTGTTGATTTTGTTTTTGTGTATCTGTGTGTGCTTGTGAGTTTGCGGGGCTGTACATGTATATGCCTTTATCTTCGTCTGTGCAAGTGTGTCAACATCATCATTGGGGAGGCAAAGGTGACCGGGGGTGGCGCTGGAAACTCACTCTCTCGTGTACCTTGCCAGCCTTAATAAGTGCTCGCTAACAGCACTTGCTCTCCAACAGTCTGTTAAAGGCTAAATGTGTGATCTTTGTCTTTTTGTTTTCTGTAGCCGGAGGAGGAGGTGCCAGCCCTTGGTGGCCATAAATTTCGTGTGCGGACCCTCCGGAGGCCCAAGCCCTGTGGGGTGTGCCGGCAGCTTGTGTCCCAGCATGCCACCTCCTGCCGCAGTGAGTACACATCGGCCCCCTGCACTCATACCCATGCACATCCTCTCCCACCGATTGCACATGTACACACACACACATGCAGCACCATACACATACACGTGCACAACTCATTCCGCACACGCACAATACCCGTGAACAACCTAACCCGCCAATTCCACAAGTGTACAAGTACGCAACTCAATCACCCTCTTACACACATTTACCCACCCGTGTCCATTCACCCACCTACCCCCTAACCCACCCACTCAAGCACTCGCCTAACTGCCCACCCACCCTTTTCTCTCTCACCAGCCGCATGCACTCGCACTTAGATTCCCGCCCACCTGCAGATGTGGCTTCAATTATTGGGCGAGAGCCCCGCAGCGCTGGGCTGCTGGCCATGCCACGTGGGTCAGGCTTGTGGGTCGCTCTGAGGATTTTGCGGTTTTGCTCTGTCTCCGCTGCTGCCACTATTGCAGTTTGTGTGGTTCCGGAGCCAAGTGCATAAGCCTGTGTGCACAGCAGTGACGCCCTCGCAGATATTGATTCATTACAATTATTAGCGTTTTTTACAGCTTTAATATAGCACAAATTCTACCGGGCATAACAAACTTTAAGGCGTACACGTGGAGTTTAAGTGTGTACGTTATGTATGTATATTGAACTTCTTTCACACCGTATGTAGCCAACCATGCAGAGCTGAAGAGTGGTTGAAGATTGATGCAGTCCATTGCAAAGATGAGTGCCCAATGAAATAAATACCACACCGGTGCGTGCTAAGGATATAGAGATTGATATCGCAAATAGTCCAATCTATAAAACCTTCAGGAGCAGCTGAACTACCAACACAGGTCATAACATGCATCACTACTTCGTAGCGCCGTATTTGTTATTGAATGACGAATGGTTTTCTTCGCAGGCAACTTGCAGAAATTGCACGGCTGATGAATCACCGCACTGCAGGCCTTGGCACATCAATGCAAATCACAGGGCCGCGATAAGCATTTAACGCACAGCAGACGTGTGTGATTTATGCAACGCGGCTACAAATGCATGGCAGAGTTTTGATTTTAGATTGAATGAATGCATCTCACCGGCTGGTTGTCATTTAAATTTTTCATTGTCTTTATTACACAGGTTAGGCATTGTATCCTTTCTAAATTGAAAACTCATTTCTTTAGAACTGCTTTTTGTGTGTTCACTATGTTGTCCTGCTCCCCATACCTCTGATGAACACGGTTGCATATGTACGGTGTGAAAGTAGTTCAACATACATACATTGTAAATAATCAAAGAAGCACTCTCATTGTTACACATAGATAACGTTTCATCATGGTGGATTAGGAGTGATACACCTGCAAATAGAAAGTAAGGGTTATTGTTTCACAACCTCAACATTAAATGAATTAGCATCGGCATATGGGGTTTCTGGACCGGTGTTTTCCATTAGTCTTCTTTGTAGACGGTGTATATCTATGGTTTCACTATCCACAATCGACTATCATAGTACATCTATACACATTTTGTAAAGATATTGTTGTACTCCACTGAGCAGGTCCCCAAGGTGTTTGTGGATTATTCTCACCGAGAACATTGGGCAACACAGTAGTAGCATGCGTCTAACAGGCCCAACTCTGCTGTTGTAAGACATTTGTTTTTAAGGCCCTTCTTCTTTCGTATGGCTGATGTAGATGCAGAGCAACAACGACAATTTCATATTCAGGTGGTCAAGCCCAAATAACGGAGTGTATTACTGTGATGTCTCCTTTGTATTTGTGTATTGGGCATTGGGTCATTATATGTTGTACAGTCTGGTCTGGAGAACCACCACAGTCGCACACTGGAGAGTTTTTAATTTTCCATTTGTGCATCAGGTGTCTGCATCATCTGCCATGGTGTGTGCACTGGATGCGGATTAGGGTTTGTGTGTGCATGTGGCCATTGGGCAGTTGGACTGAAAAGTGTATTATTTTAGCTTATTTTTAAAGAGTAGAACAGGCCCTGTGTTTGTTATTTTTTGGACACCTTGAATCAACACATCCGGAATGTGAGCAACAACGATACATATGAAGTGGATGATGAAGCGTGTCTAAATACTATTCTTTACCTTTTTATATTAAATTAATACATTGATGTCATATGCACATCTTGTTAAATCTGTTCACTTAATCAGTGAGGCATTTCCAATGGGTACACAATCACAGCTGTGCCGTTTATTCCAACCAACCTATTATCTCCACTCATTATGTGCGGCTGAGAGCTCTAAATGACACCTAATTGTGCAGGTTAGTAGTGCACGCCCCTTGCCCGGAAGGCATGGGGGAGTTGGGTCGAGATGGCGGGCGGTGACATTAGCCGCAGAGTTCTCGGCGTCGTCCCCAGCCCACGGTCGGTGTCGGGCGGCCCCTACTGGCTGCCAGCTCCCGGGCTTCTGCAGCTCACCACTGCCAGTGAGCAGCACCGCTAACTGAGCCAAACAACCCAGTGTCCCAGCATACACCCCAGTGTGCCAGCCATGCAGCCCAGCGTCTATACAACACAGTGTCCCTTCTATGCAGACTCATGTCCCAGCCATGCAGCCCAGCATCCCAGCCATGCAGCCCAGCATCCCAGCCATGTAGCCCAACCAACTCATTAGCTCCCAGCCATGCAGTTCAGTATCCCAGCCATGTAGCCCAACCAACTCATTAGCTCCCAGCCATGCAGTTCAGTATCCCAGCCATGTAGCCCAACCAACTCATTAGCTCCCAGCCATGCAGCCCAGCATCCCAGCCATGTAGCCCAACCAACTCATTAGCTCCCAGCCATGCAGTTCAGTATCCCAGCCATGTAGCCCAACCAACTCATTAGCTCCCAGCCATGCAGTTCAGTATCCCAGCCATGTAGCCCAACCAACTCATTATCTCCCAGCCATGCAGTTCAGTATCCCAGCCATGTAGCCCAACCAACTCATTAGCTCCCAGCCATGCAGTTCAGTATCCCAGCCATGTAGCCCAACCAACTCATTATCTCCCAGCCATGCAGTTCAGTATCCCAGCCATGTAGCCCAACCAACTCATTAGCTCCCAGCCATGCAGTTCAGTATCCCAGCCATGTAGCCCAACCAACTCATTAGCTCCCAGCCATACACCCCAGTGTGCCAGCCATGTAGCCCAGCGTCCATACAACCCAGTGTCCCAGCCATAAAGCCCAGTGTCCCAACTGTACAGCCCAGTAAATATGGCTTTGCAGCCCTTGTAATGTTCACGAGGGCATGCAATGCTGTCACCTCTGGGCCCCTGGAATAGATCGATGGGCGCCCATCGAAGGACAAGAGACTAAGCGGGACATGTAAACATTGACACTGTAGCATACCTTGCATGCCTCTGTATTTGGACTTGGGAGAAACATCCGCTTGCAGTATTTGTTGTTCTGCTGACAGTTGGCTTAATGAAAGACATCTGAATAAGGTCATGATTTTTGTTACGTATTAACGGGAGAGACAACCACAGTCACATGCACTGCCAATAGCTGGTGTACAATTTTGACCTTATACGGCCCGCATTTATTTTGTAAGTGGATGAAAATGGGGCCCTGGAAATTGTAATAATTTTCCTCTGGATTGTGAGTCAGCCTTGTGGCTTGCAATAACATGAACGGTCACAGGGGTACAGTTAGGGGTCACTCTAGAATTGCATTAGGGTCCTGCAGGAAAGGGTCATTGAGGACATTGTAGCCGTTAGTGCTCTCTGACCCTTGCAGGATGCAGGCATAAACCTCTATGCAGCTTTAGCACTGGACACACCATGTTGTGTCGATATTTCTGTGGCTTTTCCAGCAACCCTTCCTTGCAGTCCTGCCTTGCAGTCCTGGTCAGGCTAACATGTCTCAAGATCCATAATAGAGGGTTTTTTTCGGTTAGATCGTGTAAATATAAATGTCGTTAACCCCGCCACCGCCTGACACATGGTTAAGGTTTGTCACGTAAACAAAACATGCCAATTCGTTATTAGTTCCAAACAAACTCTTATGGATAATATTGGTCGTAAAAGCCTACGTGTTAAACTGATCTCTCAAGATGCCTTCATAATGTCGTGAGCAGATGTGACGTGGAACAGTCTGAAAATAAGGTCAGTGGTCTTTTAACCTGTGAACAAAAATAATTCAACCAGACATAGGGTAAATCAATATTCAATATTTCCAAAGATGCACTTTTTTATTATTATAACTGTGCTATTATTATTCATTCGTTAAGTGAGATACTCTAATGGTACATTGTAATGAGCAGCCTGCAAGGATCACCAAACAGGGCTGGTGCATTCAACATCAGATTTTGCAGCCAAAACAATCCTTTTAAGGCAGAAAGCTGTACAATGGCACTCCACACGCTGCTCACTTCTCTGGAATCCGCTAGAGGGGGAGCTGAAGCACAGAACGACCCCAAACAAGGCCTGCCGCGCTCGCTGCCGCACGCTGACCTGTGGCTGGCCAGCAGGGCGGGTGGAGCAGCACTGAGGGCCGTGCGCGGTGGCCGGTGGAGTGCAGGGTGCGAATACAAAGACAGTTTCCCCATATAGCCTCAATATACTGTTGGGGCAAGTGCTGTCAGCGAGTAGCACCTATAAAGGTCGGCACGGCAATCAATGGGGTGGGTGGCCAGTACCACGCCCGGCCGCCTTTGTCTCCCAAGTAGCCAAGTTTACACACCGCATTAGGTACTCATTTTGAGGTTGAGTCGACCTAGGAGAGGCCGAGGACCTGTTCAGATAATCGTCACCGGTGTTGGTCGTGAGCGGGAATCGAACTCGTGTCGCCGGGTTCGTAGCACAGTGTGCTAACCGCTGTGCAGGGTGCACATTCACAGCCTGGAGCTCCAGGTGTCAGCCCTTCTCTAGCACCACCCTCAGCTTGCGTTTGCCAATCTCTGCTGTGTCAATATTCTTTGAGAGGTGATCCAGAAATGTAATGTGGCTCGGGCCGGGGCTGGTGCAGAGCTGTATCCTTGACCGTGGCCTGAGTGGTCAGAGACTGCAGAGTTTGTGTCGATGTCATCGCTACTGAGCAGATAACCAGAGTAGTGCTACTGTTGCCACCATTCACCGTTTTTCCAGGATCATGCTCCTTTTGAGGTAGCTGTCCTGGGAAATCTATAAGTCTTTCCGGAACATTAAAATCCCGTTTTTTTAAATATGATAATAATTCACCACTTAAAACAATTAATTCACTTATAGTTCTCCCATATTCTGGTATTGTGAGATTGTATTTTGACCATGATATATTCTGGTTTTCTTCCACCTCAGATGTGGCAACCGTAAGTGGCACCCAGAGTGCTTGCCACAGCAGCGACGCCGCGAGCAGTGTCTCCATGGTGATTATTCACTGTGGCTCTAATGTGCTTATTTGTAAGCCTTTCCATCAAAATATTAATTTTCATATCTTACTTTTTCATTGTTGCAGCCTGCAAGTTCACCTGCCACAGAAAATGTGAATCCAAGGTAAGACTGTGGAGTTTTTCATTCTATTATGTGTGCATCCATGTTCTGAGATACTGTCCTCAGGCCACGTGCGGTGGGGTAAAAGTGTGAGTACTGCCCCCTCTTCAAATTACCCTATAGGGGATCTCTCCCTGGTGGAGGCCATTGTAGCAGCAGTGGCGTAAGCAAGAAATTGCAGGGCTATGCCTTTACCTTTTCCCATTACCATGTTGTATAACATCTTGACTATCCAGTCTTGATAGCTGTCTGGAACATCTGCGATGTTCTCATTCTTAGAGCCGAGTTGTTCTACGCAGTGGAGTTAGACTATTAAAAGTTAAACTGTTTTATTTAATTTAATGTATAGCAGCTAAATAGCCTGAACGCATGTTTCTAAATGTGGAGGGTAAAAACCGGAGGACCTGGAGAAAACTCCACACGACCACAGGGAGAACATGCAAACTCCAAATATACAGGCATCAGGGTCAGGATCGAACCCACGACCTCCTGCTGACCAGGCGAGGTAGTTAACATCTCGCCACTACAAGTTAAGGGGTACCCATGGCAGAGGCAGTGGCCGTCTCCCTGGGGCCAGCGCCGGGTGTGTGAACTCAGGGTCAAACTCGGGGTCATCTTCACATCCTGTTGTGAAAAAAACTTCGCGTTTGGCAGGAAGTGAAAGGTGCGTGAGTTTGCCATTGCTCTTTACCGACAGCAAAATAAGAACCCCAGATATGAGGAAAGTGAAGTGAAACAGAATCAAGCTAATGGACCCGTCCCACCTAACGTTTCACCGTAAGACCTGTTCTACGATCGGACTGTGTATGCCAAATGAGGAAGACGAAACGCACAAATAATAACAAGCACAACATCCCCCGAGCTACAAATAAAAACAAATGAAATCTCGAGCATCAAGGAGTGTAATCAGGCTTGCTAAATATTATTTGTTTGTGTAACAATCACAAAAGTGTGTTTATTTCAGCATTGGCCTTATAAAGCCAAACAAAGCAAACTGTGTCATTGCATCGTAACCGTGGCTTCCTCCAACTAAACACACAGCGAGCCACACACGCACATATTTACTAAGCCCCTGCCTTATTCACAGTTTTTAGCAATATGAGTTTTTGTGGTGAAAAGAGAATCAAGGTGGCGTATACAGGATACATCCGAAGAGGATCAGCTGGAGACGTGACGCAGGTGATGCTACAAGGGAACATGAAAGGGAAGAGGGGGAAGAGGAAATGGATCAGTTGATGGAACAGGGTGAGACAGAGACATGGGAGACGCTGAAACACACAAACGGTGGAGGGCATCTGCCATGGGCATCAACCCTCGGCCGCGGCTATGAGGGTGACACCGGACAGCGAGATGGCAAAGAATGTGGCGACATTAATGTGCCATGGGAAATTAAGTAGTGATAAAAAAATGTTGCCCCTCATTGAATTACTTAATTGGCAGTGGTTTGTCGACGGATCCCATAAACCTGCACACGCACGGCGCACCATGAGAATAATGACGCGCCCGTGCCGTGGTGCGCCGAGCTCCCCGGGGTTATCGCAGCAGGACATGCATCTTGAGGTCATTGCAACCTCATCCATCGTGGTGCGTTTGGAAGGATCTATCAGGCGATGTCACCTCCTCCTCGTCTCCACGGCTCGCAGGCGCCTCGCCGCAGACCAGACAGGCTGGTTTGGGTTTTATTGCCACTTGCGCCACCACAACGCATCGATACCACCTGGATTTGTACCCACCTCCTGCTTCTCACGCCATCTCTTGGCCACCTGGTGCCACCCGGAGCAGGTGGACAGCCCATGGCATGGCGTTGGTTGGCTTCGGCCCTGGTGCAAGGAAAGGAATGGGACCTTCATGTTTAATGTCTACCTCCTCTATAGCTCAGCGCCTGGCCCCCCTCCGGTCCATGGGTCCTGGTGCAGTTGCACCGACTGCACATGTAATAGCTTATGCCACATGTGGACATTTTGTGTGAAAGGTTGCTTGAGCTACAGTAAATATATAAAATAACAACTTGCAAGACATGTCGACTTTACGGCTGACGTGAACGGTTTAACCGATTGGGGGAGGCGGATTCCCACAATACATCACAGTGCTAGATAACAGTCGGGCACCTGAAACAAAATATCGTCTTAAATCTCGTGTGCATTCGCGTATCGACATTCGTGTCAAGCTTAGCCATGTCTCATCCACGGTGCGGCATGTGTGTCATTTATCCTTGGGTGTCATGGGGAGTTCTGTGCACGATCTGTGCTCCTGATGAGTATTGACTCACTTAAATCCCGAGACATGCTTTGTTGCACGGTGTGCGGCTAAGTGCTCCAAATCGCTCGTAAGAGGAGCGCAGCCACGTGGCTCAGTCACCAGGGGAGAGCGCGGTGCCATGTGGTTTTGTGGCGCTGGCTGAGGCGGCCTTGCACCTGCACTTCTGGATGTGGTCGTTTGCAGCTTTCACGAAACCAATCCTGACCACTTACACTTGAGTCACTATCCTATTTGGAGCAAAATAATTTTAAAAGCACCAGTTTCCTGTCATTATTCAGTCTTGCGCATAACAAGGAAGTGGTTTAATCAACCATGGCGTGCCAACAGGCCACTTGCACGGAAGACAAAACACCTGCCCCGAGGCAGAGCCAGCGCAAGCTCGACATGGACAGGACACGAGCTTCCGTTAGCGCTCCTAGCGAACGTGGGTGTCGAGAACACTCCTGCCAGGGTCCTCATGTCCTCTTAAGCGCGCCTGGCTTTTACATTACTGCACTTTAAAAATAATTCAGACTCATCAGATTTGTTTTGAAAAATTGTAGATCTGAGAGTAGCTGGATATTGTCAAAAGTTTGAGCTCCTCATTTGGATCCCAATCGGCAAACGGACATTTCCTCTGCGTGCGCAGATTGTGCAATCACCGCGAGTTGCATTGTTTTTGCTTGCAGCCCTTTCACATCAGACATAAGGAAGACATTGATATGTCTGCTCGTTGGCCTGAAGAGCTCAGCCGGTCCGGAGGGAGAAGGCCGGGCGCGTGCACTGAAATGTAGCAGCCATGGGGGGTGGCGTGGGTGGGGGGAGGTGGTGGGTGACGATTTTGGGCAAATGGGATCTTTCATTGCCTCGCTTGGAAAACATGTTTTTTTGCTACACGAGCAGATTCTTGCTACGTGAAATAACAGGCACAATAAAACATTATTGGACTGAGTATTTTTAAATGTTGGGGTTGGGGGGGGTGCGGGGGTGGATTTGGTGATGGAGCTGATTCCAGGAAGGAGCCAGATCCAGACGGGCGATGGAGAACGCATAAGCGTCACAGTAAAAGCAAAGCAAAGGGTCAGCCAAGACATCTCGTCCGCATCGCCTTCAAATACATACTTCCCATACTTGTGAGACTTGGAAATTTAGCAGGACTCGTACTAATTTAGTGACGTCTAAGAGACGGACACAATTGATATTTATAAAAGCACCGTTGTCAGGTTAGGACCACCCCTGTGGACGAGTACTATTGCATAATAAGTACAGACACCACAGTCCGTAAAACATTCCTTTCGTCACATTTAAACATTACACTTGGCTGGAGATTGCTGTGCGTAGAGGCGCATGCGTGCCTGCCATGCCTGAGACATCCATTGAGCGCGAATGCCATGGGGTACGGGAGGGTGGCGCATCCAGCCGGCCAGCCGAGTGGACGAGCGCTCCCATTTCTACGGGAAGGAGGGGGGGGAGTGTATGGGAGGGAGGTGGCCAGATTTCTTTTTTGGGCGTGCTGCGAGCGGAGTTTTTGGCGCGTTGCTTCCCCTCTCTGTGGATAAACAAGTGTGGGGAGCTCACAGCTGGAGGGTGCTAAGGGGCTGGGCACGCTCCCCGCCACCGCTGCACGCGAATGTTTTACGCATGTCCCAGTCTTTGTGGGCAAGTGAAACGGATTCAGAAACGGAGTCGACCAGACAGAAGTGAGACTCGCCTTCCATCCCCTGTCACTGTGATTTGCTGGCCAGGCGAGGTTCCATCTGCCCCAGCTTGGTAAGTCACTTCTTGATTTTGCCGCGGAATAATGATGCAGTTTGTAGTTTTATACTTTTGTATTATTTGTTGGCGAGGTATAAATCTACGAATGTTAAGTTTATCTGCAGTGCGCTAAACCGTGCTGCACTGATTTCTTGCGGACTGAAATATGTGGCTTTTTTCTGCACTAAAGGAACTGTTCACGCTGTGATAGATTTTATGTTATAAAATTTTGGCGGCGCCGTGTGCATCGTTTGAAGTGATTGCTCAACTTGCACACATGGAAGGAAGCACACGAGGAACAAAGCAGTGTCTGCTTGAATGGGGCCAGTGTCAGCGTTGGGATGCGTCAGAGACGACCGAGTTGTTTTCTTTTCATTACGTGGCTCCACTTGTCCTATTGAACATGAAACGGACACGTGAGGAGGAGGTGAGATGAGGGCAGTGGAGGGGATATGTCTGGCTGGGAGTTGAGAATGTGGGGCCTTGGACCACGACCCCGACAGCGCAGTAGTGTGGATCACATGGCGAGCAAATTCGGTAACATCGCAGTGAAAAAAAGCTTAAATGCGCTACGGGAATGGAGTTGAATTCAACTTTAATTGTGGTTGTTTTACGCTGATGTGGGAATCTCTAAAGGTGCGATTAGGGGCGCTTGGGGATATTAGTGTTCACCAGGAGTGTGGTGACGTCGGACGTGATATTTGTTGGCGACGACCCCGAGCGTCAAGTCAAATATCAGGCAGCCGTCTCTCCGTGGTCCTCATTTGTACGCGGCACTCAATGAGGTCACCCCTTCGTTGAGCTGACACCTTGTAAATCGCACCAGTGCAGGATTAGTGTTGTTGACAAATGGATTTAGAGGAATAATTCAGTGCGATTTTCCTGCTGCTAGAGACGACTTCACTCGATGTTCACCGGGCTTAGCGCGTAGAATGTGCTGCCTCGTGATCGCGGGTGCTTTGGATCAAGGTGGCCTACGTATATGTTTTACATTTAAATTTGATGTAATTAGGGTGGAGTCCTCTTGACATTTGCAACACGAGTGGAAGAATGACAGCTTGTCAAGTACGCTAGAATCACAGGCAGCGCATCCGCACCATAGCAGTGCGAACATGATACCTGCCAAATCATCTCACCTGAAACCCCCGCAGAGGCTGGGAGCTTCGAGCTGTACGCGCCTTTGTGCTCCCGCGCTTTGTGATGCTTCAAAGACAAGGGCTGCCATCTCTGCTGCCACTTTTCCCAAATCATTTATCTGCAGTGGTCTTATAGACCACGACAGAAAGGCCGTTATGCAATGTGTGGTGGCTTTATCGTTTATCAGGTAGCCTGCAGAGAGGAATCCTGTGCACGTGGTGGAAACATTTACTCTCATTTAGCTGGGCTGACGTTTACAGATGGGCCAGCTTTGCTGGGGGTTTGGAAATAAGTTTGGACACCTCACCACCCTCTATTTGGTACTGTTACAGGCTAGAGGATCTCTCCCATACTCTAGACAGGACAGCGAATTGTTGACACTCAGATATGGTGGATCATTGTTCTCATAGACAGACCACAAAAAGGGATCTCGCACTCAGGCAGCCTGAACATCGGTGACATTCTCTGGGTCCAGCAGCTGTAGTCATGCGTTCCCACGGTCCCCCTTGTTGACACGAGGACAATAAGATCCACGGCGGGTTCAATGCAAGGAAAATCATATTCCACGTGAGCGACCTGAATGCGCACACTCGCAATACAAAGTGGTCCGTCACTGGCGCTCGCTCGCTTATTGTGCCTGAGGAACTGTAAGGTGCAAGGGGCCAGCACCTACGCACGCACAGGCCGAGCCGGCCATAGCGTGGACAGCGCGCCGGCGAGGCCCGAGCTCGGCATGTTTGCATTCCCCGCCACCCCACGCCTGGGAGCCCTTGAGCTCTGAGCATTCCTCAGATGCTTGGGTCCGATAAGGTCAGGTCGAAGGAGGCCCCCCGACAGTGTTGTTCGCGCCAACAGAAACACGTTCGAGGGCCAGCGTCGTTCAACAAGTTCCCATTCGTTTTTTGCCATAATTGTGGAAATAAATCCTTAAAACAGCCGAGCACGTTTACACGAAGTGAGATCAACTAAGAAAATACGACATGTTTCAAACACAGGCCGGCGTCAATTAGGTGGGCGCTCTTGCAAGTTGCACGGGGACGCTGTGAACACACGGGCGGCACGGCGAAACGCGGGGAGACGCGGGGAGATGATCTCGCGTCCGTCCCCGCGCCGCTTGTCACCGAAGAGTCCCTAGCAGGGAGAGGAGTCATTCTGCCGTGGTGGAGTTGCTTTATAAGTCACATGTCTGGGGAGGGAGGGGGCTCTCCCCCACCCAGTGTGTGACTCCTCACCGAGACTGTGCCCTCGAGACTTTCACGTGCCGAGTTCAAGATCAGGGACCGGTGGGTTGTCGAGTGCGTGTGTTTGACACATTCTGATTGTGCATTGTAACGTCTGCTCCAGGTGACTACACACAGCAGGTTCCTTGATCATGCAAAGCATCGCTCGGGCAATAGAGCCAAACATCGCAGTGCAGGACCTTCATGAGAAGGAACATTGAGATGCACTGAGGCTTTCTGGGTAAACAAAGCTAATTATATTATACTAAAAAGCAAGGCTGTGGTATTCTTTACCTTTATTGATACAAATTATCCTGAGTGCTTTCAAAGAGAACACCTTTGTCCTTCATGAGTAGCGTGCAATGAATAACTGAAGCTGTAGCGTGTTACAGCAGTCGTGCGTTTCTCTTAAACACAAGCTTGTGTGCACTGTACATGCCTGTGAGACAGGATCACCTTGTAAATAATTTAAAACATTGCACTCGTGAGTCCCAGCTTTGGAATTTGCAACCGGGATTGGCATTCGTCCAAAATGTTTAAAGTTCACGAAGGTAATTGCCTAACTCTCAAAACGAATTAACCGCCAGCCCATCAGCGCAGAACGTTTGCTAAAAATAAAAATTTGCGAGGCAGTGCTCCTGGTGGAAAGGTTTAGTTCCATAGCGACGGACATTTGCATAACGGGTTTTGTTTTTATATATATGGAGCGTGTTGTACGGCATGTTGTCCGACGTTTCGCTCCGCGTGCTGGGAGCTTTTGTCACTGCTTCAGTGCCAGGAGCTGAAAGCTCCTCTGGGCGGTGCAGCGCGGCACGCGGTGCGACCCGAACACGCGTCGCAGCACCGTGCAGCACGACCGCGACAACCCGCGTAGTCGTAGTCGGGCCTAAGAGAGCCACACTTCCTTCGACTTCTGGCCACGCCAACGGTGCCACTTGTTGCCAACCATTCAGGGACACACTATTTTAGCGAATGCTTTTACACGTGACTCTCACACAGTTAGTGCGCCCGATACACAAGAGAAGTAAATGTTGAAATTCGTGCACATGTACGTCGATGTTACTTGAGTGTACGTCAGCCCACGTAGCCACAGGGTCATGTTGCAACAGCCTCCTGCAGCATGTGCAGGGCAACCAGTCCACGTGGAGGGCAATCAGTCCACGTGGAGGGCAACCAGTCCACCTGGCACGCCCTGATACACTTCACAGTCTTGAGATGATGTTGTGCCGTGTGCGCCACGTGAGAATGTTTGTACGCGTTCTGGGAAATAAATTCTGTGCCACTTCTTACTCAACTTGTAATTTCCCGTGAAGCAAAGGGGAGGGCCTCGCTGGCTGGTCAGCCAGGTGCTGAAAGTTGGCGAGTGTTGGGAGGATCTCCATCTGGCCCTGTGGCCCCTTGTTCTACAGCCACAGCGGCGATCCCTGCGAACACGGGGCATGGGACTCTGCAAGATGCTGCAGGCATATTTACTGCGTAGGAAAGCAAAGTATGCGGGATTGTTGGCGTCTCTTAGATCCCATTTTTTACAATGCTGAGGGGATTGAAGAGATGCCACATATTTTTTTGTGTTTACTCGAACTCTTGTTGAGGATAATCTTAAGTAAAAATTCACAAGAATTATAGTTGCTGAATGTGAATGTGGCTCTTCAACATGTGTTTACATGGTGGGCGGGGTAAGCTGGAGGTGGGGGGGAGTTTTCGTGAGCTAGCGAGGGCCAACTGCTAAATTCTTACACCGCTGCCTCTCTGGTGCAATAAAACTACAAAGAAATAGTTGGTGTTCAGTATTTTCCAAAATGCATTAAAATTTAAGAAAAATCGCTGCAGTGTAATTTCATAATTTTCTTGACTTAAAGCTTTCGTGACTGCAGGAATTCATATTCTTTAGGTCTTTCGGTAAAGCCACGTAGATAGAAAAATAATAATAAAAATATCACGATCGCAACACAAGCAATCGTCATCAGGTGAAAAAATATAGCGAGAGAGCTGCTGAGGCAGGAAAAAAATATAGCGAGAGAGCTGCTGAGGCAGGAAAAAAATATAGCGAGAGAGCTGCTGAGGCAGGATGTTATAAAGGTTTGAGATGGGTGTAGCCCAAGGGTCATAAGCGAAGTGGGCGGGGCTAGATATTAAATTTGCATGTTAATGTAAGATCGGAGAGCTGGGAGGTGGCCATTGTATTGTGAGAGATTAGCATGTCAATGTAAGCAAAACGAACAACAATTTTACAGAAAATTTCAGGAGCATTGCCTTCAATGAATCTGAGAATGGAACGGCAGGTATCTGTGTGCACGCTGTTGTTTACATATAAAACCTGGGGGATGCAATCGCAGGATTTACGGCAAACAACAGACACTGAGCGATGAAGGTCGGCTCCGCAGCTGGGCCTGGGTCCCTGCTAATGTGCGTGTTTGTCAGCTGACCCGAGTGCCCCCTGTGCCTCGCTGTGTTGCAGGTCGTGACCCCGTGCACCCCTCCGGTTAACTACCAGTTGGTGAGTGTCTGAGCTGTGTCAGCCACACTGCGTGGGGTGGCCTTTTGAGCAGCGGGGTGGGGGGTTAAAAATAAATTAAGACTTCCAAGTTCATGCAACCAGCTGCTGTCATAGAGTCTATGGATTGAATAAAGCACCGACTACCATCTACTACCTGCATGTCAGCAAACTTAGTGGCACAGCTGCAGAGCTGCTGCTGCTGCTGCTGCACCGTTCGTTCTCTGGAAATATGTCACCGTGACCACGCGCCCCCCGCGGTGTGCGCCTGCGTCGCTTCGTCTCGGTGTTTAATGTTTGTCGAGTGTCGACGTGACCAATCGTCACGCGTTGCCGAGAATCCAGCGGAGCCGTGGCAGCATGTTCCACCCGACGCTCTTCTGCTCCCCCCCCCCCCACAGCAGAACCCCCCCCCCCACCACCAATTCACACAGGAGGCTCTTGGCGCATGACCGTCGTGTAAATTTGGAGATTTCGGCCGTCGTTGCTGAAAGCATAATAACGAATATCGGTAAATGACACTGGGAATCAATAGTGCATTAGTTTGCGGCACGTGATCATTTCAAATGTTACAATGAGGGCTGCTGTTGTCATCGAAAAATGGCAGGACGTATAAATAATAATGATAACAGTAAACATTCTTAATCATTTAAAGGGCAGCATTTAAAATATTTAATAGTGGGTTTTGTTGGATTCCGGAGCATGAAACTGCTTTACACAGGTCGGCGAAGGTTGGTGCCACAAACATGATTGCTCCCAGGTCACAGCTGCCGCATTCAGAAACTAAAACCACACTGATGACATTTCAAACAGACTCCCATACACAAACTCTCACAGAGACCCCACACAACAGCTCGGTCTTTGTTCGCCACGCCACTGTCCATGCAGCTTGCCTTGCTGTGCAATATATATTATTGCAATATGCGCAAAATTTACCACCATAATCATCGGCAGCAGCAGCCATTGTCTATCCACTGCTGGGTGAAGGCCTCCCCATGCTATCACCAACCCTAATGGTCCCTGCGATGCCACATGCAATATTTAGCTGGGCGGTGGTGGCTCTGCACATATTGTGAAACTCCCTCCCCGTGGGCGGCGAGCTGCCACATCCCTGGCTGGCAAGGAGAAAGCAGTGCAGCAGAGCGTGGACTATTACCATCTATCCCTTCTGTATGGGATCGAGTGTTGCTGCCTCGCGTACGTGGGATTGCTCGAGGTGCTTCACTCTTTACCCACATATATGAACACTCGTTAATTGACTGAAAACATTAATATATAGAGGACTGCAGAGCTTCGGAAACTGTTGGCGTCATCTCACCGCCTGGCTGCCTTCCGATGTTTCGATTAACGATCCAGGTTCCATAACGTCCCATTGCTTCTATTAACGAAACATTTTCGATGAACGACATGGTTTACGATATCACGCGGCCACCAATTTCAGCCAATCGGAGTGCTCCTAAGTGGACTCGGCAGACCTCGGCCAATCAGCGAATCTATTTTATGAGCGTTTTGAGACCAACTGGCTGATATCTTTTAAATGTTTATGAAAAACAGCTCTCTTGAATACGGTGAGGTCTCAGAATACGTGGGAGTTAGGTTCCATGTACCCCCACGTAAGTGCGAATTCGCATAAGTTGGAGTTCGCCTATACGAGTGTAGTATACAATGTAAGTGTATATAAAGTGTACATAAATGTACATGAATGCTTAATAAAGCACAGTACTGTACAGCAAATTATTCGCTCATCATCGGTAGCATCCATGTCGGATAGCACACTACATTTTTTGGACTCGTTTCTAGCGCCGGCGATACAGTTACGTGCCGTCAAATCCATGTTCACGTGATGGCAGGGGATGATTAGACTCCTCGCTTCCTGCCCCGTGCGTGTAGCGAAAGTACGAGTCACAAGTGTAAGAATGAATCGGGGTCGGCCCGCGGGCCGTACAAGGCCCGCAAAATAATTTAGTCTGGCCTTGCCAAGGCAACCGCAGGCGGGACTCGAAATTCAATCAATCTAGGAGCAAACCTGGAAAAGCAGTTGCGAGTAGCAACATCATCAACACCAGCTAACATCACACGCCTCACCAAAGAGAAGCAGTTCCAGCCATCACATTAGGGGTGAGTTAATTAAATGTTTGACCAAATATAACAGGCTAATCTTTAAGTTGATCATTTTGTATGGCCCGCGAATGATGTTACAAATATCCGAATGGCCCTTGGAAGAAAAAAGGTTCCCCACCCCTGCCTTAAGCCATCCATCTTCTGAGCCTAAGGTAAAAAAATGTTATGCTCTATTTATGCATCTTTTTTCTGCGCAATTTATTTATTATTAATCCATGTTTCTATGAATATTAATGCTTTAACATGTTCTTATAACGTTTATTTATTAAATTTGCAATCTTAAATATGATAAACTTATGTTTATAAAGTCAACTTTCTTTCGTCTTGGAACAAATTAGGCGTTTAACGTGTGTGTCCTATTTTCGATCAAAGATAATTTCAGTTAACGATGGTTTTCGTGGAACCAATTAATATCGTTAACCGAGGGACCACTGTACAACCAATACCTTGGAAAAACTTTCTCCAATTAGTGTGGCTTAATTAAGCAAAGAAAAAGCAAACTCTAAGCCCAGCGGTGGGCTTAGAGTATTCGGTTGTGGCTCAGATCAGACGCTCCACTTTTTGATTATACATTAGCGCGGGTCCATCAGCGTTGATTGACAGCTTGCCATCTCTCACCGGCCCTCGAGCCGCGTATCGGCATGTGGAGATATCTCCGTGCAATCACGCGGGGACTCCAGCCTCCTCTCCCGGCTCCGAGGCTTTTCCACGTAATATTCTCTTTAAATTTCTTCCTCATTAGCGTGGAAAAGCGGGGGGGAGCAGAGTGTCGAGGTGTGGACGGAAATGTAACATTTCCTGATTTGCGCTGACAACTTAGCAAATTACGCTTCCATTGAGTTCCATTAATGGGAACAATCACCGGCATGGAACGTACAAAAAAACACCCAGTGTGTCGCGCACGCGTGCGCAGCATAGAAATGTGCGCACCTCTGTGTTTTGTCTACGTAAAAAATTCCATGAGATGGGGTTGTTCCGCATGCAGCTGGTGCAGTGGAGGCCGCGTTAACGCTAATGCATGTCGACGTGCCCTGTGTGGGGGGAGCAGCTGCTGGCATCTGGCTCGCATCTCCACCAGCTCACCCATACATCTCCTGCCCCCCCTCCCACACTGCAGCCCCATCTCCCCCTTCCTGACCCGTACTTCTCATTCCTCGCCCATGCCCAACAACACGCTCCCTTTGCCAAATCCGCCCTCTCCCTGTCTCTCGGTGTTTTTTGTTCTCATACTTTCCCTCTCCCCCCTCCCTGTCGCCCCCCCACCCTTCCCCCCTGCCACCACCTCACAGCCCGGCGCTTCTGGCCTGCACACCGAGCATGTGAAGGCTGCCGCGGCGGTGAGTGGATTCCGCGTATTGTGTCACTGTAAGTGACACCCCCCTCCGCTCGGGGTGACGGTAAAAACATTCCATTGCCATGCGCACAAAAGCTGTTGATGTGCGAGAGTAATGTATGCCTTCCTACCAGCACGGTTGCTGTGTGTGGAATATTGAGTAACCTCTGGATATTCGCAGATCGAAGTTGGTTTCACTGGCCGTGCCTCCAATGTCACTGATTTACGAGTACGGGCAGCAGAGGCGGACATATCACGTGTGAGGGAACCACGAAGCATATAAATCGTCTCGTTGATGTGACGGGCACAGTGAGAGATTGAGAGAGGGAGAGCAACAGGCCAGGGTGAACGTGCGGCTTTTCAAAGAAGTGTTTGGCATCGCTCCTCCACAGCAGTCGCTCGCATGCCACGCTCCACGGTGCAGCGTTCCCAGAGCACGTGCGCCACTCCGCCGCTCTTCCTTTCAGATTCCTTCTGCGTGACTCCTCTGCAATCAGCGAGCTCTGTGCTGGCTGTATGCTCTCTGCCAATACAATGAGTCCCCCTTCAAGATCGTGATTTATGTGCCGAGTGGGGCTTCAAGGGGCACGGCACATTGTGAACATATGGATATGGACAGCTCACTGCAAGGGGCCCCAATGGTGAATGTCAAGCCATGGCTGGGTTGCCAGACTTCCTCCCGCTCTCCGTTTTAACTGTTTCTCTCTCACACAACCACACGTGTACACGAACACACAGACAAGTATCTTCCACATAGGCAGCTGCTGTTAGTATGTTCTAAGGTCATCAAGGTGCACTAGGGGACCAGGGTCGCTATCACCACACCTTTGTCTACCTAGTGCTGAGGCCCCAGGTACTTGTTGAAGGCTGAGTCGATCTAGGCCAGTCCCACGACATGATAGCCATGGTAGGGAATTTAATCCTGGTAGTTTGGATTGTAGGGTAGTGCGTAAAACCACTTCACCACTGCTCCCACTACACAGAGACAAACCGCTCCCACACAATTTAACAGTAAACCCATAAATAGGTTTTTTTAAAATTCACAACAATCATCTTATATCACATGTAATATGAGAATAGGTTTCCCCTTTTCTTCTGGCAACAAAACAAGTGTTAAGATGTTAAAACACCAAACTGAAACCTTTTACAAGAAATCATGTCTGCATTAACCACAATACTTGTGGTCAGAATGCAAACAAAAAAACATACTCTGATAATATATGCATTTGTTTTTATTGAAGATGCCAAAAGACGTCTAACACCGTGTTGAGACTAGGCTCAAAAGAAAGCTGTCTCTGGTGTAGACCAATCAGTTTCAAAGACAATGCATATATTATCAGAGTACGTTTTTTTTGTTCGCATTCTGACCACAAGTATTGTGGTTAATGCAGACATGATTCCTTGTTAAAGGTTTCAGTTTGGTGTTTTAACATCTTAACACCTGTTTTGTTGCCAGAAAAAGGGGAAAACCTATTCTCATATTTTGGTACTGGCAAAGGAGGTCCCATGATCACAAATAATATTTCAACAACATTTTCACGATTAGGAAAACGCTCTGCGGGAATTTACCCAGATTCTATTTCATCGTGTGCACATGTTCAGCTCCCGATGTGTTTCATAACAGTTCCCAGAAAAGTCTTGCCGAAGTATTGTGGGGTTTTTTATGCTAAAACAAATTCCATGTTTGCAGGTTTCGTCGAGCCCCACTCCCGAAGGGTGGAGCAAAATTCCATGTAAACCTCAGCAGTAAGTGAAACTCAATCATATTTAATTCTAAGGAGAGAAAGGATAAAAAAAAATGTCAAAAATAAACCAATCCTTGAGAATGTACTGAATGAGGTTCTTGTTGTAAATTATCTGTACGCTTCATCTGTACGCGGTCTCATGACCACACTGCTGACACATCTGCTTCATGGGCTGCTAATGTCGATTGCGTGGCTTGAGAAAGACTTTGATTCGTTTTGGTTTTGATTTTTAAAAAATGATTGTTTAATGTGGTATGGAAGATTTGTGTTATTACATTCGGTGGTAACAATCGTACAATGTCTATATCTGGCAAAATGATACGAATGTACAAAAAAATGTTAATTTAACAACATCCATTTTAGACACGTATGCAATGAAGAAGGGCATTTACCCGAAACGTAGCCCATTGTATATTTATTCCATTGAGGGCAATGTGATTGACGATTGTGTTGAGTTTTCGTGATATATGCTTATCGACAAGTGCCTTCCGCAGTATCACAAAAAAGCATACATTTTGGATTGACATAGTGTACTTCCAAGCAGATACAATTCAAACAGTACGCACCGCAGACAGCAACAGCACTGCACACACCTGCCCACGGGACGCTGCAGTCACAAAGGCGAGTGGCAGAGGACGCGGTCACTGCTGTGCATAGCATCGCCTTCTGCCCCCCCCACCCTCCCCCTCCTAACAGCCACTGGGGCGTGGAGTTGAGCATGGAGGGTGGCCGAGACCTGGAGCTCACCTACATTACGGAGCGCATCATCTCTCTGTGCGCCCCGACGGCCGGAGACTCGCACGCCTACCACCAGCAGATGCAGGACGTGGCGCGCATGCTGCACTCCAAGCACGCCAATGGCTACCTGGTGAGCCCCCCACACCCCCCACATGCAGGCGTGGGTACGGGGTGAGCCCCCCACTCATATAAGCCCGGTTATCTAGTGAGCGCCCCCACAAACGCACAATCGAACGTCCTGCGCGCGTAAGCTGCGGTGCTGGCCGCCGAGTCGCTGGCGTGCATTTCTAAACTTTAATGACGTGCAGAGAATTATCAGCGGGCCATGAGATGTTGCCAAAAGCACATTGCGCCGTTTTTTTGGACTACTCATCATTCATGATACATTTTTCATTCCAGGTTATAAATCTTTCGGAGAGAAGACATGACATAGAGAAGTTAAATGTGCACGTAAGTGTCAACCTGCACCTCCCACTCGCACGTTTTGTTGTTTGTTAAACTTGACCTCGGTTGACCATGTAAATGGTGCTGTTATCGGGGTGGGGGGGGGCGGTTTGCGGTTTTGAGCGGAAAATGAAACAAAGAGTTTTGGCGGTGGAGCGGAGTGGCCGCGCATGCCCCCCACCCCACGCCCGCACCTCATTGTCCTTCGGCGGCTCCAGGGAGGGGGGCAGGGTGCGCTCCAGCCCTACCGCCGCAGGGAGCTGGGCTTCCGTAGCCCGCGTCCCCGCCAGCCCCGTACTCGCTGTGGTTCTCCTCCCCTACATTGTGTTCTGGTGCGGCGTGAGGGCAATGTGAAGTCGGCGTTGAGAAAGGACCTTTAATTTCACGGTTATGTCTGCGCGGCACGGAGCAAAACTATTCCACAGACACCAGCCACACATGGACTTTTTATTCAAGGTTGTCAGTTCTCTCTGTCGAGGGCTGTCTGTGGCTTTTCATTTTATTAAACGAAAAATGCATGCAAAACTACTGCGTGGGTTTTCGCTGTTGCACTGTGTGGCGATGCGATGTGTTTCCGTGTCGTGCCGAATGTTGTTTGGCGTGGATGTCCGACGTTTTACTCGACATGCTGGGAGCTTTTTCAGGAACACGAAGCTCCCAACACGAGGAGTGAAACGTTTTCCATCAGCCTGAACAACGCACGGCACAACCCGAAACCGCACCTGAGAACTACGATGAAACGCATTCTGTATACGTGCAGTGTTGACGGGAGGGGGAGCGCGGCATGCAGCCGAGCCTGTGGGGCCATCTAAGCTCAAATGTAACTTTTTAAATGTACCAGGTAAGGCCCCGCTGCGCTACGCAGTTTGTTTTCAGAAGCAAGCTGGCCAAAAATGATAGGTCGGCTTATTGTACGGACATTTATAGCAGCCCAATGTTCTTGTCTCAGGTGAGGGATTTTGGGTGGCCCGACCTCCACGCCCCCCCACTGGACGTGCTGTGCAGCATCTGCAAGGCCATGGACTCCTGGCTGAACGCCGACCCGGCCCACGTCGTGGTCATCCACTGCAAGGCAAGAGAGCAATCGCCCTCCAGTCACGTACACATACACTCACCGTACGGAATCCCTCCTTACATAAACATATAAAGAAATAGTAAACATCGTTTACGCTCCTTTATCCATCCACTGCTGGATGAATGCCTCCGGGTGTCATGCCCATCATTTGGGTTTCTTTGACCATACTTCACCACGCTGGTTAGTCCGGTTTGGTGAAAGAGGAGGTCCAGGACTGATACAGATATAACTCGCCACTGATGTTATTTGAGGACGGGAATTTAACTCGGATTCCCGTGTTCATAGCACGCTGCGTTAACCACTGCGCCACAGCTCCGCTCGGATTTATATTACATATCTAAACGCTTATAGAATAACAAATTAATGCCATTGCTAAAGGCAACTCGGCACCCCACATGTCAGTGCGTGATAACATAGCATATGAATACATCCTGAAGTGTTACGTGATGCCATTCCGCACGCTCATCTCGCCGTGTAATTGAATGAGAGAGTATTCCGCTGTACTGTACGTGCGGCGCTCCTCGAAGGCGCAGCTCGAGGGGGCCGACGTGCGACGCGTGCCCATCGGGCGGAGCGCGCGCTGACGCTACTCGCCTGCGGTGTCTCCTGCAGGGGAACAAGTGCCGCACGGGGGTGGTGGTGGCCTCCTACATGTACTACAACGGCATCTGCGCCAGGTTGGCGCACGGCGGGCACCCACCCACCCACCGTCCCGTCGTGGGCTCACGTGCGGACATTCTTTCCCACTTACACAAACGGCCACGCTGAGCGTGGGTGCACAGCGGACACGGTGGAGGACGCGTCTCCTCGCCTGAGGCTTTGTGTGCCACGGGCATCGTTATGCGATGGATTTTGTGCGTTAACTCTTTGCAGTGCCAGCCAGGCGCTCGACCGGTACGCAATGAAGAAGTTTTACGACGACAAAGTTGCCAAGCTGTCCCAGCCGTCCCAGAGAAGGTGTGGTGGTGTGTGGTGGTGGTGGGGGGGGGGGGGAGAACACACACACACACTGCCTGAAAAGTGCTCCTGCAAATCATAACAGGGTCCGCAAACACTCCCTCCATGGACTGCTGCGTGGGTGTTCACCATTGTGCTATACAGCTTCCTGATGTGTTTTTGGGCTGCGCCACACAGCATGTTGCTCGGCGCGATGTTCTCTATGTAACACTGCACAACTGTGCGAGTCCCATACAAAGCGTCGAGCGACATGCGACACAACCTGAAACCACATCGGAGAGCTAAATTGTCATCCACGAGCTATGCTCTCAGTATTAGCTCCCCCCGCCCGGGCCTGCTGGACACGCACGCTGGAATGCTTAAATGAGTAGATAACATGGTATTGTGAGTTAATGTAATACTGCCCCAGCGGCGGTCACAAGACGACACGCTCTTGACGGTGAGCGAGGAGGGGTGGATGCTTTCGATGGTCCCTGGCGCTCTCTAATCTCGTGTGGGGCCCGTGGGAAACAGCGCACGCCGGGACGAGTTGCTTCTCGTTTTTCACTGAGCGAGTGGAGCCAAGGTATGCGTGGAGTGCATACCGTGTGTGTGGCCCCTCGCGCGCGCGTCCACCTTTGGCTGCCCTCTCAATTCTTAGGATTGAGCGAAGTTGCCTCAAGCTCGGAGAACCACACCAAAAAAATATCTCAAAACCCGTGTGAAAATCTTCCAAATGCCATATTCAATAAAGGAATTTACAGTGAAAGCATTTTGTCCACATGAGTGGATTTTAATTTTGAAACAGCCTGCCTGCTTGTGGCATGCAGAGATGTTTTGAGGCGGTTTAATGAATGCGCAGCTTGTGAATAAAGTAAATGTTTACCCAGCGTGTCCCAGATTCCCTTGCCGTCCATGAGGGAATGTGTGCCCTCCCTGCGCAGGTACGTGTCGTACTTCAGCGAGCTGCTCTCGGGCCGAGTGAAGGTGAACAACCTGCCACTCTTCCTGCACCACATCGTCATCCACGGGCTGCCCAACTTGGAGGATGATGGCGGTAAGGCACGGGCGCCGCATGGCGACTCCGTCACCTTAAACGACCGACGCAGTAAGCGTGCGGCCCGCTTCACCGCTACAGTGCGGCCGCTCCCTGGTCCTCCTCGGCAGGCTCCTCTTGAGTTGATCAATGAGGAGTGACACGCTGGATGCAGTTAGGCAGAGTGCCACTTTCGCTGACAAACAAAAATCCTGGCTTCGAGTGAAAGGGGCATGCTTAAACTGCACTAACGTGGACATGGGAATTAACTAAAGCGCCAAAACTTGTGAATTAGTGAAATTAACTTGGCTCATTCTTCCTTTGCCTAATTGAACACCCTGACAGCAGCACTGTGGCAATGGCGTGACCTTAGTCCATGGTTATCGTTCATTCCTGCCTCGTGGCCGCATCGGAGTCACGTGCGTGCGCGTATCGTGCCTTGCGCTGTTGCCGGTGCTCCGGTGACTCAGAACGGCTGGCGTTGCTGCTACGTGTGCGGTGCTACCTTCGCAAGTACATTGTTCCAGTGCATTTGTTTGACCTGATGCAAGGCAATGTCTGTTTGATGCTAAAGGGAAGGAATGTGTTTTTCTGCGCGAATAGAGTTGCTCGTCCATCTACCGGCATTTGAGGGTGGAGGCGGGGGTAAGGGCGCTCGATTGTTTTAGGAGCACTTATTTTCAGAAACGATGCATCCATCAACCTCGCATTCCGGCTGGGACTGTTTCCGCATTTCACTTTGCGGATAAAGATCACGGCACTACGGAGGCGTTTATTCTTTTGTCGGATTATATATTTTAATGTGACGAATTGTATACTCAGGGGACTTACGTGTTTTCCTGCACGAAAAATGTTAATTCTCTAAAAGTGGCCTACATCTTCTTGGTTCTTTCGGTAAAGTCACGTAGAAGGGAAATAATAAAATAATAAAAATTCAACATAATAAAATACAATTCTCACCAATTGGAGATGTAGTGGCCTACATCTCCAAATGTTTGTTTTAATGATGAGGGGGGGGCGTGCACCCAGGGGGAGGGGGGGCAGAGGGGGCGGGGGGGGCACCCTCCCTCTCTCCTCTGACCCTCACTGGGCCTGCTGTGCCAGGCCGCAGAGGCTCGGCCGTGGGACCCGGGGGTTCCTGAACAAACAGAGTATTGTGAATGCTTCCTGTTTACTCCCCAAGGCTGTCGGCCATTTCTCAAGATCTACCAGGCGGCGCAGCCGCTGCACACCTCCGCCGTCTAGTGAGTGCGCGCCGCCACCGCTCCACTGCTCACCGCCACCGCTCGTTTTGTAAACACGTCACGTCATCTGTAATGCCCTCTCACCTGTCTTTCGTACATTCATAGTTTTGCCAATGACGCCTGTTGCCTCGATGCTGATTTACTTTCACCTCCGCCAGTAACATTCCGGACAACTGCAAGAAGCTTTGCATCACGATCGAGCCCGGGCTGCCTCTGAAAGGGGACATCCTGGTACGTTCTCCGCTCTCGCTTGCAACTCACACTGCACTCTGGAGTGAGGAAAGTGTTGATGACACCTTAATCCCGTGCGGAACTCCAGTGAGAGTTCGTTACTCTTTCAGGGCGTTTTTTTTTTTTTGTTACATTACTTCAGTGCCTAGCGCGAGCTGATTCATGGTGGAAGCCGTTTGTACCCGGAGTGTGACTCCTCCGTGAGATGCGAGCGCATGCACGGCAGCAATGTTAATGAGCGGCGTTCGTCACAGCGAGGGATCTGGCTGCTATCCTGGCGCTGCGGGCACTGGGAAGGCACATGCATTCGTGGAGATTTCATCTGGCGGGCTACAGCGCTGGGTTTCCACGCGAACGATGTTGCGTTGTGATTGTACATTTTTTTCGCGTAATTTTTTTGCACGGAGAAGAGAATATAGTTGAATGACTCTAACATAAAACAAGAAACTTATTTTTTTATCGGGGCGAAATGATATCCGTTGTATGAAACGTATTAATGTTCGTGAGAAGCCAATAACTCACGTTTCTAGACCTTATCTGGTTGTTATTTGAGGCCTATCTGAGAGGGGATCAGGCTCCTGGCCGTACGTGGCCCAGCCCACAGCTCGACCCTGTGCTGCTTCTCACGACTCTGCGTGTACGAGTGTGTGTGAGTGTGTGTGAGTGTGTGTGTGAATGCCTGTGTGGGTGTGAGTGTGTGTGTGTGTCTGAATGCCTGTGTGGGTGTGAGTGTGATTGTGCGTGTGAATGCCTGTGTGGGTGTGAGTGTGAGTGTAAATGCCTGTGTGGGTGTGAGTGTGAATGGAAATGCCTGTGTGGGTGTGTGTTTGAGTTGGCACAGTAGGGGGCTCAGGTGGTGCTTCGGCCAGTCATCTCAGTGAGTCGACCCATGGTACCTGGGTTTGTCCCGTGACCTACCAGCGAGCGTTTGACACTTCAAATGGCCTTAAAGTGAACATAGTCTGGCACAAGCGCCATGGTGACGTCACCACCACTTAGTGGTGAATGGCGGTTGTTGTTGAGTGTGAGTGTGAACACCTGAGTGTGTGTGCGTGCTTGTGTGGATATGTGAATGTGAATCTAAAAGTAGTGGAAATACAATAGTTTTCATGCAGGAGGTTCCAACCAGTTGGGTATAGTGCGAGCGTGTGTGATTGTGGTCGTCTCATGGTTCAGTTGTTCACACTGATAGCTACTCCAGCTCTGCGTCTCATTTTATTCTCTTGCCCTGCCTACAGGGGGATGGCTGAAATGAATTTTCGGCCATGGTATTTGAACAAACAATAATAATCAGTAACTTCAAGCACTATGTCAATCCGTTGCTGGATCAATGGCTTTTACATGTATTCTCAGTCATGGGATAGTTTGTTCATAATAAAACATTTTATTTTACCAGATCAGGCCCACTAGCTCTTTACAGCAATACCACGCTGACTACTGTGTTCCGATAAAACTTCGAATCAGTTCCAATAAAACTTCATCACTGACATTATCCCTGGCCAGGAATCAGACTCAGGTTCATAGCCCAGCGCATTAACCACTGCACCACGGCTCCCCCCATCGATGTTCAGACATTCTGTTTGAGCTGTCCCAGCCCATCCCACGTGGATGCTTTATTTACATGAGTCAGTAAACACAAAACAAAAGGATAACACTTAAGCTCGACCAATTTCCCAAAGCTAGTGCCAAAGGGCTTCAGTAGCTGTAGGAGCCAAAAGCCACATGTCAGCTGCCAAGTGCCCTTTTTGACCCTCCCCTCCCACCAAATCTTTAACTTCAAAGTGTCCTGGTACCGCCACTTTCTCCACCGCTAACCACAACCTGCAGCAGGATGTTATTGTGGATTTTGTTTTAATCACGGCTCGGTAGGCATACACACACACGCGCACACTCTCTTCTACTCCATTGACTCAAGCGTCCGTGGAGGACGTGGTCATCAAAAGAAAGAAATGAAACCCAAGTTACCGCGGGGTGGGTGAATGGCGCGGCCTCCCCCGGTGCAGGTGACATGGGAGTAGTCATTGTCTCCCGGGGGTGGAGGGAGTCGCGCCGGAGGGTCCCCGTGGGCCTTTGCGACATGAGAGGCCCTCGGTTTGCGAGGTCGGTCGGGCCGCTCTCTTCCCAAGCGGCGACGGCAGCCACCAGCGCACATCCTTAGTCTCTGTAAACACTGGAGGCGGAGTACAAAGGAGAAATCGATGGGGACTTGAAAATAGCTCTAAATGGATTGCGAAGGGTGTATAATAGAGCTCCTCGGCACGCAGGTGTCGGCCAATATGAGATGAATTTAAGCTCATCACTGTCACCACAGTTGACCGAGTGCTCACACGAGCACACTCTATTCGCTGTATTCATCTTTATGCACCCCACTCTTTATGAAACTTTTTTAATAAAAGGATATTGCTTTTGTCTGCGATAAATGGAGCACATGAAGTAGAAGATGGACTATCTGAAAATGCCACGTCCAATAATATTAGTATTTTACTGTGCTGTAATTTTCTTTATATTGGACCCATCGTGCCAAATGTGTATGTGTGCTTAAGCACATATACGTGTGTGTGCGTGTGTGTGTACATGTCTGGTGTTCACCAATAACACTTGCCCCCAAGCTGTATAGGGGCACCTTCATTTCTGTACATGTCTGTGTCTGACAGCGTGTGGTGGAGAAGTGGTTAGCATGCTGCCCTACCAATCTAGCAACTTGACTTCAATTCTTAGCTACTTGTAACATCAGTGGTGATTGATATGAGAATCCGTCCTGGGCCTTTCTTAGGTCAACTGAGCCCTAAAGAAGTACCTGATGCAGTGTGCAAACATCAACAGTGGGGCGATAAAGGTTTGCAGGATGTTGTTTTGTCACACCACCACTTAGTGCGATGTGCTGGCCTTAATTGGTGCTCGTTAACAGCACTTCTCTCAACAGTCTACGTGGGCGATAGGGGATCTCTGTGTTGGTTGGTTGCTTGCTTCGCCCGGCAGGTGAAGTGCTACCACAGGGGGTGCCAAGCAGCGACACGCGATGAGATCTTCCGCGTGCAGTTCCACACGTGCGTTGTGCAGGACTTCCGCCCCCTGGTGCTCGGCAAGGCAGAGCTCGATGCAGCTTGCACAGGTACACACACTGACACGCACACACTCACACTGAAATACATACACACTCACACTGAAACACACACACTGAAATACAGACACACACAATGAAAAACATACACACTCATACTGAAATACAGACACATTGAAATACACACACTGAAATACAGACACACACTGAAAAACATACACACTCACACTGAAATACAAACAGACTGAAATACACACACTGAAATACAGACACACACACTGACACGCACACACACTCACACGGAAATACAGACACAATCACACTGAAATACAGACACACTCACACTGACACGTAGACACACACTGACACGCACACACACAACAACAAGCACCATTCGCCACTAAATGGCGGTGATGTCACCACGGCACGTTTGACAGGCTATGTGCACTTTAAGGCCACGTGAAGTGTGGAAGGCTCGCTGGCAGGTCACTGGACACACGCATGTGCCATTGGGTGACTGACTGAGATGGCTGTGGCACAAACACAAAGACACAAATCCCTGGTATAGCCTTAACAGACTGTTGGGGCAAGTGCTGTTAGCAGGCACCTATGAAGACCGGCACGGCACACGAGGGGGTGGGTGGCCAGCACCATGCGTGGCCGCCTTTGTCTCCCTAGTGGTGATGTTCACACACTGCACCGGGAACTCATTTGAGGCTGAGTTGACCTAGGGGATGCCCAAGAATGATCTGTACCTGGTGTTAACCGTGAGCGGGAATCGAACCCAGGTCATTGGGTTCTCGTAGCGCAGTGCGCTAACCAGTACACTACCACTCCCCACACTGGCACACAGACACAGTCACACAGACACTCACCAGACACATACACTCAGACAGACACACTCACACTATCACAGGCAATTGCTGCATCACTATATCATACTGGTCATCAGAAAAATTCATGATGAGGCAACCTAGCATCGCTGAAAAGATAAAACTACACAAGTTACAGCAATGGCAGAAACAAATATAATATAAATAATCCATCTATTGGCTGGTCAGCATTTCGAAATTATAATAACAGACTTGGATCATAGTGTCTTATAATTTCAATTGCATTGACTTAACTGAGCATCTAAGTCAAACTATGTTCTGTAATATAATTTTAGAAGTGAACATCTGGGGTTATTTTTAATCTTTGATCAAATCATTCCTCCCCCTTTTTTCAGATGAAAAGTTTCCGGATGACGGGAGAGTGGAATTCATTTTTTCCTCGGGACCCGAGAAGCCACCGGGTACGATCGCGTGCTCGGCATGCACTCCCTCTGAGTCATCACCGGCAGAAGATCATTACGATGCTTCACTCACGCTGGGCGTTATTCCAACCAGCAGTTTCCAAAATGCATAAATGCGGAAAGCCATTATGTAACTCATTACATTCAACCATCAGAATATCCATGTTGGATTTAATGAGTTTTGCCTTCGCCTTGGGCTAATTGTTTAATTAGGCTGTTGTGACCGGAGCAAGTGCTTGCGACTCTGTGTGTTTGTTCAGATGACTAATTAAGCTGGGGAGAGGGAGTGTGGAGGCTTAGCCTCGAGAAATTCTTGCGTGCGTGTGTCTGTGTGCAAATGCTCCCTTGGCACTGCTCGAATCTGGCAGGGTTCTGCCAAAGCCCAGCCAGTGTGCCGCACAGGCGTGCAGATTAAAGTAAACAAAATTACAAAATTCACAAAAGCAAACACATTCGCAAAAGCAGGCGAGCACACAGATGTGGGCACGCACACGAGTGGCCCGACGCGGCGAGTACAGGGCTGAGAGCGTTGTACATACGACGTGGTGATCACATGTGACATGCATGCAGGGCATGGTGGAAGGGGTGCCTCCCTGCTGTTTGTGAGCAGCACACCTATGCGTGTCGTTAAAACTAGCGGCAGAGAGGTGGGCGGGCATGAGCGAGATGTGCGTAGAGTGTGTGAGAGATGCGCGGTCACCCCGATAACCCCCTGTGACACACGCACACACTCCGTCATCCTCGCAGCGTGACCTCGGTGTGCAAATAGTTCCATGCACTTCCTGGTGCTGCTAGCAGAGCACTGTGGACAGGTGCAGCCGCAGTCTCCACAGACTCACCTCTACACTCAGCAGTAGCAGCAGGGCTCTGCTATACTCACCTGTATACTCCTGTCATGTGTACGTTATCACTTGGCTGGTATTGCATTGTCTGCATTACATCTTAGAACCCAACTGAAAGTGTGTTTTGTAAGACTAGGCTGCCGAAGTGGCAAGATGTTTAACTCCCTCACCTAGTATGCAGGAGGTCGTGGGTTCGATCCCGACCCTCACACCTGTATATTTGGAGTTTGTATGTTCTCCCCCGTGGTCACGTGGTTTTTTCCCTTCACATTTAGAAACACGTGTTTCGAGTATTTGGCTGCTATCAATGTCCACACGACAAGCCATTTCATTGGGATATCATTTGTGGCCAGATCACTTCTGAAAAAGGGCTATAAAGCTCAGTGTTTAGTTTAGTAACCAAACATGCATTTTCAAAGGTCACTTGTACATCTCAGTTTTCAAGATGTGTCGTAGAACCGGAGAATATTGTAACTATTACTGCGCAGAGAATTGCGGGTTGCGTGCAATTGTCGCTGCAGGCGGTGAGCGCTATATGAATGCTGCGGACATTGGCGTGGACTTCGGCACGGCCGACCCTCTCATCCGCTGCGACTCCTACGAGAACTTCAATGTGCGCCAGGAGGACAGCCTAGAAGGTACCCGCCTCGTTCTCATTCTACTTGCTGAGCTCCGGCAGACCAAAGACTCATTTGCCCTTTACCTGTAGTCTTCTCGCAGTACTCTCTTTTGGCACTAAACTCCAATCAGATTGGTCATTTAGTTTAGAGACATATTGAGCCTCCGGCGGATGCGATACCGCTAAGGTAACTATTTTCTACGGTATTCTGTTGTCCAGAGAGTCAATATCTCACTTGACATCATGCCGATGAAAATCCTGTCCTCATAGTGGATGGCCCTCTGAGGTTTAGGCTCCATCGCTTGTGTCAATCCCATGAAGGAAAAATAGCTTTGCCATACCTGCAGAAAATCCTGCACACATTTTACTCTGCAGATATTTTTTTAATATATGCCGCAGGAAAAAAAACATGTTTGTAACGTTTGCAGCTTTCCACAAAACTGTAAGAATATTTTCAATACGAATAATTAGCTTCGAGTTATATAAGGGGACTAGGCTGAAATGTTTACATTTTACCGAAATATATGTATACATAATTTAAACATCCTGAGTTTGTAAGAAAAACAACCAGAAGGCATGGTATGTGAGTGATTCCTTCTAATAGCATTCTTAAGTAGAGGTTGCGCAATGGCTGCAGTGTTGAAGCCATCAAACCCAGCGGGTATTTGTAACTGCATGAAAAAAAACAAGGATAATCTCATCTCGGCTCAGTCCCCACGGCACCCTTCCCTCGTGCAGTATGGTTTTTGAACCTGATAAGCAGATAAAAGCCTACAATGTGTCACCATTGCGATAATCCCATAAATGCAGAAATGGAACACAAAAAATGCGAAGATTTATTTTCTTGAAGAGTCAGCCTAAATTGCACTATGGGCCCAGCAGGGTGGGAGTCATCAGTTCATCAAATGTTTGTGTTAAGTCACACGGCTGTGAGCCCTGGCTCCATCACGAGCAATCGCCAGATGGATGGTGCTGGTCCCGTCCCCGCAGCGCAAACAGTGAAGCGCACACATGGGTTTAAGGGGATTATTTTTACCGTCCCCGGGGACCTCCAGAAATTGCAGCCAGGCATTAATTCAGATGTCCGCTCTCATGATACGAGGTTGCCATGTTGATCCTGGGGGTGAGATCCGCCGGGCTTGGTGGAAGTCGAATGCACTCCACAGATTGATCGCATTTGCCCGAGCCAGGGAGACAGAAGTGCAGCTCCGGGGTTCTTGACAGAATTTTTTGGTGTTTGTCGCGTCTCGCGTGCGGTTGCCGCGTCGCGCTGTCTCTGAGCGGCGATCCCTTATCAGAGGCACGGTTCCACGATAAGGCTCTTGCTGCGCATCTCACGAGAGTGCTTGTGAAACCAACTGACAGCGGAGCTGTGTGACGGGGCCCTCGGTCAAATGTTCACTCGCAGTCGGGAGCCCATGTTGGAGCGGCGCTGGGCTGGATCCCCTTGAAATACACCCGATGCCGCTTCGAATATTCCTTGCCTTATTTGGCCACAGGATTGGCCGAGGCATTTTTTGGACCAGCTGCTAGGAAAGAGCCACCTTCTCCGGGGAGGGGAGGGAAAACAGAGGGGCAGAGCCTTTCCTCTCCTTCTTCGTCAAATGATAATTTTCTCCTCCGCTGCCAGAAAGTGCACAATGTTTAGTGGCGGACGGCCAGAGCAGCTTCGGTTTATGGTGAGCTTCCTCAAATGCGGCGGGCTCGATAGCAGAGCACAAGTGTGAGTGGTTGTTTGGCTCTGCTCGTCTTTGCTCTGGAGTGTGGTGTTTGTGCGCGGTTTGGTGGCGGGCCCCCCACCCGTGCCAGTTTGCTCAGTGAACACCCAGGCATCGTCGTGTGAAAGTCCTCAGCCACGTGTCAGAGATGAAGGCTTTTACTTTGAGGAAAGCTGCTTTCCTACACTCCCTTTTGGTGAATGGAGCAAGAGGGAAGAGCAACCACAGGGAAGCCGCCTGGAATATGATTGAGTGCCGCGTTATCTCACACCGAGGATGGGGAACAGCCTCGGGGAACGGAGACCGCCGTCAATAGGTACCGCACTCTCAGGCCGGCCGCGGATGGCCGCACATTGTGCTGTGATGCAGCAGTAAAACTGTAGATTGTAAAAACGTCAAAATGTAGACAAACGCCTTGCTTGGTTTATGCTCACTGCAGGAGTTGCACGTATGGTACTTTAGAGTGCCCTAGAGAGGTGCACGCTGGCTGACTCGCAGTATTGATGTAAATTGTTCGTATTAAGCGGTCGCGTTGTCGGTAAGCGGTAAACTAACCGCCATTGAGTGCCGGCTCTTTTTGTATGAAACTCATTTGTTTAGCTCGTATTAAAGTAATGAAAGCAATGCGTAACAATCTCGTTGGGTTCACCTCGTGACTCGATTAGTGCGCTCGCGTTGTTTAAAGGCAATAACACGGAGCCGGGTAGAGGCGTCCGCGCCGTCGTGCGGCCAGCAAGGCTGCCGTCGTCTCGTCAATCGCCGCCTCTCCTCCTCCGGCTCGAAGTTGTGGCCACGGGAAGAAGAAGAATTGCGACGCCACCTCATAACAGCAAGGCCTGCCTTCAATCGATTAAATGTGTAGGCGCCCGTGGAGGAATCCGTGCCACATGCGGCTCGCGAGGGGGGAGCGCAGGCACGTGCGAGCGGCATGGGACGTTTTGCCGCATGCCAAGTGGGCGAGACGGCGCGTTCCATAGCACGCAAGAGAGCCAGAGCACGGCGTCAGCGAATGTGGCTATATCGCTGCGCGGGGGTTTTTCACGCTTGTGCTTTTTGGGGGTTGCACCGCGCGTTGTTTAGTGCGATGTCTGAAGTTAAAGTGAAAGTGCGAAGGAGCCGAATTGAGGTCGTTTTTTTCTGAAGAAGCTCCTAGCACGCGGAGGGGTTAGCGTTGGACGTCGTGCCGAATGACACGCGTCACTTTGCGGAGGGCGACGAATGCGACGAGCGTGGATGAGTTGGGATTACACGCGGAGTCCTCCGCCACGCAGCCCAGCGACGCCTCGCGACACTGGCGCCCACGATCGTGTTCACATTATCTCTGTTATAGTCTTCTTTGTTAAAGACTTGCGATGTCTATTCAATTTCCTTCGTTCAATCTTAGTTTTATTTTTACTTAATATTTATGTTCCGTTTTGCCATTAAGTTTGATCTTGGACGTTTTCATATAAAACTTGGTTTAATTAAAATATAATTGCCTATAATTCGTCATTGTTATGCGTTGTACTTGTTGTTTGCCCATGGTCTCCCTTAATGCAGACACTTTTATTCTCAACGGATTCTAACGTGGCTATAAATAAATTATATTATTAATTATTATGAATATTCTGCAATATTTATACTCACCGCCTTCAACCCACACTGACAAGTGTGGTGAAGTATGGTCAAGCAACCTTCACGAACGGCATGGCATTGGAAGGGCCTTGTGTCCAGCAGTGGATTGGTAATCTGGCTGTACTGTACATTATACTTAACATGCCGTACGTTGTGCACAGATACAGTGGTGCCGATAAAGTATCTATCGGCATTACGTTTGGCCGCAGAAAATACAAAATGTGGAATTAGATCAGGACGTTCTCTATCACTGGCTTGACGAATGCATGGGGAGCTCGTTAGATAACTGCTGGGGGCTACCATCCCACCGCATTACCGTTGACGTGACAGGATCTACCGCGAAGAAAACCCCAGCCACGCCGTGTTCGTATGTATCCATTATTTCCTTTATTCTTTTCATCTCCCTGGAATGGGAACAACTGACAGTTGCGATTTGCCCGGCGTTCAGGAAGGATTTGCATCACTGCTGTCGCTCGTGTGAGCTGCCGGTTTGCGCTTGCTTAAAGTCACTCTGCATTAGATGTCTGAATGTTAGGTGATATTTCCAATGATCTTATCAAAACATAATTATATAGCCCCTATTCTAGTTGTTTTAGTATTGAATATACTTTGCATTTATGTATGCAAGACCAATGAAAGAAAATCAGCTTGTGTGCAGGTGGTTGCTGACAGCGATCAAATAATATATGGAATAAAAAAATATACGCTATCACTAATAATGATTTAGTATTTTTTGGGTCTTTCGGTAAAGTCACGTAGATAGGTTCAAAGAAAATAACAAAAAACTACGACGTTTCGATTGCAACACAAGCGATCGAAACGTCGTAGTTTTTAGTTATTTTCTTTGAACCTATCTACGTGACTTTACCGAAAGACCCGAAAGCATATGAATTCCTGCAGTCACGAAAGATTTAAGTCAAGATTTAATGATTTAGTACATTTAGTATGCGCGCGATTCTTTAGCGCAAGGCTATAATCGTGAAGACACTGTGTTACACACAGTCAGCAGTAGTTTCATAGTCCGGGTTGATGATGCTGCTGTGTGTAATCCCAATTGAGTAATTTGCAGGTAATATTTCAAATTTGGCAAATGACTACAGTGAAGCTTTAACACCAATGTGAAGCCTACTCAGCGTATTGTACGCCTGAATCATAACCACGGCAGCCTTCTGGATTCAAACTACGAACATCTGCAACAAGTGACGAACATGCTACCGCTGGGCCATGTCACCGCCCCTCTCGTAGTAGTCAGTCGATAGAGACGTGGCTCTGTAACGATCCTCACTGTCAGCTGGCCCTCTGCCTCACCCTCCTTCTTCCCTGCAGAGGTTCCACACACGGAGGGGCCGGTAGACGGAAGCCTCTACGCTCGCATCAAGAAGAAAGGTTCCTCCGACAGCGGCACGGTTGTTCCCTCTGTAAACGGGATCAGTGCGGCGGCCGCCGCCGCCTGCACAGCCCCCGCCGGGGCCAGCGGCTCCAGCAGCGCCATCAGGCAGGGCCAGCACAACCGCTCCATGAGCACGGACTCGGGGAACTCCACTGCCTCCACCAAGACGGAGCGCATCATGATGGAGGAGCACCACCACAACTCAACGAACCTTAGCGCAAACGCGGCTACCATTTTTACGCCGCCCGTGCCGGCTGCCAGCGCCAATGCTGCCGCCAGCGCCACGGCCACACCAAGCGTGCGAGGCGGCTCGGTGTTGAGCGGCGGGCCGCGGGACGGCTTGGTCCTTCCTCCAGGGAGCCGCCACGTGGTGCCGGTACAGGTCCACATGAACGGAGACAGGGCCACCCCGGAGAGAGAGACGGACATCCTGGATGACGACGTGGACGGTGGTGTGCAGCAGGGAATTTGTCTGACGCAGCCCACAGCAGACGGTCAAATAGTTGGGTGTGTGGGAGGGGGCAATGCTGATGTGCCACTCTCCTCAAACGACTACACTCACGATGCGGTTGGCACCTTCACACAACCAGGTGCAGTTACTGAGAAAACAAGTCCACCAGGCAGCGCGCCAAAAGGAATAAACAGCTTTGGCTATTCAGCATCAGGGATGTATCCCGGGCAGGGAAATCCAATGAATTACAAACAAGTTGCACTTAGTGAAGAGATGGAGTGTGATCAAGATGACTCTTACCAGCCACCAAGATCTCCTAACCAACATCTGCAGACATCCACCAGTCAGACGTTCTATGGGCAGCAGAACGGGAGCTTGTACGGCAACCCGGTCACGCTGGGAGCGGCGACGAAAAATGGTGCCGGGTTTGGGACTCCGCAGATTCCCGAGAGAAGCAACAGCAGCCGCCACGCGGTGCAGCGTACCGTGAGCAGCTGGCAGAGCCACAGCCGACCGCTCACCCGACAGCAATCCGACGTCACGTACGACCGGCCCACCGCGGTTTGGCGTGGTGCGGCCGGCTCGGCCTCGGCCTCCCCGCATGGTGGCCCCGCCCCTGGATTCCCAGACCTCCGCGCCCAGCAGGACTTTGAGAGGTCGCTGCTGGAGCTCAACAAGCTCATCCAAGAGCTGGATCCAACGTTCAAACCGCTGGAGGCTCCCGACCACTTGACGACGAGTCCCAGCGCTATGGGCGAGCCACAGATCAGACAGCAGACGACGGTGCAAAGCAAAGCTATCGTTGGTGAGACATCGTTTAGGGGTGCACCTGGCCTCTTTCTCTTCCATCAGAATGGCATCAGTCACCAGGTTGTCGCAGGATACATGGCCAGCCCCCACGCCCAAGAGGAGGTGTTTGCTCATCACAGCCAGGCCGCTCTCTACATGCCCAGGAGCGGAGCTGCCTGCCCCCGTCCGTGGGACCTCGCCATGCAGCAAGACGGCCCTCCGGGGGCTCACAATGCGGGCTCCTACCAGGGGCACTTCCGAGGTAAAGCAAGGAGCATCCATTGTCTCTTTTTATAATTTTTGCAAGGGCACCCATTCCTGATTTTCAGTGGCTCGTGAGAAATTGTGTCCGCATGCGTGTTTCCCAATTGCCAGTGTTGGTTAAATTATATCATCTGTGAACAGTCGAATTTCTCTCCCATTCCCTCTCACCCTCCCACAATATTTTCTGGAGTTCAGTCCCAGACAGCTGGAGCAAAAATTAAGCCCCATCTATGACTATGTCCCAGCAGCGCGACAGCACAGGGCGCCTCCTCTGGAGTGGCCGAGCAGGGAAGCATTGCCGCAGGAGAGGCATGCGGCCTGGGAGGCAGTGTCGGGCATGGGGGGCCATGGCTGGGAGGGCCCAGAGGGGCCCCACTCTCCACAGAAGGGACCCAGCTCCAGCACCTCCCCGTCCCCCTGCACGTCCCCCGAGCTGGGGGGCTCCGTCACCCCCACATCAATGGCGGTGCTGGTGAGTGCTCGCCACTCCATCGCAATGCACCGTAATTGTTTACTCTTATTTACTGTAATTTATTTTTACTTGTATTACACTGACAACATGGGTTCTTGTCTGATGTCTCACATAGTTCAATGTTATCGAATACTAAGGAAAGTAGTTCTGATTTTACACAGGTAGCTTAGGGCAGTTCTCAACCGGACATACGCGAACCCCTGGGGGTACGTGGTAAAGTTCCAGGGGGTATGTGAGATGATTTATAAATGTCTGAAATTATATTATACATAAGAGTCATTGGTGAATAATCACGTATGAATCTGCAAATAAAATAACTACGATAAAATTAGAATCCATAAGGTAACCTCGAACGATATAAAAGACCTTTATAAACTCATTGATCATAAACAATGCAGTTTCCAAGAGCAACCAGCAAGCGCAAACAAATTACGTCACGCGTGCAGAGCGTCCGTTGATTTTTTTTATTCACTTGCAGTTTCTAGCAAGTTAGGATACCTCACAAAATGAACAAGTGGTTAAAATATTGATATTCATTGTTCATTAATTTATTTGGCAGAACCATGTTTGGTCAGGCAAGGGAGTACTCGGTTGAAACAAAATTTAACAAAGGTTACAGAAGTTAAAAAAGGTTGAGAACCACTGCCTGAGGGGATTGTGTTCAGTGCAGTTTGTAATGTCAATGTTATCGACAGTAGTGCAGGCTTTCTGAGCTCCGAACTTAAAGACGGCGATGAATATGGATGGTTTTGCACCCACCACCCTCCCAAGATGCAGCCAGGCCACCCACAGTCAGACTGGATGGACGGCGCATTGAGGGCTCCACTGCATTACAGCAGCCCCCAGGAGGCGCTGCCCCCCACACCTGCATTTCCAGTCTGTCCACCCACGCCCTACATCAACCAGGGTGAGCCGGCCACCCTCCTGTCACTCAGCCATCTGCAATAATAAATGGAGCGGAAGACTCGATCCGCGTGTTGTTGCCATGAAACCCTGCAGAGTACGACGCTGCATGGGTTTGGTTATTGAGCCGACTGACCTTAAACTCTGAACTAAGCTCAAGCATAATAAATCGTGGCGGAGTTTGTTTTGATCTGGCTTTCCAGCTCATTGCCGCACCCCGGCGGGTTGTTGCATTCCGCTTGCTGCGCTGCGCTGGACAGGTCGGCTCACCCCGGGCTACTCGAGGGGTCCGTGCAGCCTGGCCGACACATGGCAGGGCCAGGGCACAGCCAACGATGGTGAGGAGGGCTGTCGTCTCTTAGTCTTAACTTTACTCCGAGCACAAAGCCTTGTGCTGGGCACTGCGGTGATCAACACCATACTGTGGCGCGGCGAAACTTTATACGCGCCCGCAGCCATGTTGAGAGGCCAAGTTTTGCAGTGCATGAAATTACAGTTGTTGAAGATGCCCTTGTGTGTGCCGGGAGTGGGGCCACTTTGGCGTCAATAAAGCCAAGCACAGAAAAATAATCGCACTGTCCCAGTGATCTGAAGTCGAGGGTGAATGTGCGCTGGCCATCCCAAAACGGTTGACAATGGTGCTCTGCGGTGCATGGAGAGTTAATAACCGCCAGCCACCCAGAAGCCACTCTGGGGCGCTGGCATCAGATCTCCATGCTACTTACAAGTGTTTTAATCCCTGAATGTGTTTTCTTTGGTTTGGGTTTTTTGCCGGTTTACACCAGAGTTTATTGTTGCAGCTGGTTTGAATCTGGCCACTGTGAATATCAGGTTTGCGTAAATTCTCCCTTTGTTTCTTTTTTAAATGAATTTATATTTGTAAGGCCAAAAGGGTGAAAATTGCCACATGTGGGCGGTGTTGTGTGATTGAAGCCCTGCGGCAATCAGCCAGGCATCAGCCGCTGCCGGGCCCCAGAGGAGGAGACCCGAGTGGGAGAGAGGCGAACCGCCCAGGGCCAGCGTGCGTCCCCTCCAGTGCCATCCCCGCGCCCCTCATCTTGCGTCCCCCGCCAGACACGTGAGCACGCACGTTCCCCTCTCTGTTTCATTGCCACCATTGTGTATGTTGATCGTCGCCTGGTTGGTCATGCTGCTTTAGCCATTGCATGAGGCGGATGTAATCGGCACACCTTTTAATTCAGTGCTTTGGAACCAGTGGGTTGGTGGATTTCATGGATTTGTTACATTTCAAATGTTCTGGGCTGTGAGATGGCCAGAAGATGGCAGTATAAAAAGTAAAAAAGCACATTAGTCAATGACACTCTAGCCTTAAAAGAAAACCATATATAACAGATAAAGTCACGTAGGTAAAACATCAAAATTAATAAAAATAAAATAAAATAAAGATCTTTTTTTATTAATTTTATTTTTATTAATTTTGATGTTTTACCTATGTGACTTTACCGAAAAAACCTAAGAATATGAATCCTTGCAGTCACGAAAGCTTCAAATCTAGAATATAACAGATAACTTTTTGAGAAATGGCCCATGTTAATTGTACATCACTGCCAAAGCAGGATCATTACTAGATTCATGAAGCCATCCCTGTGGACCATACACTGTAATCGACCATATGCATGGGTCTTTTTCCAAATATGTTGGTTTCTTCCCACATGAAAAAAACGCTCCTTACATTTTTTTTTACTCTGGAGTCTTTCGTGGACAGATGACATAATCATTATTTTTATTGTATACATCCGAGCTCTCCAGGGGCTTCTGTAGGTACTGCTTCAGCCATTCTGCACAGCTCAATATTATAAGCCTTGGGCCAAAGGCTGCAGCCTATCTGTTCCTCTTGTGCTGGATTAACGCCTATCACAGCAGATTGCCACCTATGAGATGATGGGATTTGTGAGCTGGGAGAGGCCTGTATGGGCTTATGGTCCAATATTCTGTAAATCCAGCCATGGAATTCTGGCACATCTTCACGTGTCCTGTCATGTGTGACTGCGCTGGTGTTGTTTTTTATTTTCATTTGAAATGTTTTATTTTTGTGCAGCCTATCCTTGAACTCACAGCCTGGAAGCGTGAGCCCCGGTTCTCCCGGCCACTTGCCCAGCAGCTCCGAACGTGGCGTCAACTCTCCCAACAATCACGGCCACTCGCTCAGCATGGCATACGAACCGCCGGCCCAAAGTTTCAAGTCGGCCTCGTACCATCACAGCCAACCCACGTACAGTGGCTCTCCGGTCCCTCACGGCAGCTCCTCCGTGGGCGCCATGCCCACACACGGAGCCTACAGTGGCAGCCGCTCTCCGGGCCACGAAGTTTCACGACAACAGTCCAGTCCACTGCAGCAGCAGCAGCAGCAGCAGCAGCAGCTGCAGCAGCAGCAGCAGCAGCAGCAGCAGCAGCATCCCAGCAGCCCAGGCTGGGAACAGAGGCAGCAGCACCACCACCCGCTATTGCTTATGCTGCCTGAGAGGAGGCATCTTGCGTGTGGCGGCAGCGGTGGGGAATGTGGAGGATTCTCGCCGAGCTGCGGGCTGCCCAACGGGGAGCCCGCGTCGCCTCTGTCGAGCGGGCCGCCCAATCTGGCCTGCCACTCGCCTCCCCCCGGCCTCCACTCTGCTTCTCCTCCCACGTTCTCCCGCCATTCCAGCCTGGCGTCGCTGCCCAGTGGTGACAGATTTTTTTCTAAATTTTTCCTCAATGGCGTTTTTGCCTTTTATGTTTGGAAATAAATCAATTACTCATTAATACAACCGAGTACTATACCATCAACCCAGTGACCTAAGTTTATTTCCCAGAGTGCCCCCCTTACTAACCCGCACTGACCAGCATGGTGAAGTATGGCCAAACAACCCTTATTCCAGACATAGCGTAGTGAGGCCTTATTTCAGCATTGGATAGAAAAAGGGCTGCAATTTATTTAAATTTGTATACATATATACATACAGCTATCAAATAGAACTTTCACACACATGCACTGAGGTACTGTATTTGTGCATATGTACATGTTTTTTTTATATTCTTTTTCATAGTGCGTTTAAATAAAAATGTGTATCTTGGCATTTGTTACACAGTTGCTGAGCGCAGGCCCAAAGGCCCAAAACACCAAGCGGCCAGCAACAAACATCACCGTCAGAGTTGTCACAGCAGAGATTTGACAATATTATCGCCAGCACAGTGTGCAATGTGCCCTACACGCCCCGTGCTGTGTGTGCGTGCGTCTCCACAGATGGCAGCATAGAAACCAGAGCTCAGGTCAAGTTCGTCCAGGACACCACCAAGTACTGGTACAAAAAGGAGATTTCCCGAGATCAAGGTGACGGCCCGGTTCTGACGACTAACACAGTATCGCCACATCTCCACAATCCACACAGGGACATCCGAGTGCTCAAAGCATAAAAATAAGACGTTGACAAAACGCCTCCTCATATACGCCTCTCCACGTAAAATGATGAAGTATTTTTGGATATATTCCATCAGCCGACCTTCCTTCTGGGATTGCATCTTCTCAATTAATTTTGCATAGTTACTTGTATTCTCCACAATGACGCTCATGATTATTTTGTGTTAGGAATGACCCTGAAAATATACTTAGTTATGATACTTGCCTCCATGTCGACATTCAGTCAGAACGTTACTTGCTGAGGAAGTTTAACGGTAATTCTCCGTGTCTGTATGTTTCTTTGTTTGTGTGTCCACTTGCAGCCATCGCTTTGCTGAAGGACAAGGAACCTGGTTCTTTTGTGATCCGTGACAGCCACTCTTTCCGTGGAGCCTATGGGCTGGCCATGAAGGTGTCCTCGCCTCCACCAAACATCCCTCAGCAAGGGAAGAAAGGTGCCTACCCCCCTCTGGTCTCCCCATGAAGCCAATGCAGAGTACAACACCCGCATAGCCCACGGCTCCAATGCATATCGCATAGCGTGACACGCCACTCGCGCCATTACACACACACGTTCAATGCAGCTGACGCACGTGTCTCCAGGTAGGCCAACGTATCAACCGGGAAATATAACCCAAAGCGTTTTGATCATCTTCTTGATCATGTGTTGATCACGCTTTGATCACGTGTTGATTGCGCATTGATTGCGTGTTAATTGCGTGTTTTTCGTGTGTTGATCGTGTGTGTATCATCTATAGATAGCGTGTTGATCGCGCATTGATCATGCTTTGATTGTGTGTGGATAGTTCGTTGATGGTGTGCTGGTTGTATCTTCCCTACAGGCGACGTGTCCAGTGAGCTTGTGCGGCACTACCTGATCGAGTGCACTTCAAAAGGCGTGCGGTTAAAGGGCTGCCCCAACGAGCCCTACTTCGGTGAGGGCTGGGAGCTGATGCCAGCTTGCGGTGCTTGCTTGTTTTGCGGATGTGAAAGGTCAAAGTTGAAGTTGCTTCTCGTTCAGTTGAGCTTGAGTGTGACTTGGCACAAAGTAAACACGATTAATGTCCTTCGATGGATGCCTCTAAGTTGATTATAAAAAAAAGTAAAAGCGCAAGTTGCCTTAACATTTTGAATGCAGCAATTGAGCATTAAATGTATCCCTTAATTATACATTCAATATTGATAAAGCAGAGACAGTTAGCTCTGCAGTACAGTGAGCGGATCGCTATCGGAAGGTTGTGAATTTAAATCCTGGTTGGGGCTTGACTCTCTTTGGGGTTAATCATCATTCTTCCAGGGTCAATAAAATAAGGAACTACCTTGTGGGCAAATCAGTATCCAGTGGTTGTCCTATGGATAGACTCGCCAGCACCTGAAGATGGTGGAATGCTGCAAACGAGAGATGAGCACAACCTCGGTGCTCATTTGAGCAGAAAATCACTTTTGATTAGTTTTGTTTGAGAAAAGCTCGCGGTATGCACTCACACGCAAGACAAGATGAATGTGGAGTGTTGCCGTGGAGTGGTGGGCGTTGCTTCCTTGACCGGTTGTTTCTGTTCTGCAGGGAGCCTGTCGGCCCTGGTGTACCAGCACTCCATCACGCCGCTCGCCCTGCCGTGCAAGATCGTCATTCCTCACGAGGGTGAGCGCAGTGTCTGCCGTGAGCTCGCAGCGAGCGAACCACCTCCATGGCCACTCATACTTGAACCATGCGGGAAGAGACTGACACTTTCATATGAAAGCAAGCAACTTGATAAACAAACATTTTTATAAAATACTGCACTTCAAAGCTATATTTTATTGCATCTTTCACTAACAGCATGTAATATTGTCTTTCAGATCCGTTAGAACATTCAGAAGTTGACAGCATTCAATTACATCCACTAAACGCGACCCCAGAACTCCTGAAACAAGGCGCTGGTGAGTCCGCTCTTTGTTTGCTGTCTCCCCAGGATCCCCCGGTGATAGTAACTACCAGCAGCGTGCGTGGACACCGTTGGTATTTCATCATCTTTTGCCGAAAATGATTATACCAACACTTGGCCATCAACAGCTGGGTTACGTATTACTTAAGGCAGTGTCTGCCCAAAACCAAGGTCCCTCCAAAAATATCATACAGTGGCGCGTGGAGACTTGAATTTCAGAGACATTGCACCTCACCGAGGGAATTTCTCAGTTTCGTAACCGAGACCTACATATCCGCCAATCGCTAGACCGTGTAAATTTAACGTACTGCGTGTGTGAACCCCAGCCTGTAACGTGCTCTACCTGGGCTCGGTGGAGATGGAGTCCCTAACTGGACCCCAAGCTGTGGCCAAGGCGGTTGGGCAGGCGCTGGCTGGCAGTGCGCCTCCCTCGCCCACGCAGGTGCACTTCAAAGTGTCCCAGCAAGGGGTCACGCTCACAGACAACCAGCGCAAGTAAGAGACTTTTCCCGATCCGCCACACACACGATCAGCATGGCATTACAATCACCCTTTATACTTTCTAGGGTTAAACTCCAAAATGTGATTCGCATAGTTAATCGTGCCATGTCTTACTCGGGTGCAGTGGCTACCGCCCTGGACTATAAGCCCAGTCACTTGAGTTAAATTCTCTGCCATGGCTAACATCCGTGGTGAGTGATATCTAAACCGGTCCTGGGAACCCCTTCACCAACCCGAGCTGTACAGCGTGATGAAGTACAGTCAGCCGTCCCCATGAGGAGGCCTTCTTCCAGCTGAGGATTGAAAAGCATTGAATATTATCATGGTATGTGTTACTCAATGGCTACTTACTCCCAGGGATATTTTGTAGACAGGTCACATGGTCACTTGCAATCTCAATTTAACCAGGTGGTGATAACTCACGAGATCAGTAGGAGTCTCTTTTGCAAGAATTACCTGGGTCACCAAAATCACAGTCCAGCAATGAAGCAAATTGAGATCAGAGCAAAGACAACTGCAATACATGAGAAATCTAAAATATTGCACAATCATAAATCAATGTTAAATCATCGTACATTTCCTTTAGCTCGAGATGGCACAGGCAAATTATTGTAGTGTACTGGTACAGTGTCCACACGTGGGTATGTTTGTGTCTCTCAGGCTGTTCTTTAGGAGGCACTACCCTGCCGACACAGTGACGTACTGTGACCAGGACCCACAGAACAGGAAGTGGGTGTCTTCTCTTGAATATATCTTGCACCACGGTTGATCATTTATAAAATTAACGATTTTTTATCGTATCTGACATTTAATAAAATGTTTTTTTTTTCCTTCAGGTGGAAAAAAGACAGTGGGAGTTCAGCAAAGTAAGTAGCAAACCTGAACATGCTGCTCCTGCTGCTGTGAAATCTGGCTTTTGTGGACGCATTATTTCACATTGTCAGAGCTCGCTGTAGGGCGTTTGCTCATCTTGTGTGGTTGGGATTTGTTTCCAGCATCTTCGGCTTCGTGGCCAAGAAGCAGGGCAGCGTGACCGACAACCAGTGCCACTTATTTGCCGAGCTGGATCCCAAGCAGCCCGCCTCAGCCATCGTGAGCTTCATTACCAAGGTCATGATGAGCGGTCAAGGCAGCGCTCCAACCTCGCCCGTCCCCTCTCCGTCCCCGTGACCACTACGCTCGCTGGCAGGGAGACGGGCGCTGCGTGGACATTTGTCGGCGAGTGGGAAAGCCTTGCCTGCCCTCAAGCCAGCAGCAGGAATTAAGCCATCGCCCTGGCGAGTTAATGAAGGATCCTTCACTGCCTTATCCACGATGGAAGCGCCTCCTGTCGTTGTGCAAACCATAGCCTGAATCGGCAGTCGTTGTTGCATTCATGCATTTAAAGCACTTGCTTTTTTTCCGTCCAATATTAGCGTCGCAGTAAATTAAAATCATGGCGGTTATATGGGCCACCTTAGATGCACTGCAAAGAAAAGAGGTCACCCTTTGGGTTCGGGTTGTGTGTGTTTTTCTCAATGTAGTTGTGTCATGAACCTCACCGGGGTGTAGGGAGGAGGGGGGGTTAGAAGAATGTGAATCCCCTTGTTGGCGCTGCTATTTGTTTAGGCGAATTAGGAAAACATTTTGTAGCTTGCGCCTGCAAATTTACCACAGCTGACGGTGCCCTCCCCCCCCCCCCCATACTTCCTGTGCTTGGATGCAAAGCCTTACATTCCACTTTGGCTGTGAAAACGACACAAGTGAGGAACTGCAGAGGCAACCCAGCCTGAGCCAAGGCCACTTGCGATGAGCTGAGAAAGTCTGAATCTGCAAACTTGGTAGTATTAATTTCAACATTTTATTTCAAACTCACATTTACCGCATCGTATGTTATGTGAAAATATATTTATAGCCGATTAATATTCCGTTATTGACATTCTATAAATATGTGCAGAGATTATTGTAGAAAGTGTTTGATTGTAAAAGTAGGCATACGGAGTGTGAATTATTGTCCAATTCTCAAGTAAACGGCGATAGATGCCTTCAATTTATCTGGGACCAATGGGGATTTAATCCGTGAGTTGTCAAGGTAAAATGCCATCCAGGTGGGCACGGGCCAGCCAGGGCATGGCTTTTGTTCTCTCCAGTAGCACTTGGCTATGGCCAACCAAAGACAGAATTGTGGTGTTGTACTGGCACAGCATGTGTGACTCGTAAACATTGCTTCAATACGTCCATTATTGGCACAGCTGATCAACGTGTGCCTGATGTCATAGTACCGTGATAATGACTTCAGCAGATGTTGACAGTAATGCAACCCCCAGAGCGAACCCACACGTAATGTCCGCTCCATCAGCAACATTTGACCAGCCCAGAATGATAGCGTGACCTCTGTGAGACTCATACCAAGCCAGTGCCCTCGCTGACCCAAGATTGCACAATACAGTGTTTGTGAACCAATCTCAAGGCTGTAATGGCGACGACGAAAGAACAGAGGATGCCTCCGGTTGGATAACACAGGATTTGACGACAGATGTAGCCTTTGGAGGAGAATATGGGTTTGTGAAGGAGAGGTTGTGATGGGCATTTGTTGGTAGAGCATGATTTTGGGGAGATCTTGCTGAAAGAGAGAGGTTGCAAGTGGCACATTTTATTGAGGAAAAGCCAAGAGAGTTTTGTTTTGGCGGGAGGGAGCAGAGAGAGATGCTTTGTTTCTATCGTGAAAGTCGTGGAGCGGCACGTGTTGGGTTGCGAAGGCAAGCGAGGGGGGGGGGGGCTTTGTGTGCTAAGTCAAAAAGGGAAGTGGCAAGGAACGTGACAAGGAGCTGGTGCTGTAAAGAGACAGTGAGGGGGCTCCGCTGTAAGTGATGTTGGTCAAGGGTATGTGTGAAGTGGCGAAGGAAAGTAGCGCGGGGTGTGACAGAAAGGAAATGGTGAGGATATTGTGTTGCAAAGGGACACGAGTGGACTGGTGCTGTGCACACCAAGGGTCAGATGGTCTTTGTAAGTTGGTTGAGAGCCGTGTGACATCTGGATGATATCCTTTGAAATAATTTGATAAGGAAGCAATATGATACAGCATGGTATAAGGAAAGTGCTAAAGATAGATTTCATAGCGTGTACTTCTATGTATTTATACCTATATTTTATAATAAAAAATAATAACATTTTTATTTGATTATAACTATTTTAAATGTAGGCCTGCGTTAATATCCTGGATATTAGTTTTCTTTCCCAAACGAGGTCATATTCATGTTATGTGACATCAGACATCCACGGTCTATTTAAGGTTGTTGTGTTGCCAGTATTTCCACAGTGTTATGGCTGATTATCAGCAAATGCCCTCATTATTCCTCCATTGAAATCATGCCACTTAAATGTTATAATTTGGTATTTATGACGTTGCTCCATGTTGTATAAATGACATTTTAATATTTGCCGATGAAGTCTCTTGCTTGTGTAAATGTGTAAATGAAGCTAGGAGCATTACCTATATCTTAATTACATTATATGAAAACAATGTATTTTAGTTCACTTTACAGCTATGCTTGTAACTTACAGAAATGCATATTAAAATGCTATACGCTCTTAAAACACGAGCTCAATTTGAGTTTTATTTGACCGCATTGGCCTGTATATCCTGTTCAGCCCGTTCAGATGATGGGGCGGCACAGCTGCGTGCTGTTGGTGGCTTTATGGGGGGGGGAAGGAATCGCATTCCCAAGGTCACGCTGCCGCCGCCTCCTCCTCCAGCAGGGGGTGCTGAGATACCGCAACTCGGCCTGGACTCGCGACTCGAGCTACCCAGGCGCGCCACACGCTCTCAAGCCCTCTTTAGCGCTCTGCAAGATGCAACGGGGGGTTTATTTTGCTGGCAAGTTTGCAACCAGCATTTTTTTTTTAAACCAAAGTCAAAAAAAATGCACAATGCTTGCAAATATAAATGATAATTACATTCTCTACAGTGGAAATGTGTAGCACTGTTTTGACGGAATGTTTTGGCCACGCGTGTTTTTTGATCAACAACAGGAACGTGCATCTCATGAATATATATCAAAGGTGCACAGCTAGGTGTCGGCATTCTTTCATGTCTTCGTGATGTAGCTTGTGCGCCGAGGCACGCTGCAGGTGGTACACATGGATTTTCAGGTTGGTGGCGGCCCCGACGGGGCTCTGAATTGAAGGCGGCCAGCGCACGGGATGAAACACGGCCCCCCAACCCCCGCACACCCCCAAGCGGACGCTGCCCCCGCCCTGTCCCAGCGAGGTGACGTGATATACCCCCCCACCACCAACCTCACCGTGTTTGCGCCAGGCAAATGAAACGCGCATCACGAGGCCGTGATGCACGTGGCACGTCTCGAGGCGTGAAACCAACTCCGCACCTGTCCGCGTCGCTCACAAGAGAGGCAGTGTCCTTGATTAGGGGCTTACCTTCATCGTCGACTTCCACCCAGACCGTGTACCGGCTTCAGGTTGCAGTATATGGGGGGGGGGGGGGTTCGGTGAAGTAGCACTGTACTAGACAATGTTACCTTTTTGACAGAGAGGCAGAGCAATGGATGCAATCTGTGAACGTTGCATCCTGCATTCCCTGGAGGTCATTTTATCATTAGCCAGAGAGTCGCGTTACCGCTCGCTCTGGTCTCTGGAAAGGTTTTCCGATGGCTTGCTCCAAGCCACGTCACGCATCATTCTCGCCTCCCTGCAGTAGCCCTCTTTGGCAGGCCCACACTCCCCGTGTATTTTTATCCCATGTCCATAAAGGTAGAGTCGCTGTGCCTTTCCTAATTCCACCCCTGAACAAAACAAGCAACGACACTTAACACAACCGCACAACGATTTACTTCATCAAAACGTCGTTCGTCTACAAAAAGCAACCTCGGTGAGCAGCCTAATGTGTCAGCTCACTAACACTTATCAAGCGTAAGCTGCGTAACTTGAGAGCAGCATCGTTGTTTTCTTTTTCACCATAACATTTTAACCCGTGCTACCTCGGCGTGAACGCACTGAACTCTTCACCGTAGACACAACCCGAAATGACCCACGTGCCCTAAAATACCGATAATTTACTGCAAACTGCGTAAAGTGTGACCGAATAACCTGATCCGCGCGCATTCGTGATTTACGTGCGTGGGACGGCCCAAATAAGGAGCAGCAGCAGCCTCGGCCACCACAAGAAGAGCATTGAGCAGACGGTGCAGTCCCCCCCCACCCAGCATCCAGCAACAAGGAAACCCGAGCTGAGAAACACAAAACTTACGGGGCAGAGAGTGACACTGCGCCACTTGCGGGCACTGAACATTCGCTGGTCTCTAGCGGCCTTGCAGATATGCGGGGCTGCTGTCGTTCTCGCGTCCAGTTGATGTCATCAGTTCTGCCGCGCTGTCAAGGTGACTCATGAAAGCTTTAACCCAACTTTAATGATATAATTATTTGTTATTTTTGTTTAACGTACTTATACTCGGGGGGGGGCGGGTGTTATCCACTGCCAAATGCTAATATGGTAATCGTTAACCAAGACCAAGTTTGCACAATTGTATAAACGGAGCTCAAGTATGCGGCAGTGTTATGTAACAATGGTGATGAAGAGGGAGGAGTTATGTCGCTATGCATGGAACAAACGGATATCTGGATATGTTGACGATCTACTACATCTGCATAGCTAGTACTGTACTTTTACATGATTTAAGGCGTGCTGTTTCTGCATATTCCTGTTTTTAATACACTGTAAGTAAATTAACAAAATACGATAATCTAAAGTGCAATTCATAAAAAATACCGTTTTGACAGAACGGCGATCATTCGCAGGACCCTAAGAAGCCTTCACTTGGAGGGCAGACGGCCAGGCTGGCTCCTGCCCGAGATCTTGCCTTTGTGAACTGAAGCCCCACAGGGCCTCTGCGAGTTGTCCCAGCCAAACCCCACAGGCTCTGTGACAATCATGATCGTTCCCCAACTAGATAGGCCCAGTCTCTCGCTATATGTTTAAGAGACCAAATCGCCCTGACACAGTTAACAACTTGGCCATGAGTGTGGCATGTGATATCCCAGCTGTCCAAATTCGGAGGCAGAGAAAGTGTTAACCTCAGCGTCTCTGAAGCCGTGGGCACTGCGCTTGTGCACTCAATAAAACTCCGTAGAAATCTTCTCTGGGCTATGATTTTACTGCAAGTACTTTACATCAACAATGATACTGAAACGAGCGTCGTGGGATTAAAAGCGATGCATCGATTGAAACACATTACCTGCCCAGGATACAAGCTTCGGATTTTGTGTGTACACATCGATCCGTTATCATATGCATTATTTTGCATTACCTTTATAACCAACAATCGAAATTAGGAGCAGGAAATTACAAAACTAAACAAGGATGGCTACAAAGTGGACTCGAGGTAAATAAATGTGAGCAAAACAAAAATCAAGCACAAGTTTGCTTAACAAAGCCGAGTGGCGGTGGCTATGCAGGCCCGTGATCCAGCACCGTGGACGCAGTGAGGGTTGGTGGATAACACACAAATGTTGTGAAACTCCCTTCCCCTGGGCTCGATGTGCCATACGCATGATCGCCAGGAGAAGGCGTGCAACAAAGAACGGACTAATATCGTACAGATGTACTCGTACCATCTTATGGGATAGACTATAGAGTGTTACCACCTCGCACGCGTGGGTTTTCCCACATGTTCACGCTCATTAATTGGGTGAAAACGCATTAAAATAGAGGACCGCAGAGCTTGGGGGGGGGGTTGGGGCGGGCTCACCGCCTGGCTGCTGCCTTTCCCGCTCGTCTGTGGTTCATTCTTCTGGCCTCCGATTCGTCCTCTCTCTTTAAAGTGAGCGAATTGTGTGCGGCGACGGCACGTTCTAAGTAGAATGTATTCTTATCAAATCATAATTGTGGGGGTGGGGGTGGGGGGGATTGATAGCCCAGCATAATATGTATATCTAGGGCAATAATTGATGACGAATTTCATTATGAAAAGCAACAATTATAAAAAATATATAAGAATAGGTTTTACCCTTTCTGGCAATAAAACATGCATTCATCACACGGACTTGTGGCGAAACATGCGAACAAACATGCTCTGATAATATATGCATTATCTTTGAAACTGAGACAGCCTTCTTTATGGCCCTGTCCCACCATCTTCACACCAGAGAATTCCAAAAGGCAACCGATAAAAAAGGCAATCCAAGTAACACTTTCAACTCGACCCGAGCTATAACTCGACCCGAGCTAGAACTCGACCCATAGAAACGCAACAAATCACCCGACGCCCCCCTCCCCTTCCATTTTCTTGCCCTTAAATCCACTGCTCCCGATCATTACCCCGATCGTTACCCCGATCGCGGTCGGGCAGCGAGCCCAGACGCCCTCTTTCGATCCCTACTTTTGAGGCTGTATTGCACCGAGTTTGTGACTTACAAGTGATCTGCGGTTTTTCCCCTCTTTGTGAAATCCACTTTGTATTCTGGGTTCTTGAATGAATAATGATGGATAATAATAATAATAAAAACAAACATCACTGCTTAAAGATACAGATGTTTTAGTCTGTTCATATTACTGTCACAACATACAGATCAGGAACATAGACACTGACAGAGAAATAAAAAAAAATCTAAGTAAGCAAAGCATGGGAAGATGCAGACAGGGAATTACAATGACAGTCAGCAAGAGGAATTGCATGAATCAGAAAAGAACAAAATATCAGTCATTGACTGTTAAGTGGGCCTGGGCAGGACACTGCTAAAAGCGAAAAGTGTTGGAGACTGAAGATGGAATGGCAGCCAAAGAAGTTAATACGCCCTGAGGACTATCATCGTGGTCATGATCTGATGAGATTCGCTAATGGATAGGAGCGACATGGATTGCGGCATCGCAGGACGATGAGGGATGGCAAAGCGGGGAGGTTTTCAACCAGCACTTTATAGATGATGGCTGGTGATGATGGTATGCAAATTATATACTCTACTCATAATACATGGAGGTTAATAGAGCGAGTTATTCTGTATACATAAAAAAAACAAAAATATGCGATGGCAAATTTAGACAATAAAGACTCAATTCTTAAAACGCGGCCCTGAAAACTGACAATCGAATCGAGGAGGTGAATTGTTACGCATATTACTAAAATACGCCGGAAATTATTAATTACCAATCAATGTAATTATCCAATCATAACCAGAATGAAGTAGACGTATGAAAACCAATTTAACTACGGTAATTGTGTTGTTTTCAACTAAATGAATATATGCCTTAAAATATAAACATAGACACATTAGCTTGAAGGATCTGCATTCCGTGCCAAATGAACCATGGCTGATCACCACTGATGAATAAAAATTGCTAGGGCCTGTTCCTCTGGGTGGCAGCGTACTTCCTCTTCACCTAATGTTGATGACGTGGAGCATTGCACGTCTGTGAAAGAGAGCTTTGTAGCTCATTACATTCCTTCAGTATAAATATGAAAGAAAAAAAATCTGATTGCAGTCGTGTTCAAATATACTCATATTCAACACCTATTTACAATTTAAGGGACAGCACTTAATCACATACTGCACAGGAATTGCACAGGATAATTCTTGAACACACAATAGGCAGGTGTGAAGAGACCAACGCTAATACAAATCCCCGACAGGCAGAATTAACGATCGACCACGCAAGGCAAAACAGCTGTTTGCCAACTCGGTAGCCGTGATAATGTGTCAATGGCCTGGCAAATAACTGCACGGGTTGAATCCCTCCCCCTACCAGTAAATAAAGGCACACGTTTTTGTCAAACTACTTTCGAGCCAGCATTGTTCACGAGCTGTGTGGGACAGTGCAATAAAAACAAATGAATTGGGCTGTTGGCACAATGTTCATTGTTCACGGAGCTGTGACAACAGTTTCTGCTCCACAGCTCACAAGTGAAAGCTTCCTCGACACGTACGATTACCTCATTGTTTTCAGATCAGGTGTAAATATGAAGGAAAATAACTATCCCCACCAATTTCAAATCTGTACACACCTCTCCGGGAAGTCCACGTGATAAAGACAAGGGAATGCAATTATAGGAGAGGTCCTAGGCACGTGGGTGTGAAAAAAATACTGATACAATTTCCAGAACAAGCGGGAGGTGATTACTGTGAAAGGTTGGATCAGTCTGCAAATAGAGATCAAAAAGTACCTTTGCAAAGAATCTGACAGCATAGAAGGACCGAGTCTATGATGGGGACTTGATCTGGGACAGAGAAAGCTGTGCAGGATAAGAGGATGCGGTTGAGAATGAGGAAACCTGATTCCAGAGAAGGAGGACCATCCCCAGGATCTTGGAATCTGATCAATGAAGGAGGGGAATTGCTCTTGGCTGGGGACACACTCCAGACTGGAGGGACCCGTTCCAGACTAAGGAATTTTATCTCGACTCCAGATAGAGACCTGCTCCAGTGTGGGAGGAGTTGCTCCAGGATGGAGGGACCCCCGGCAGGCCACGGGGACCCCCGGCAGGCCACGGGGACCCCTTGCAGGCCACGGGGACCCAGGTGCAGCCCCATCGCGTGGATGGGCCACTGGGGCTGACGTCACCGCACGTCCAGGCGTTCCCGCTGAGCTGCGCCGAGTTTCAAACAGCGCAGTCAGCGGCTGAGCGGCGACGCCGAAATCGCTCTTCTGTCTCCAGCTCGCCTCTCCCGAGCGGTCCAGGGTCTGCCCTCCTCTGTGGCCCGTCTCCCCACGGCGGCCACCGCCGCAGCCGCCTTTGTCTCCCTGCCGCGCCGAGAGAGGTCTGCCGACCGCGTGGGTCGGGATGAACTCTTTGTGTTCGCGGCGCCTCTCGCGTGCTCGTCGCCCCAAGTGGCTCTCTGCATGAGTTTGTTCCGGTGACTGCGCGATCGCAGAGTGGCGCTCGGTTGTAATCGCCGTAATTCGCCGTCATTGTCCTCATTAGTCGTGGACGAAAGCCTCCCCCGAGCAGTTGCCATCTCGCACGATATTCATTTCACGGCCGTTAGACGTGTACTCTTGTTGCGGGCACGTCGAGCCCCCCGATGCTGGTTTGTTAGCTTTACCAAGATTTTAAAGCAATAAAAAAAAACTGATCTCGCCTCGGCGCCGGTCCACGGACAACCACGACGCTCATCGTCGTGGTCAGATCTAGAGATACATTGAACCCATCTCGGCTACCGAGACATAGTAATGGGGTGGGGGGGGCTAGCGTGGGAGAGGTTTATCAATCCACGCTTCTCTCGCTTTATGCGGCTAATCTATTTATACCCAAACATTCGCTCCTGCGGTTTGAACTCGCTCATATGCGGGTTGACTTCACTCATATGCGGCGATGTGGTGGGACGCGGGTCGCAACATTGTTGCAGTGAGTACTGTGTGCCGCTACTCGGTATGGCGTCTCTTACTCTTTCGCTGTGTGCGCCCCTTTTCATGGACCGCATAAAGGGAGCGGCACCCGTACACCTCGTCAAGTGGGGGTTGGGTGGTGGTGACTTGGCAGGAGGGAAAAGCGGTTGTATTGAGTGAAATCTCGAACAAAGTTGAACAAGGCTGAATTGTGGGGGCTGGGGTGCTCACACTTGCTAGAGAGAGAGAATGCTATCTTGAATCACAATACTGAATGGAGAGAGTACACTGTACACACTCGGAGAACGTGAAATAATATTAACACGGCTCACACGGTGCCTGTCCTTCAAGGCCAGCCGGTGCCGCACGTTTACTGACTGGCCATTGTCCCTGTCCGCACGGCCAAGGTACCCACGTGGCTACAGGCGACCCCAGCGTGCAGCAGTGCGTTCCATATCAAGTAACGGAATAGTTTGGATGATGAATGGTTGGTTGTTTTTGCAGAGGACAAGACTCGAGCAACGCCACTGTTATTGTGATGGACATTTATATCAAGAGTCAACGCACATTTATCATAAAGCGATGTTCAATTCCCTGTCGGATGAATGCCTCCCCACGTTTCTGTGACGCCACATTCCATCTGGAGCTAATTGTATTGTTCCATCTCTACGGTGTCCGTCCTCTCAGCCGTGTTTTTTTTATTCGCTGACATTCCACCACTCGCCCTTTCTCTCAAACTTTCTCGTGATGTGTGCCCTGGCTCCATCCCACTTAACTTTTGTTGCGAGTCAATTTGATGTTTTTGTTTTTCATGCATGCCATGATCCACGTGTCCCCCCTTTGTATCTCAATGCAAATCACAGCCCCCCCCCCCCCCCACGCTTCTTTCGGCTCTTTTCAGCGTCCATTCCATTTTTCTGTCGGCCGCTATTGTAAAGATAATAGATAATTCTGCTGGTGTGTCGTAGAATTCTGTGCAAACATGAAACTAAACTGACTTGGATAGCAAATCATGAAGACGACTTTGTTTATAAAAGTGCTTTGTTGTTTTGATGCATGTTAATTTTATTTCTATTTTCCTCGCCGTGGTTTCCTTTTCCGCCACCGCTCCAGATGCTCTCTCATTGGCATTAATTCCGTTAATTACGACCATCCGTGTGGGTGACTCTTGAAGTTGCAGCTGACAGGCTTGTGTGTGTTGTGATAAGTAGCCTCTAATTAGTCGACATTTGGTCACACCAATGCAGAGTTTGCACTCCCTTTAAACAGCTTCCTGGCCTTTTACAAACGTGCTTTCTCTCCCCCACTCTCCACATTCCTCCCTGCTTTTGTCTTCCTTCAAGGCATTTAAAGGCACTTAAAGGCACTGCATCTTGTTTCCATCAGGAATGTTGTTTCCCTTATTACGAAATTATGTTCATGATCATATTCACAGCTAAGATTTGTATGTGGGGCTGACTTTTATGTATTATCAATCAATGTTATGGAAATACCACCTCTGGCTATGAATGCAAATAGTGGCAGGCTGTGGGTGGTTTTCAGATAGCAGCCACATAGCAGTGGTCCCTGAGAGACCGGTCCACTGTCATTACGGCAATTACACCGTCTGTTACCCATCCTCCTGGGAATGCAAGAATTACTTGGCAATGCGTGCTGAGATAACCGACCTCCAAACAATGCACAGCTGTTAATGTAAAATGAATCCAGCACATTGGTATCACAGGAATCAGCAGATGACTTGAATGTAAGAATCACGTTAGCTCATGGTGCGTGGTCTGCAATGGCAGATTACTCCTCTGCTGTTCACCTAATTCCATTTAACCTTTGTCAGCAGAACGTTGTTTTTCTGTAGGGTGGGAGGAGGGGGCTTGGGTGGAATCTGACCCTTGCACATTTCCTTTAAACAGGGATAACTTGTGTTCAGGCACATTTTTTGGCTGAGCCAATCAGAAAAATGACCTGTCCCTGCATCCAATCAGAGACCAGAGCATTCGCACACTGCCTGGAGTTAGGTGGGATGGGGACAGGGGGCAGGAGGTGGAACCTTGGGAGACGATTGATGGGATCCTGCCGACAGTGGCTAGCTGCTGACACCCATCATTAATTGTGCCAGCCCTGATCTTCAGTCTACACCTGAAGATTTAGTTCTTGGGTTGCCCTCGCTCCAACTGAAGGGTCTGAGTGTTTGTAAACCGTGCCACTTCATGGTAAGTTATTTCTTTGTCCTCTTTCATTTTACACGAAATGCCTTTTTAAGTAATGGCCGTCAACTGTTTGGAGTTAATCGTCTCGTGTGGTGGAATTTCGGCTCCAAGCACATTTCAGTTTTTAAAGGTTACGTGCTTTTTATTGATTGTTTGTGTCTGTGAAACATGTATTTTCCATACATTAGCACACAATATTTGACTCAATGTAATAATCATACTTTGGAATGGCATGAACAATGAAAACATAACGTTGTTAATGTAAGCGCCAGCGTCTAGTGTCACGGTATTTTCGTGTTATTTTTTTCTGTGTTGCCAGTAGCCATGATTCAAACCATGCCTTTTCAAAGGCTTTTTTTAATGTATTTATGACCAACGACTCAAAGCAACAAGTCTCATCATGATATAAATATTGCATGCAATCGTGGCCACGAGTGCTCTACATTATAGCTGCCCATCGCATATCTGATTATACTGGGAATGTTCACAGCATGGTGTTGAAGCCTCTAGAAAAAAACCACAAAGAGAGAGGCGAAGGGGAATAATGGGAAAGAAGGACAAAGAGCATGAGCGGAGTAAGAGGGGGGGGGGAAGCCAGGAGTGCTTCTCTAAGGATGAGCAACACACATTTATTCACTCATATTAGCCAGCCAGCACGACATCCCAACAATTCCCTGTTTAAGAAGATGGGATTCTCCACAGGATTTTTGATCGACATTCCGATATTTGCTTTGGGATTGGCGCTTAGTATGGAGTAGACTGGTGCTCGTGGGGGAGGGGGCCCAGATGCTCGCAGCATGGGGCAACCCACCCAACCCCCATTTCATTACATCTACCCTCTGCCCCCACTCCGTACCCCTTCCGCCTTCTCACCCTGCCCTGACAAAGCCTCTTCTCTGCTCCAGACAAACAGTTCCCTGTGCGTAATGTAATGTTTCTTGGAGTACGCATCTTGATCAACTTAAGTTACTTGCATTTAAACATTTCATATAGTTGGCACTTTCATACAAAGGGCTGCTGCTTTGTGTGTGTTGCATGAAACGTTTGTGGATTTGTGGACTTGCTTTTGCCCGTGCTTATGTGCACATTGTTTAACGCAATTCTCTCTCTGCAGCGCTGCGTCTGAACAGCGTCCAAGATGAGCTGGAGCTTCCTCACACGGCTGCTGGAGGAGGTGCACCAACACTCCACCTTCCTGGGCAAGCTATGGTTCACCACCTTCCTCATTTTCCGCATCGTGCTCACGGCGGTCGGGGGCGAGTCCATCTACTATGACGAGCAGAGCAAGTTCGTGTGCAACACGGCGCAGCCTGGCTGCGAGAACGTCTGCTACGACAGTTTTGCGCCACTCTCGCACGTCCGCTTCTGGGTGTTCCAAATCATCATGGTTGCCATGCCCACCATCCTGTACCTCGGCTTTGCCATCCATCGCATTTCCAGGTGAGACCGAGTAAATAGTCAATGGGCCATAGTGGGAAATTGATACCACACGTGGTTGCAAAAAAAACGTCGCATCGATGCATTTACAAGGCGAATAATGAAAATATGGTCGGTCCTCGACTTACGGACGAGTTCAGTTTCAGAGCTCCGTAAGTCTAATGGTTTGTAAGTCGGAACACACTAATGTACCGTACTTTATTTAAATGCGCGTATGAAATATGTTGAGGTTCAACGAAAAAGGGAACCATTGTTAAACTCATAAATAACTAATATTGTACGTTTGCATGGAATATTTTAATGTATATTGTATAGTAAATATAAAATAAAGTAATATAATTAATATATATATATATTTGTACTTGCCTTGAATCCCCACAGTTGTGCCTTGAGTCCCCACAATTGTGCACACACACACAGGCACTCACTCCGAGCACGAGGCTGCCTCATTACGTCTCACGGAGGATCTCTCCGCTGAACAAACGAGTTCCGTTGTTCAGTTTGCCTGTGCGAGCTCGCATTTGAAGTTGATGTTTTAAAAAAAAAATGGAAGCTGGTTCGTAAGTGCGTGCATTCTATAAGTCGAGGACTGCCTGTAAATTGTTGGATTACCAAATAATTCAAAGGTTATCTTGTTGTAATATATCCTGTTATTGGCCATAGAAAGAATGTGTAACCACTAGAGTTATTCCACCGCCGTTGGTACTAACAAGTAACATTTCTGGTCTGGACCCATGGACTAAAAGTGACAAACTGGCAGCGTTGGCGTCTGTTATTGTTTGATGTAGCTTTGCATTCATGCCTTGATGACAAATGTGCATGGGTTGCCTTGTGCATGGCTGTGGAGTGTTTTTTTTCTTCATTTTACTTGTTTACCTAAGTAATATAAATGTACATAGTAATGAATACGTAAGTTCATTGTGTTTTGGATATTGCCTGGCGATACTGCAAGACACGTGTTTTATATATGTATAACAGTTATAATTAGCCTGCCACGTTTACGATCTCGTTTTATTGAACAATTTAAGTAGAGTATGTGATGATTTCCAAATTACGTTTCGGTAAGCCTACTTAAAAATAATAAAAGGGGGTATCAGCTCAAGTACTCTTAAAATAACAGACTTTAAGTGTTCTCAGGGGCGATAATTAGAAGTAAAAGTGGATTTCCAGACAGCCAAATAGCTTTTATATCTGTAAATGATATAACATTTTATAGAGCGCGGATTTTCATTTACTTATGACGTATGAAATTTCGAGATTAAATTAAATGCGCACTCTTTATCGTGCGCCGTGCCAGGAGCGAAGACAAGTGTGTCAAGCGGAAGCGAACTCCACTGGTGTGCCGTGGCCCCGACCGCGGGGTCGAAGAGGCGGAAGACAACATGGAGGAGGACCCCATGGTGTGTGAAGAGGAGGAGGAGGAGGAAAAGAAGACGGGTGGAGGAGACGACAAGAAGAACAAGGAGAAGCAGCACGACGGGCGGCGGCGGATCAAGACGGACGGGCTGATGAGGGCGTACGTGCTGCAGCTGCTGGCGCGCACGTTGGCCGAGGTGGGATTCCTGTTCGGGCAGTACCTGCTGTACGGCATCGAGGTGACCCCTCGCTTCGAGTGCTCCCGCGACCCCTGCCCGCACCGCGTCGACTGCTTCATCTCGCGCCCCAAGGAGAAGACCATCTTCCTTTTGGTGATGTACGCTGCCGCCGGGCTCAGTCTGCTGCTGGACCTGGCCGAGATGTGGCACCTGGGGCTGGGCGCCATCCACGACTCGCTGAGCGGAAGGCGCTCTCGTCAGCAGGAGGACAGGTGCGACTGCTGCATTAAGAGCCAGCCTCCCATTTAGATGGCATTCAAATGCCTCAGCAACGCCAAGTGCCTTGCATCACATCTCGTCTCAAACAATTCAAAGGGCACCCCCAGTGGCAGTTGTCCCTATGTGGTACAAGGTGACTTAGCACGGGCCTGTAAGTGGACATTTTTTGGCAATCAATTGATTAATTTGTGGATTATTTTTCAAATTTGGCAAATTTGGACCATGACATACAATGTCCTACTCTTTTCGAATGAGCTCACGGGATCTTTAACGTACAATGTGAAGCAGATTGGGAGCGTATCTCATACCTGTCAACCCCTTATCAGTGCTTACCTTATTACAGACCAATTCAGACCTTATAGGTCACCCCGTGCCCTTATAATTCTCAACGTTCATCCTACAAAGTCCCATCAAAGGGGAGAAACACAAAAAAAAGATACATTCTATTTTGTTGCCCGTATTCAAATGCCTGTACGCCGTATGGACCTGAACTCAAAATGGCCCTGTCTAAGACTACGGGTAAACCGTATGAGTCGACAGGTATGGTATCTGCTTCACAGTAATAACCAGGGCAGCCTGTCAGATTTGAACCATGAACCTCTGCAACAAGCGGCAAACACATTGAGTGCTGGAACTAAATATTGACCTTTAACGAATTGATAATGCACTTACAAGGCCTCCAAGACAGTGTGTGCACGTTGTTGTGAATATACACCACGGTGATAAGATATGTGGTGTGGAAATGCAGGAGGGCAGTGTTGTCAACTCCAGTCGTCACCCCACCCCACGATGTGCAGCACATGTTATCTGGCTTAATTGCAGTGTTATTTAATTGAACATTGTTTAGGTTTATGGTTAGGAATTTGCCCAACGCGTGTAATTGGATACCATTTATACGCACACCCTCACTTTAAAAGTCTCCATTGCGTGGCAGCCTGTCTCAAGCCTGCCTCATCCATACACACCTCTCATGTTGGCCGAGCCGCTGCAAGATTACACATTCTAATACTGTTTGGACATCTCTTCACTCGCCATGCAGTACCGCTAACACATGTTTGTGAACGGTTTTAAGTTTCCAACTGATATATTTTTGTAGGTCAGCGGGCAAGCACGCAAAGAAGGTGACATCGAAGATAACGATGACTAACGGTGGTTATCGGGAGAGCAACGGAGTGCGCGTGCCGTCAGCGCCCCCAGGCTACCTCACGGCCATGAAGCCCTCCTCAGACGGAAACTACACCAGGTGGATTTCACGAGCACTCTGTATACCGCACTGTACACGCACAGTGTCAACTACATTTTGTTCAATTTTACTTCAACTAAAAGACCCTTCTTGAATTTCGACTCTTTCAGGGTACCAGATGGTAAGCTGTCGCTGAGGCAAGCTTCGGTGGATCCCAGCGCAATGTCACCGCAGGATTTTGGGCGGCTCCAAGATAACCTGCGCAACCTTCAGATGCAACTGGAGCTGGCCCTCAGGCCCCGGGGGCCCCTTCAGCTCCCGCAGGCCACAGCCCATGCGTCCTGCAGTGTGAGCACGCCCGACACCGACATTGTCACGGTGGAGCAGAACCTCGCCAACGCCGCACAGGAGCTCCTGAAGTGACCGCCCGGTGCCGTTGAGCCACCACCACGTGGGTTGGCACCACCACCACGTGGGTTGGCGGCACCACCCCCTCAGACAGAGAAGTGCCTTTCGACCGATATGTATTCACATCGCTGCCCTTTGCCTCAGTACCTGTGATTTTGTCCTAACGCTGTCAATTTTTTTTAAAGAGGATTTTTTTACATGTATTTTGATAAGTAAACCACTTTTTTGCCCACCACATGTATCGTGATTGCACGTGATTTTGGCTGTGGAACCTTATTGCCTTCGGTACGAAATTTAAGACCACTTGCACCAGCAGTTAGTTTAGTGGACTGAGAAGCTGGGAATGAAGAGTCAAGGGTAGTGGAGCTGACAACCACAGGTAACAGCCATAGCCACGTGTAATGGAAAGGTGGGAAAACAAATGGTGATCCATGCTAGTTGCTCAAAGTGTTACAGGTTTAGTTGAGCAAGGGCATAGCAATGTGAGGGATTTGGTAATTAGTTTTTCTATTTTGTTAGAACTTGTCATTGACTTCCTCCTTCTGAATATTCCTTATTTTAACAGAGAATGTAGCCGGGTGCTTCCTCTAATTCCTCTGTAGGGTTTTTTTCCGATATGAGAGGAAATGTAAACCATGCCTTGATGCATTTTAATTTGGTTTCACCCTTAACGTGCCTTGGGTTTTGTATGCTAGTTGATTTTTTTGGCATTATTATCCATTATGTCTTTAATACATTCCATTTACTTAGTCGTAATGCGCTGCTGTTTTGATTGTTTTAACTTGAAACGTTTTCTTTACATCTGAAAGTAAAAATGCTGCCATTTGGACACCTAGTCGAAGCTGATTACTGTAAACATATTTTCTTACGTATTAAAGTAGAAGTTTACACTTTTTGTATCTACCGCAGTTTAAGTCACTGCCATGCAAATTACGAACGTGTCCTGGAGACCCCAGAGGATATGTTTTAAGCACCATTTGAACAAGCTCTCAATGCACGCGTTGGTGGTGTCCATGTTAAAGTTTGCTCTCCGCGCCAAGGCCGAGCGTCAAATCATCCCCCACCCCTTGTCGCCGATTGAGCCAGATGGCATTTGCATTCAGATGCCACCGCGAGAAGCCCCGACGGCGTATCCAGCGCGATGTTGCCCCCTACGGCTTTCACGCTCGCAGCAGAATGTGCTTGGCCACACCTGATGACGCCGGTTTGTTTTGATGTGCCCCCCCCCCCCCCACACGCGGGACGCGGGAGAGTGGGGCTCCCTCCGCTTGCAGATGAACCTCGCGCGCCTTTTGTTTGCAACTTCTAAATTAGGAATGTGTGTGGATTTTGACTTTTTTTATTTACATTTGTCTTAAAAGCATTATTTTGGGAATGCGTTAGTTGCGTATTAACGTACCTGTTTTGGGCTGTAGTACTTCAGTGCTACGAGCCAGTTTGTGTAAACACTTCACGTGACCATTTGCCTACACTGACATTTGTGTAGGGAGAATGGCTGTGCAGTGGGCAGCAGAGGGGTAGATAACAAATGCCATTGTTATACTGTAGTTCTAGGCTCGCACATCCATGCTCCCTCCCCACCTTCAACCCACACTGAGACCTGCGTGATATGGTCAAATAACCATCACCACCCACATGGCACGGGGAGGCCCTCTTCTAGCAGTGGATTGACCAAGGGTTGTAAGTGTACAAATGTACACTGCAAACGTATGGGAAAGTGCTACACGTGAAGTCTTTAATGTAACCGGCTACAGCATTCACGTCTACCCACAATTATGAATTCAGTAATTCCCAATTCGGAAATATGTGCACCTGTGTATAATCGACAAATCAACATTTTGAAACATTGGCACACTCGGCAAGACATGTGAGTTGCATGCTATAGTTACTCCTATAATGTGTCGTGCCAGTTCCAGTTATACTGGAATGGAACTATGGCCACATTCCAGGGATCCATGCGGCGTTTACCGATAATGTACTTGAAGTCTCTGATACTGGATATTCTGGTTTTCAAGATAAGCAGATTTATTGCAGGTGCGTGCTACTGTTTGTCTTAATTACTATCATGTTCCTGTGCTGTACATCTTTTCGATGACCTCATCAGTCGCTTCATTGGCGTTGCCACGTTGCGGTGCGCGCGTGGAGTGGTGCTTTGTAGTTTAATTGGGCTGATTTTTTGTAATAAAAGTAGATGTTTCTACCCCACTGTCGGCTGCGTGGATCGTCACATCTGCAGTGCTTACACACATAGAGGGGCATTCTCCATGTGCCATGTCCACAAAAACGCCGGGGATCTTGGCCATCCTTTAGCTATGGAAGATTATTAACAAGCAAAACACCTTAAGATGCCTAGGCCTACGTAGGGTGTGTGCCAAGCTCGTCCGACACGCGTTTGAGGATTTTATTAAAAGCACCCAAAATGTTTACATTTATATAGTCCGATCTTAAATTGATGTTTCTGGACTCGCGGATTTAAAATGTACGAGGTTTGCGCAACCATAAAGTCGAGACCGCTAAAATGGAAGTGGCTGAGCTCAACTTTAAAGAACTAAAAAAAAACGCTTCCAAACGGGCATCGAGGACGCGCGGTATCGGCCCGACTCTACAACATGAGAGGTATTTGTCATGTGGCCGCATCGGGGATCCCTGCAGCCGGGACTCGAACTCCTCCACCCACGGTCGCTCGTCAGCCGTGAAGATGGACGCACCCCCCGTGCGCCGACTCGCCCCCGAACAGACTGCGCACGAATGGGGCGTGAGGCTCCAAGGAGACATTGGCCCAAGCGGTGGTCGGGGAGCGGCGAAGTCACTTCTGGCCGCTTTGGGGTGGTGGGGGGGGGGGTCGTTGTCCATCCATGCGTCGCCTGTGCTGCGTGCAAGTTGACCGGTCATTGTCGAGGCGTGTGGCTCATCCCGTGCGAGGTTGCTGCGCGGGAGCCGTCTCCTGCACGCGCCTCGCATAACCCTTGGTCCCGTGTGCAGTGGCGCGCGTGGAGCCGTGGGGCTCGAAGTCTTTCCCATACACATCACATCAACGCCTACAGTTTTGGCAAACTATTCTGCATCGTGCATCGCCGCGTGGGAACCATCGGAATGCGTCTTCGGGAATCGCGCAGCAAACCCGAAATGTCAGCGGGCGTCACGGACGACCCCTGGGAACTGCCCTGTCATGTTCCGTCAGGCGCAGACCGCGAAGCGCGCTGACTCGCATCATCACCAACACGTCCACCGCCACTGCGCCCCACTCCACCGCTCAATATCCCCACCACGCGAGTACTCTTACCACCCCCACTCGTCCTCACCACCCTCACCACCACCCCCATCTTCCCCGCCCTCACCGCTATCATCACCATGGTCGCCGCCACCACTTTCATTGCACCTCACAACCTCGTCCCATCACCATCCTGACCATCCTCGCCGCCCACAGCACCACAATGGCAGCTCACCACCCTCACTCGTACCATCACCACCCTCAAACATCACTCCCCTCATTGCACCTCGCCACCCTGATAACATCACCGTTGAGGCGCCACGGTGGCTATGATATATTAACGACCTCGCCTGGTGTACAGGAGGTCGTGGGTTCGATCCCGACCCTGACGCCTGCTGCTGTATATTTGGAGTTTGCATGTCCCCCTCTCTCCCCGTGGTCGCGTGGATTTTTCTCCGGGTCCTCCGGTTTTCCCCTCCACATTTAGAAACGAGCGTTTACAGTATCTGACTGAATGCATTTCCAAGTGACGATATGCCACTTCGTTGAGCTATCGTTTGTGGCCAGGTCGCTTCTGAAAAATAATAATATCGAGCTCAGTGGGCCTTACCTCGTAAAATAAACAATAAAAATTGTCATCACACTCTCATCACCATCGCCACCCTCACTGCACCTCGCCACCTTCACCAGGCGATGATTCTGGCCCAGCAGAGGAGTAACTCCCTCGCCTAATAATAGGCGCAACTGAGCCGGCGGGGGTGCTGGAGGGGACGGGGGTAGGGAGGGAGGGAGGGGAGGAGGGGGGCGAACACGGGGCTCTCCTGCCCCGGGGCCGCCACGACCGCGTCCCGCTCAGGCGTTGCTAAATCTGTCCGGGACGCGGGCCGCGAGCCGCACTCCGCAGCATCACAGCCCCGGGCAGCAGGCGGGAGCGTGGGCGCAGGGTGGCCCGAACTCTTCTGCAGTCTCCCATCGCAGGCATGTAGCGGTACCAGTCGGGTTCTGCAAAAGTCCGCGCGTAGTGGTTCTCAACGTCGGAGCGGCGCGCGTCTGGAGGGTTACCGCTGCGCTTGGAGCCCCGCGCGAGAGGGACACGAGAAGGCGGAAGGCGCGAAGGGGGCCGCCTGTCCTGCGGTAAGCGCGCTCGGAGCGTCGTGCGTGATGTTTTGCAATGCCCCCCTCCCCCTTACCACCTCGCCCCTCGCTCGTGCCGTTCACACGCACCAGCCTCGCTCGGTGACCAGGTCTCGTATCGAGCTGCTGCCGCTGCTGCTGCTCTCCGCTTGTGCAGTTGCAGGTGCGCGTGGCCCACCCAGTCCGTGCCCCGCTGAGAACAGAGAAACGTTACAAACCCTGCATGTTGCTCAACGCATTTCGCAACACGTAAATTATGTCTTACGTTCAGTTTTTTGCTCAGGTGCAATGCCAGAATTTGGTTATAAAGTATATGGGTGTATATATATATATGCCCCTAGCTCTGCATTTCAAAGTTGCATTTAACTTCACAACAAATTGCACGTTTCCCTAAGCGTCCAATTAATGCCTTCATATGTGAGGGGGGAAACTCTCTGCCATGTCAACCCCCGAGTTGGCCGTGGAAGCCGCGTCTGACCGTGCCACCCACGAGGCCCATGTCCTTCAAGGACCCTTCACTCGTCCGTGCGCACTGCGGCTCAGGCGCGCGACCACGGCAATCATTGCCTGGCGCCGCAGATATGCGGCTTCAGGGACGTGGCGTGATGAACACGAGCCCTATTCGTATCCAGCGAAGCATCATCCATCACATCGCGGCAGTTTGGTCCTTTGGGAGAGATCCGGAGGCTGCGTGAGGACACGCAGCCCCAGAATGCAGCATGCATGATAGTACTAGTTTATTCAATTTCAAAAAGGCAAACCAACTTTATCGAGTGACTCCAGAGAGGATAGCGTTTTTTAGCACAATTCTTTGCGAGGTGCCTGCGGAGATGGAGATCCTGGCGACGCGCTCACCGTGCGGTAATGTTGACGCAAATAAACGCGGGCACAGGGCGCATGATCCCGTACAGGCAGCAGGGATGGCAATGGGTGGCGCGTGGAGGCTGCGCGAAACCCGAGCCCTGGGCCGCGAATAGATCACGCTGACGGCCGGGCCCGTGAGCAGTGCCGACAGCTGCCCTCCCCGGCCGCCCGCCCGCCTCTAAATCCGGGGCGCGGGTCCAGCCGCCCTGCCCCCGTTACAAGCGTCGAGGGGCGCAGCTCACTCCGCTCCAACAGGCTCCTCCAGAAATATCCGCCCGTGCCTCACGATGAATCTGCGCGGCGCTTTGTACACCAATTGCGAGTGATGTCAGCCGGGGCATACGGCGGTTTACACAAATTGAGGACACATGTGCTGGTCGGATCCGTGCACTGCTCACTGGACTCCAATGCCAGGTCGAGCTGCGTCTTGACCCAGCGCGTCCATTTCACGTGAAGTCCTCACAAACAAAGCACTGTGCAACCCCTAGTCGAAGCCCCATATGTTTGGATTCGAAATAACTATAATATTGATGCGCAAACGTTGCAATTTCCCTGAGCCTGCCTCCACTGTGTAACAGACTAAAGGCAATGACCTTGCACAATGAGGTGTTATTGATATCCAAGAGACTGCACACAGTCAGATCCTGAAAACGAACGTACATTTGTGGAAAACCTTCTGAAGCATTCCGATTAAGTCCACCATCCCTCTGGAGGGGGTAAAATTTGCATCACCTGGTGAGGTGCAACAGTAACCTTGCGTTTGACAGACCTAGACCCATCCATGGAAACATGGATTTGCCACCAGTATCCTGAGATCAGTGATTAAGATGAGCACCGTGCTGTTATGTTCTGTTGTCAGGACAACGAGAGAAATCTGTGAAGATGAGCAGGAGAGCGGAATTGTTTGGGGGCGCACCACGCTTTCTCTCCCGACCGAAGGCATGCACGGTGCCGCAGGGCCAGGATGCCACTCTCAGCTGCCAGATCGTGAGCTCCCCGAGCCCCACCGTCACCTGGGAAAAGGACAGCAAGCAGATCCGCTCGGGAGGCCGCTACAAGATTGTGGAGGAGGGCAACACATACCGCATGACGGTGCGAGACCTCATGCTGTCCGACAGCGGCCAGTACATCTGCAGGGCCCGCAACTACGTGGGCGAGGCGTACGCGGCCGTCACGCTGGTGGTGGAGTACACGCCGGGCTACAGGCAGGAATCGAGCGCTCCACTCCTGCCCCATGAGCCTCCCGCGTTCATCATGAGGCCGACCTCGCAGAAAGTCTCCCAGGGATACAGCGCCACGTTCACCTGCATGGTGAGCGGGCGCCCGGCGCCCACCATCACCTGGCAGCGGGATGGCAAGAACGTCGACAACTTTGTGGATAGCTACCGCTTCCTTACCGAGGGCAGAGACGGCATGCACACGCTGAAGATCAACAGCGTCCGCCCCAGCGACATGGGCACCTACAGCTGCAAGGTGAAGAACAGCGCCGGGGAGGTCAATGCGTCCGCCATCCTGGGAGTTCCGTCGGAGCAGATTTTGTGGTCAAAGCCCCCGTCGACGGCGTACGGCAAGAAGGAGGAGGACACACCGGCACTCTCGTACATGCACCGCAAGAGGTTCGACTATCACCAATATTCGAGCAACGCGTTGACATCTCGGCTGAGTCCCTACACCTCGTACCGGAGCTACTCGCACTCGCCCGTGCGTCCGCAGGAGGAGGCCTCCACCAGGTCCTACTCGCGATCGCCCAGCCGCTACGGCCGAGAGCAGTTGTCTCCGAGCGACGCGGCCACAATGGTAGGCACGGGAAGGAGCCACGGCCTACGGGGGCCACGGCGGTGTTATCCTTGTCACCAGTGTCACCGTGCCTCCACTGCAGACAAGCAAACTGTGTCAGCCTATAAATTAAATTGGGACCCATATATGTGCAGTACCATGTGAGGATTTATCATTGTTTAAAGAAGGTGTCCAGTAATTTACAAATTTCCTGCACAATCCCAGAATGTTATGTCAATATTATTGTGCACAATTCTAATTCATGGCCCTAATAACAACTCCTTACAATAGCTGTATAGTTTTTACATGATGGGGGGGGGAAATAATAGGTTTTATCTTTCGACAATACAACAGGTGGTGTTAAGATGCTCAAACGCCAAATAGATACATTTTGCAGGCATCAAGTCTGCATTTAACCACGCATATACGTGTGGCAGAACATGTAAACAAACATGCTCTGACAATACATGCATTGTCTGTGAAACTCACTGGACTACACCAGAGGCAGCAGCCTTCTTTACGGCCTTGTCTCACCAGTGTTAGACTAAAAAACACCTTATTTTATTATGTTTTATTTTTATTATCTTATTATTTCCCTTATACGTGACTACCGAAAGAACCAAGAATATAAAGAACACCTTATTTTATTGCCAGAAAATATACCACCTATTCTTATTTTTCATAATTTCTGATACTGGTAAAGAAAGGTCCCATAGTTTATACATCTATAGCATAACACTATAATTTGAACAGGAAACAATATAACCATGAAATATAAATTATCTCAATGCATTGGCAATTGTCTCGTGAGGATGAGGAGGCCAAGGAGGGCAGTGTGACGCGACAACAATCTGACTGCAAACCCCGTGGGTTCAACACACGCGAACACGTGTGTTGAACCCCCCGTGTGTTGAACCACAGCGTGCAAGAAGCAAGTCGCCCATTTACCGGCAGGAGGCCCGGGCCCCCCGCGCCCCCTCCCCCAGCCGCCCCGGCAAGGACTACCTGTCGCCTGCCCACACCACCTCCAGCTACCGGGTAAGAGGGGCCACATCCATCTTCGTCCCCACGCCGTGGTGCCAAGAGGTAGCTGGATTGTCCCTAGAAGAGTGTGGATGGAGTGCGTGTGTGCCCCCAGATTGCTCGTCCATGATATAAATCACGCATATGCATGGAGGTGATGTAATGCTTTGCAACTGTTTGAAAGCTGAGTAAAACATCAATCAATCAATATTTATTTTGCCAGTATTGCCCTCAATATAGTAGGCATCAGTGAACGTTTACAGTGGAACGTGAACGGTGCAGGATGCACAGAGCAACAAGGAACACAAATACAACACCCGTCACGACCTCAGTGGCTAACACAGACACATTTGCATATTTTTAAATATTCCAGGTTCCTCTGGTTTTATGTCTCCAGGTTTTGGGCAACTCTTCGATCAATGTGGCCGGTTTAAAAAAAAAGTCTGAGTCCCAGACTGCAACACGGCGTTGTACTGGACTCACTCGCTCACTGTCTGAGTGCCTGACTGCAACACGGCGTTGTACTGGACTCACTCGCTCACTGACTGAGTCCCTGACTGCAACACGGCGTTGTACTGGACTCACTCGCTCACTGACGGAGTGCCTGACTGCAACACGGCGTTGTACTGGACTCACTCGCTCACTGTCTGAGTCCCAGACTGCAACACGGCGTTGTACTGGACTCACTCGCTCACTGACTGAGTCCCTGACTGCAACACGGCATTGTACTGGACTCACTCGCTCACTGACTGAGTCCCTGACTGCAACACGGCGTTGTACTGGACTCACTCGCTCACTGACTGAGTCCCTGACAGCAACACGGCGTTGTACTGGACTCACTCGCTCACTGTCTGAGTCCCAGACTGCAACACGGCGTTGTACTGGACTCACTCGCTCACTGACTGAGTGCCTGACTGCAACACGGCGTTGTACTGGACTCACTCACCGGGATACATGGCAGCACGGGGTCACGACGCCCTCCACGTCAACCAATACGCCACAGCTGTCCAAGCACCTTCAGTTGGGACTTCAAAATATGTTGAGTGCCTGAGCAGCAGCCAGTTGTGCCTGGGCCGACTACAATTTGATGGATATTGAATCATCTTTACGACAATAATAGTGACCCTCCGTTATGAGCAGACAGAAAGTGCAAATGCCTAAAGGCCCACATTTTTGAAAAGTGTAGGCCAGTTGAGTGCTTCCTACTACTCAAAAGTCAGTGAGCAACTCTGTGTGAGTCATTATGCCCCAAGCACCGACCACTCTGCAGTGGCATTCACAGTGCACGAGTGGGTCCTTGTACACAATGCATTTTGCGCACATTGAAATCTGCGCGATTGGTTTGTGCACATCCGTGTTTGAATCGTTTGCACATGCCGTTTATTGAACCTCTTAAGTACGCTGAATTGATAGAAGTTGAGTGAGTCGTTGACCCTAAATTGCCTAGGCACGTCGAGTGGTTTGAGCGAATCGGGCCGCACAGTGCAGCACTTTGGACCAGCGCGTGTCTGCTTTGTGTTCGCCGTGCCGGGCAGCAGCCGGGCAGGAGTGCGTCCCGGTCTCCCGTGCGCCTGGTGGAGGAAACACCGGACACCAGGGTGGGCTCCTCGCGCTACTCCACGGAGAATCTGCTCAAGACCACCAAAACCTTCACGGTACGCTAGGCACCACTGGGACGCTGCGAGCGGCGGCTTGGCACGTTTTTATCGACCTCCAGTTAAATGTGTGAATCACAAGCTTCGGTGGTGCACACAAAAATGCCTAAATATATATTACGGCTGGGAGGCTTAGGAGGCCGTATAAAATGGCAGGGTGGCTTAGGAGGCTAAAACTGATGCTGGCTCCGAGCACTAAGCTGACACCACTCAAATTCTGGGTTTGAATCCAGGCAGCCACCTTAGTTTAGTGGAGTGAATTGAAGGGCGCAGGCTAACCGCCATGCGATAAAAGAATCATATAAAACTTGGTTTAAGGCTTGAATGACATGTGACAAACACCCTTTGCAGGGTATTTAAATGTGTGCTTCTATTGTGACTAAACGCACACATTGAAGCGCTCAGTCCTGCTGTGGTTCTGTAATGTCATCTTCTGCGGCTGTACCCTGAGAAGGTGGTGTATTACTCACTGCAAGAGTTCAAAATAGAAATATGTTCATTTCGTAACATGACACAAATTTCACAAGTGTAATATATTATTTGGAGAAAAGATACATGTTTTATATTTTGAACGTATGTATAATTTGGCTTAATTATACATTTTAGCAAAGCTCAGTTTTATATATTGTACCTAGGCTTTCATGACCAATATTAAGATTCAGAATTAGTTATTTTTCGTGTGATCGTAGAGGTGTAATATAATTTTTTTCAACTATCGCTCTCGACCACCCGACAGAACCAATCAAATCAAGTTGTCACGTGTGTTGATTTAGTGTTTTAGCAACCCAGAATGTTAAAAAGCCAGCATAATTTAGTCGATTTATCCTGTCAAAATAACCTGAAAGAAACTAATCACGAGCTATTTTCTTACTCACCGCACAACAACTTTGATAATGTTGTTTGTCGCTTTCCACTTGGGACTGTACTAAGCAACAGTTTTTTTTAATCTACGAGCCCCCATTTAAATTGCCTTGACCGCAATTTCTACTGCATGACAAGGAACCTGGCAATTGTTTGGTACACCAGTCCTGGAGTTGGCTTAACTTAATTCATTTGCCGGTATATCAAAGTTGAAATTCAAGGTGAGCCCAGCTTATGATGGCTTTACTCCAGCAGTAGCTCAACCTGCACATGCAAATCCACCCAGTGGCTGAGCCCAACCCTGTCTGCGACATTATTGAGCCACCGGTCTGACCGTCCCATCTCGTTACCGGTAACCCTGTGAGCCCGATTGTTCTGTGCACGCTCCGTGCAGGTCACCGAAGGGAAGCACGCGCGCTTCAGCTGCTACGTGACGGGCAAGCCGAAGCCGGAGATCGTGTGGAAGAAGGACAGTGAGATCATCGTCCCGGGACGCCGTCACCTGACCTACGAGGACGACGACGGGTACTTCATCCTCAAAGTGCTCTTCTCCAAGCAGTGCGACAACGGCCTGTACACCTGCACGGCCACCAACGTCGTGGGCAAGACCTACAGCCCCGTACAGCTCATCGTGCACGGTAATTACCGGGGAAGGCGCAGCCTGCATCATTGAATATATATCATGCATCATCATCATCCTGCGCAATGGCCATGGTCTATCCACTGTTGCCGCGATTCGCCAAGCTCCTGCATTGCCATTGTGCGTGTCATTGAGCCCACAAGCTGAGCTCGTCATGCCTTCTCCATTGTGGTTATTCTCTTGTGGATGTTCTTTCATTTGGCTGCCGTTCCATTCATCATCCATTGTCCATCATCATCAGCGTCCCTTGTAGCGACTTGTCCTATCCAAGCCCACTTACTTAATTTAACCGTTAATATGATGTGAGTTACATTGAGTCATTGGCCTGGCTACTCACACTCTGTTTTCTTTTTCAGCTGTGTCCTTCTAAACCAGTATTTTGTTTTGATCAGTGAACCCGTCGTTGTACTCGGCGTGACGTGGCACCCGGAGGGTGACGGTCGCGAATCTTCCCATCTGCAGAGCCACGGGTGCCCTTCAGGACCAAGCTGCGTGATGTGGAGGTGCGAGAGAAGGAGTCGGTGACGCTGGAGTGCGAGGTGCCGCACCGCGGCGTGAAGGCCAGCTGGTACCTGGAGGAGACAGAGCTCGAGCCTCATCCGGACAAGTACGTGATGGAGGAGGAGGGGACGATGCGCCGCCTGACGATCCGCAACGTGACGGCGGACGACGAGGCGGTGTACGTGTGCGAGATGTCCGAGGGCAGCCGCACCGTGGCCGAGGTCACCGTCAAGGGTACGTGCTGGTGGTGCCACCCGAGACCTCACGCGCCGCACGTGTTTCGGCTTTGCTGTTGGGGTTTAAAAAAAAATCTTAGGCATAGTTTATCACAAACAGGGCTTCATTTCTCACTTAATATTTTCTCGGTCGCTGGTAGACCGGACTATGCACGTGACTAGTAGCCACAGCCATAGCAAGATGAATACTTGATGTGGAGTGCTGCATGTGGAGGGGTTTTGCGGGTCACGAACCTCGACAGATCGTAAGCGGCCACTCTCCGATGTTGCACTGTGCTGCTCGCGGCAGGGGTGATTGTGAAAAAGCTGCCACGTCGGCTGGAGGTACGAGAGAAGGAGACTGCTTGCTTCACTGTGGAATTGAACAAGGAGGGCCTGGAGGGTCGCTGGCTCCAGAACAACGTAGAGATCCGCCCTGGCCCCCGGGCGAAGGTGGAGGTCTCCGGGACGAGTCACACGCTGAGGCTCACGGAGCTCACGCAGCAGCAATCGAGCACCATCGTCTTCCTTACGGGGAGCTCCAGGACAACCTCGCAACTCGTTGTCACCGGTGCGTACCTCACCAGAGAATGCCGATTCTATCCGTCGAAGCAATGATTCCTGTAGTCGACGGGCGGTGATAAATCCGTGGAGGTCAGCGTGATCGTGGCACTGTGTTTTTTACTTTCAGCGATCCGGTACGCCCCGCCGGCTCCGCCGACGGATGCCATTGCAAGGGCGCAATCGGAGAGCTGGCTGCTGCTGAGCTGGTGCGCACCTCCCGAGCGGAGCCGTGCCCCCGTGGAGGGATACGTGGTGGAGGCGAATCGCCTCGGCAGCAGCGTGTGGACACGCTGCCACGCATCCGCCAGCGTGCCCGGGCCCGAGTTGCTCGTGGAGAACTTCTCCAAGGAGGGCGACTACCAACTGCGGCTCTCCTCCGTCAACGCAGCAGGGCGCAGCCTCTGCGTCGACATCCCTGGAACGTACTACATAGGTCGGTACGAGCTGTGCCTGTCAGCTTGACAAAGCAGTGGGGCTTTTTTAATTAAAAGAAAAAGAGTATATTTGTTGTAACTATGTAACACGCGTCGAATGCCATCGTTACAGCCACTTTGAGTTGTATGCGTCACTTGGCGCTCGTTACAACAACAACGGAGGCGGTGCGGCGCGACCGCTGACCCGCGGTTTGTTCCACCGTGCGGTGCGCAGTCCCAGCAGCGAGGCCGATGGCAAAGCCGGGTGCCCAGCTGGAGGTGCGCGTGGAGGCCGGCGGGCAGGCCGTGATGCGCTGCGAGCTGCTCGACGCGGGCGGCGCCGTCGAGTGGCTGAGGGATGGGGAGCGGCTGGAGTCCGGGAGAGGTGTCCTGCTGGAGGAGGACGGCTCGGTGCAGCGGCTCGTCGTCCAGCAAGCGAGCGGCGCTCACGCCGGCACCTACGTGTGCCGCTCGCAAGGCGGAGACGCCGCGTTCCGGCTGCAGGTCACAGGTCGGCTCCCGCACGCTGCTGCGACGCCACAGGCGAGCCGTGCTTACGGGCGCGAAGGGTCAGCCGTTGTTTTATTTGACCTGTCATTTACTGGTGGTTTCCATTGTTTGTCATTCAACAGAACCCATCGTTGCATCGTCAGCTGCCTCGCAAGTACAAGGTTAGTTGCGCATCTGCGGCCGTCTGGAATGCTCTTCCTTCTGATATTAGGAAGCCACTGGAGCTATGCACTTTTAAATCTAAATTGAAAACTAATTTCTTTAGAACTGCTTTTTGTGTTGAGTTTGTTGTCCTACCCCCGCACCTCGAATTAGCACAGTTGGCTATGTATGGTGTGGAAGAAACTCAACATACATACATACACGATGCACGATTGAACTTCATCATCAAGTGTCCGTGCGTGAAGTTGACGAGATGCAAGCGGTACCAGGAGGTGACAAACGATTCTGCCCGTCTCCCCATCTCGGCAGACTCTGTGACGGTGTCGTTCAACACGGGGATCGCCAGCAAGGTGGCGGCCGAGGGCGAGGAGGTCACCTTCAGGTGCTCCGTGTCACCGAGCGACGTGGCGGTGAAGTGGTACCGCGAAGGAGTGCAGCTCAAGCCCACGAGCCGCATCTCCATCTCAGCGGAGCCTCCCTGCCACTGCTTGACCTTCCACAACGTGAAGCTCTCCGACACCGGCGAAATCAAGGCGGTGGCGGGGAGCATTCGTTCTACCGCCAAGCTGCAGGTGCAAGGTGAGCCAGGGGGATGCCCTTGCTGGCTTGGATCAAGTCAAAGCGATCTCCTGCTGTTCAAATGAACACGGAGGCAGTGCTCATCTCCCGTTTACAGCCCTGAGCCAGTGGTGGAAATTCCACAATGTTATGGCAAGGGCAAGTCTTTTCAAAGGACATCTACTGTTGTTCCTTCCCACAGAGGGAGTCAACCCCCAACCAGAATTGAACTCACAGACTTATGATTGTGAGCCACTCGATCTGCTGCTGAGCCACCTGGCCGTTAGATGACGTGTCGATGTCACGGGACAGTGTCCTGCCTTCATTTGATCATCTCTGTTATAGAGTTGTAGACTAAGCCCTATCGAGACTTTCGCTTTAATTGTCTTAACATCTTTATTCTCCTATACCCCTCTTGGAACGATCAGTAATTTATTTTGTACCGTCTCCCATGAACCACGTTCGTTTTTTTGCGCCTTCCCGCAGAGGCTGTGATTTCATTTGTGCGGAAACTTGGCCCGGTCGAGGTGGAGGAGCGGCAGACGTTCGTGCTTGAGGTGGACGTGTCCAAGGCCTCGGCAGAAGTGAAGTGGACGCGCAATGGCCTAGTGATCCAGCCGAACAAGCGCTTCCTGTTTGAGGCCGACGGCTCCCGGCGCTCCCTGACCATACTCTCGGCAGAGATGGGCGACCGAGGCCTTTACTCATGCGAGACGCTGCATGAGAAGACCCAAGCGAAAGTGACCATCCAACGTGAGTGCAGTGGTAGTTGTATTGCCTCAAAACGTTGTGGAACTTGTCACACGCACAATTTCTGAGGGAAACCACACGCGGGTAGGCAGCCGGAACAGGCATCAACAATTTCCAAAGTTCTGTGAGCCTATATTTGTGATGTATGGCCAACTCCATTAATTAGTATATATCTAGTCATTGGAATATATAATCGTGCAATCAGATATTGTCGAGACATTCCCACGTGACCCTGCCATATTCCACCCCCGCAGCGCGTGCAATCCGTGTGGTGAAACCCCTGGAGCCTGTGATCGTGATGGAGAAGGAGGCCGCCACCTTTAAGTTGGAGCTCTCCCACGTGGGTGTGGAGGGCCAGTGGTCGAGGGACGGCATCCGCTTCCGGCAAAACAACCGATGCCAGATTTCCACCTTCGGGAAGTCGCACAGCCTGACCATTTTGAGCGTGCGAGAGGACGACGTCGGCATCATCGCGTTCCAGGCTGAGGGGGTGCGCACGTCAGCGCAGCTCACAGTCGCAGGTAACGTGATCCCAAAGCGCACCGCTTTAGCTGGTCCGATATTCACCGACACGAGGCTTTTGTTTTATCGGTGCGCCGTATTCAAGAGTGCGTGCAGATATAACCGTGGCAGAATTTGCGCGCATACGCCTCTATAGAATTTTTCCACAGCCTGCAAGGGCGCGTGGCCACGCGCGCAAAGAGCCATCCATTAGCCTTGGCAGGATCGCCGCTCACGAGCAGCTGGTGCCCTCGTGGGCCGTGCCTGCACAGGTTCACCCCGCGGTCGAGAGATACGCGAACTCACGAGGCCACACGTCGCGCGCACAATTACGCCACCGGTGGCTGCTTGCGGCTTTGCCAGAAGTGCGCTCTTGTGAAACGATGTCAACAGAATCGCCGGTGACCTTCACGAAGCAGCTGCAGGAGACGCACGTCCCTCACAAAGGCAGCACGGTGCTGGAATGCGAAGTGTCGCGTGCCAACGCGGAGGTCAAGTGGCTCAAGGTGATTCGTCATCAATTTCACTTTCATTGCCTCGACGCGTTTGCTGTAAATTGGTGTTGATAATAGTGACTTCACCTGTGGACAGGGTTTTGTGCACAATTCAGCTTTGTAGTTCCGTTTATTCTCATTTGTCCTTGATTATTGTCCATTTTGCATTGTTTTTGCTCGGTGTAAACGGTCTGCCATGGCTTCCCCACCAATATATTTTCTTGTGATTATCTCAAACAACTCTTTGAGTCAGCGCCTTGAGAAGTGCCACGTGTGAGGCGCAGTATAAATAATGAGGTAATAAGTGATGATGATGAAGATGACAGCAAGGTCAACTCACGTGAGCCCACCTTCAGGACGGCTCTGAGCTGAAATCGGACCAGCGCATCCGCGTGGTGGGGCACGGCGTGCGGCGCTCTCTACGCCTTACCGGGTGTGAGCCCCAGGACAGCGGCCTGTATGTGTGCCAGGCCGACAAGAACAGCACGACGGCGACGCTGCACGTCCACGGTACGGCACGGCCACACGCGCACGCATGCCGCACTCCGCTTACACCACGTGGGCATCGCCGCTCACGGCAGATGCACGCCCACTGTGTAACCTCACGAGGCAAGACAAGCCTGCTCATCTCCTGCCTGGTCACCCTCATTGGCAACAGTGTCCTCCTCCTCGTCACTCGCCCGCTCACAGCATCACTCACCCCCCTCCCCCACCTCCGATTAGCATGGTTGGCTACGTACGGTGCGAAAGAAGTTCAACATGCTGTATATACATTACATCTGTCAACCTCGTTCTCCAACGTGCTGTGATTATAACAACAAAATCACAATCATTTACAGCCCTATATCAGTACGCTATTAGATGAAAACCTCCCCTCGCCGTGTTGGGCAAGGAGGGTGTCTGGCCGCAATTCGACCTGCTGGTCAGTGTGGGTTGGTGAAAGGAGGGGGTTTCTAGGACCGATCCAGATATCACTCATCACCCATGATAGCCACGGCCAAGAATCGACCCGAGGTCGCCAGGTTCATAGCGCAGCACGCTAACCACTGTGCCACCACTCCCCCGCTGGCTGCGATTAAGTAATATTATTTAGGAGCAAGTAGGAAGGTTGCTGAAGGGATAGATTGCCGGATATAAATGGGCTTTTATTTTCAACGGTGGTCTATTAACTGTGTAAAATCAACAATGCGTGGCGGTCCACTTGTAGCTATTTGCAGGAGGCTGCGGCGTGCTGACTGAGTCAGTAAATAACAGAGGTGCTGAGTTGATGTGTGGCCCTGATGAAGCGGTACTGACTGCGAGTGCCGACCCCACCGTGTCTCTCATGGGACGCGGTGGGGAGCTAAAGGCGCCTCGTCGATGCCCCGGCGGCTGCTCGCCTAATGTGGCCCTGCGTGAGGCGATGATGTAGTCGGGTTGTGTACGGTTTGGGCTCGCATTTTCCAAAGGTCCCCCACCCCCTGAGACTTCCCCGACGGGTCACGTTGCCAATTCTCGCCCTGCCCTCTGCAGCGCGCGAGATTCGCATTCTGCGAGGCCTGGAGGACCAGCTGGTGAACGAGAACGACAATGCGGTGTTCGTGTGCGAGACGTCGCACGACGACGTGGACGTGCAGTGGCTTCTCAACGACAAGAAGCTCCGCTCCAGCTACAGCGTCCGTATTCGCCAGGAAGGCGAGTGGCGCTCGCCAAAAATATTCATGGGACTTTTAACGACGGTGCTCTTTGTTCGTCGATGGTTGTATGACCCGAAGGCATTCTGTCTCTAATGGTTCTAAATTCCTCGTTGCAGGGAGAAGGCATATTTTGACAATGAGCAACGTGGAGCCGGAGGACGCGGGAATTATCACATTTATAGCAGAAAACGTCACCTGCAGGGCCAAGCTGCTGATGATAGGTAATTTATCAAAATGCCTTTTACTGCCAGCAACCCTTGTAGACCCCGCACGCGATTCGTAGCCGCGAACGCGGCTTGACAGCTCGCCTAACCGACCCTCTGCAACGTTGTCTGCACTGCAGAGCAACCCGTGCGGTTTGTGAAGCCGCTCCGGGACAAGGTGGCGATGGAAAGGCACAGGATGCTGCTGGAGTGCCAGGTGTCGCGGCCCAGCGCCTCCGTGCGCTGGTTTCACGACGATGTCGAGCTGGCTGACTCGGAGGCCGCGGGCGACGAGGAGCCGCGCGTGCAGCTGCTGAGTCAGGGCTGCTACCGCCAGCTGCTCATCATCAGCGTCGTCAGGAGCGACGAGGGCTTGTACACCTGCGACGCTGGCGCCGACCGCACCTCCGCAAACCTCTTAGTCGAAGGTTTCACTGAACTTTCTTCCTTGTTGTTCGTGCAAACGCGAGTTTTTGCACATTTGTAGAAATCATGGCGTTCGAAAGATGTGCTCCCCTTTTAAAATGAATGGGTTTTTTCCGTGTTTAGTTTGTTGTCCTTCGCCCGCACGTACAACAATAATCAACATGTGAGCAGAAAATAACAAGAACATTAGTCGTAACATGTGAAATGACCCAATGGAAGCGTGAGTCGCACAGTGAATAATGAAATCCACATTGCTAAATGTTGTGTGTGGATTACTTTCCAGCACACAAGTGCTGCTATTGCAGCACTAATAAATTGGCACCCTTGTTTACGTGACCACTTTTTTAATTACCTGTGTCGGGTGGAGTAGGGTGTATGACAAACATTTTACTTATACGACATGACCCAATAAACAATCATGAATCCCAATATTGGTCGCAAGCGCCCGCGTGTGCAAAACATGCCGATGGCAGAAGGGAGCCGTGTTCTCAGCTCTGTGTGAGAGTGGATCTAGGTGGGGGATTCTTTTCCGTCCTCTCCACTGTGATGCTTGCCAGATTGCGACACTAAATATTTCACACACAAAATCCATTTTGCAGGGGAAAAGCATCCTCCGTTTTGACGCGGCGCTAGCGAACGTTCATTCACTGCAACTAATTGGCGAACGTGATGCATTGTTAGCGGTGGTGTATTTTTTAAATTATCATCTAGATCTTTTTTTCTCTTCTCCGGTCGGTGTAGCGCAAGAGATACAGGTGTTGCGGCCGCTGTCCGACGCCGAGGTCACGGAGCCGGAGGGCGCGACGTTCGAGTGTGAGCTCTCCGCTGATGAGGTGAAGGGCGCCCGCTGGAGTCTCAACGGCGACGAGGCAAACCTGGCCTCTCACGGGGCCCAGACGGAGCAGGATGGCGCGGTACACCGCCTCGCGCTGCCGTCCACGCGCCACGACATGGCCGGCACCGTCTGCTTCACCGTCGGAAAGGCTAAGACCAGCGCCCAGCTGATTGTGCACGGTAGCTGCCGCACGTGTCTGTGCGTCTCACCCATATCTGCGGCCGTCTGGAACACTCTTCCCACCGATATTAGAAAGCCACTGGAGCGTTTTGCTTTTAAATATAGGTTGAAAACTCATGTCTTTAGAACTACTTATTGCGTTTAATTTGTTGTCCTTCCCCCCGTACCTCCAGTTGGCACAGTTGGCTACGTACGGTGCGAGAAAAGTTCTACAAACATAACGTGCATTTCCACACAGCAGTCAGTGGCGGAGCTATCGAGCGTGCAGGTGGTGCCGCTGCACCGGGGCCCATGGATTGGACAGGGGGCATCATTTTATTCCTCATGCCAGGGGCCACGCCAACCACACTACGCCACTGACAGCAGCTCTAGAAGGCATTCCCTCATTATCCCATCCCCGGCGACATGCGGAGGGAACTGCACAGCAGATGTATTTTAATATATCATAATGTAATAGATGCACAGGAAGCATCTATTAGACGATAGGATTACGTTTTCTTATTTGTCCGGACAGACTTTCTTACAGCCCTGCCCAAATCGATATAACTAGCAGTTATTGTCTGGTTGGTTTTCATGAATTGGGTACAACAAGCATTACCATTATTGTAACATAATTTTGGTCACAACGTACATTTAACGATAAATTTTACTGCTGAAATTAAGTTGCTTAAAATCCTCCCACGATGGCGTGTGGCACAAATATGGGTATGAGTCACCTAGCCGTGAGCGTGTGTGATGCGGCCTTGGGTTTCTTCTGTCCGGGATGTGTAGAAACGCCAGTAGGAGTGGTGCAAGAGCTGGAGGACAAGACCGTGACAGCAAATCGCTCCGTGACCTTGCACTGCGAGTTTGGTCGACCGGTGGGGCAGCCCTTCTGGTACTTTGGCAGCAAGCGGATCGAGGCGTCGGACAGGCACGAGATGAGGCACGAGGGACCGACGGCCTTGCTGACGATCCACAAGGTGCGCAGGAGGGACGCGGGGACCTACACGTGCCGCGTCGGCGAGACACGCAGCACCGCCACCATCGGCGTGAACGGTGAGCTTTCCCCCGCAGCACCGTCCCTCCATCGTTGCGGTACGAACAAGCACGATCATTTGCAGTCCTTTGCTATTCTCCTGCTAGATTAAGGATTTCTCATGGTTTGTAGGTCATGTGAGTTGTTTGACCATACTACACCACGCTTTTTCGTGTGGGTCGGTAATGTACGGGGCTCAGGACTCGTTCAGGGTTGAAAACTAAATTCTTTCAAACTACTTATGTGTTTAGTTTGTTGTCCTTCCCTGCTCCTCCACTTAGCATGGTTGGCTACGTATAGTGTGAAAGAAGTTCAACATACATACAGAATTTTAGATTTGAAGCTTTCGTGACTGAAAGAATTCATACTCTTAGGTTGTTTTCGGTAAAGTCACGTAGGTATAAAATAAAAAATAATAAAGATAATAGAAAAAATAATAAAAATACAATAATAAATCACGACGTTTCGGAGGCAACACAAGCTTCCGTCTTCAGGTGAAACCGTCACAGCACAATTGCTGTATCAAGTAAAGAGAAGTCCCAAGAGACCCGACCTTATATACTGGTTAAGGGGGGAGGAGCCAGGATGGGCCGCGGGAGAGGAGTTGTTGTGAGATGGTCAGTACGGCTGCTGGGACTGAGCCTTTGTAATGTAGATGGCAGAAGCAGATAAGCAAGCCAGGACCAAGCCGCCCCTTGCTATGTTGCTGGGTGGGTAAAACTCAAAGCAGGCCACCAGCGTGTGAAAAAAGAAGCTAAACATGAAAAAACAAAACTGGCTGTCTATCAGTAAACTGTACGGTAACTAAAGAATAGTACCTGTCAAATAAGATGGTCCAAATAAGTGTAGTTAAATCTTTTTTGCATGGTTAATAACATATTTCCAATGATTACTCAGTTTGTACCCATCATCACGGTTGAAGTTATGTCTGTGTTTGTATATCTGGATGGCTTCGTGTACAAACCTTTGATGGTAGCCAGAAGGTTTGCAGAGCACCTTGGTCTCGGAAAAGACAATCTCATGAGAACCCACAGAGTTGTAGCAATGATCGGCAACGGCGGAAGACTCAATTTTGCCGTGTTTCAGATCTGACTTGTGTAGTAAGTATATGGAGGCTTGACGACAGGATCGGAGGCACACTTATTTATTACACCAACACAGTTATTTACAGGTCACTGGGCTACAGGGATTTCTCGACAGCTAACCCCTCTAACCTATACCAATTCCTCCACTACGGGACTAGGGGAGGCTATCTGTCCCAGCTTGGTTAAGCTGGGATCCCGGCTCCCTGAGTCACCAGACCAGCTTCGTCTGGGCTCTCGGGGCCACGCCACCGGCTTGCCCTGGTCGGCCCTTATAAGGACAGCGAGCCAGGGGAGCTCTGGGGCCTACACTAGCTGGTCTTCCGTCTTCTCTGGTTATAGCTGAGTCCCGACCCCGAGCCCTCGAGCTCATCACCTTTTATAGGACTCGCCCCCGAGGGGGGGCCCGTGGGGGATACACATGCGGACGTCGGTGCTAGCGCCACCCTTGTGTACGGCCGTAACCCCGCCCATTGTGTTTGTTGGCCATCCGTGGCCATGCATAATCACACCTCAACATTCGTAGCCATGCGCAATTACACCTCTACATCACCCCCCCCTGTACAGCTCGCAGCCGTCCCTGGCTGCAAAAAAAAAAAAAAAATCAGAATAAAGGTGCATCCCTCACAAAAACCCCGTGTGTGTGCCTCGCGTAATTTTTAACAAGAACAAGAACAACGAGAGGAAGAGAGAGAGAGAGAGAAAAAAAAATAACCCGACGCACCCCCCCCGGATAACACCCCAAAACCAACATATATATACACTCCGGACGTCACCTTTCCCATCGTCCGCAAGGCCCCCCAACGGCCGACCTCACAACACCCCTCCCCTTTTGTCCGCAAGGCCCCCCAACGGCCGACCTCACAAAAGTCTGCGCGTTTTGGCGCGCGTTCTCGCGGCGGGTCCCTCACAAGGGTCCGTCCCGGCACGCTCAGTGACGGTTGTTGACGGTCCGGGTGCAAGAGGGTCAGGCTCCGCTGCCGAGTGACCCCCGACCCCTCCGGGAGGGGTTGGTGGGCGTGGGCCCGTCACTCCTGTTTCACCTGGGGGCGGAACAGTTGGCGTCAGGTTAGGCGAGTGCAGCGACGACGGGGAGTCGGCGACACCCTCACACGTTTGGCCATGCGTGTGTGTGTGTGAACCCCGGGGCGGCGTGACGAATGGTTTTAACCTTGAGGGGTGCACATACCACCGGCGCCTCCCCCATTTGACGCGAACACATTGCGGCCGCAAAACCTGCACGACCTCCACTGGCCCCCGCCACGGCCGTACCAATTTCGACGAGGTTGCCAGCGGCACCTGAGGACAGTGCAACCACGCCCTGTCCCCTGGTACCCATTTGACCACCTGCACCCGCCCCAACCGAAGCCTCTCGTTCGCCTTCTGGCGGAGTTCAGAATTTTGCACGGCCGCTTCCCGCGCCTCAGACAATTGAGCGATGTTAAATTTAACGTGTTCGGACAACTTAGACTTCGCCTGGAGCGCCGAGAGCTTCAGCTGGGTCGCCACAGGAGGGTTAACTTCGCGCCCATACATTAAAAAGAAAGGGGAAAATCCGGTGGCCGCATGGGGAGCCATTCTGTAGGCCTGCAACACACCGGCTATGCGGAGGTCCCAATCCGTCTGGGATACCGACACCTGCTGGGACAGCATGGACGTGATGGTCCGATGCAGCCGTTCCACCATCCCGTCAGTTTGTGGGTGATACGGAGAGGTCCGAACCTTCTCCGTACCCAAGAGGTCGCACACCTCACGTAGGAGTTTACCAGAAAAATTCCTACCCTGGTCAGTAAGCAGCCGTTCCGGAGCACCCTTGTCGAGGACATAGCCCTGGACAAAGGCCTCCGCGATGGCTGCTGCCGATTGGTTCGCCAGGGGCCAGGCCATAGGCCATCTCGTGAAGTATTCAACCCCCGTTAGTAAATACCTATTGCCCCTGGGTGTAGCGGGAAATGGGCCAAGTATGTCCAGAGCGACGAGCTCGTTAACCCTGGAAACTTTTATGGACTGCAGCGGAGGGTTGGATCCCCTAGCAGGTGGCTTCCTCTGCGCGCATTGCGTGCACGACCCCAAGAGGTCCCCCACGTCTTTTCCATGCCCGGCCAGAAGAAATCTAGCTGGAGCGTGGCAAAGGTCTTATGAACCCCCAAGTGCAGAAGCCGCTCATGAACAGCCCATACCACCTTACCCCTTAAAGCAGCAGGCACCACGAGCCGTTGGCGCCGGGTTTTACCATTCCAGTGCATCAAAAGTCCCTGGAACAACCCCCACGAGTCAACGTTTTCCACCCCCTGGCCAATCCCCCTGGCGCGACGGCGCAGAGCGAGGAGGGAGGTGTCCTCCATTTGGAGGCGACCCCATTCCGCGACTGACAACCCCAGCAACGAATCCCTCCCTTCTTGCTCGATAGGACCCGAAACCGAAGGTGCATCGGCAGCGGCCACGAGGACCGAATCGGTGGTGACGTTCGGAGACCTACAACGCCCCGAACCCAAGAGGCACGCGCACTCCGAAGTGGGTGGCAATCGCGACAGGGCGTCAGCGTTCGTGTGGCGGAGACCCTTACGATATGTGGTGACAAAGTCATAGTCTTGGAGAATCTCCAACCATCGAGACAACTGGCCCGATGGTTGTTGAACCCGCAGGGCGTATTGTAGGGCCGCATGATCTGTACGGACGGTGAACCGCCGACCGTACAGATACGGGCGGTACTGCTGAATGAAATAAACAATCGCCAATAATTCCCGACGGGTAACGCAGTACCGCTGTTCGGCTGGAGACAGTACCCGACTACCGTAAGCCACCACATGCTCTACGCCCCCAATGAGCTGGGACAGCACACCCCCGATGCCCGTGTTACTTGCATCTGTATCGAGCAAGAAGGGTTGTGAAAAATCCGGGTAATTCAACGGCGGCGCCCCCACCAAAGCATTCCGGAGGGCGCGAAAAGAAGCCTCCTCCTCCGGCCCCCAATGAAACCTGACTCCCTTGGACGTCAAGGCATGCAAAGGTTTCGCAATCGTAGCGAAGTCAGCCACAAATCGCCGATAATACGACGCGAACCCAATGAAACTCCTGACCTCTCCCACAGAGGTGGGAGTCGGCCAGGAGCTGACGCATTCCGTTTTGGCGGGATCAGTGGATATCCCCGAGCGCCCAACAATGTGACCCAAATATCGCACCGATTCGCGGAGTAAATGGCACTTCTGTGGTTTAAATTTCAAATTGGCAGCCCGCATTTTGAGAAAAACAGCACGCAACCTCTGGAGGTGTTCCTCGAAGGATTTGCTAAAGACGATGACATCGTCTAAGTAAATCAAACACGAATCCCATTGCAACCCTGCCAAGACCAATTCCATTAACCGCTGAAAAGTTGCCGGCGCAGAATGTAAACCCATCGGCAAGCGGTTAAATTGGAAGAGACCCTGCGGTGTCCGAAAAGCAGTCTTAGGTTTTGATTCGTCATCCAGAGGAAGCTGCCAGAATCCAGATAGCAAATCGAGGGTGGAAAAGAATCGCGCCCCCGCCAAGGCATCGAGCGACTCATCCATTCGAGGAAGCGGGTACGCATCTGCCACAGAGATTTTGTTCAGACGCCGAAAGTCGACACAAAACCGCAGTGACCCGTCGTGTTTTTTCACCAAAACGATCGGCGCGCCCCACGGGCTATTGGAAGGGGAAATGATATCGGCGGCTAGCATGTCATCAACAGCCGATTTGACATGATCCTTTTCGGCGGGACTCAACCGAAAGGGATTTTGGCGGATTGGCGCGCTGTCACCCGTGTCAATATGGTGTCGCAGCAATTTAGTACAACCAATATCAAATTTGTGTTGACTAAAAACGTCAGCAAATTCGCTCAGAAGAACTCGCAGCTGCGCGCGCTGCGAGTCGGACAGGTCCACTGAACCCGCGCAAAGCGCATCCAGCCAACCGTCATCACAGTCCGAATGCGGTCGCGACGGAGGATCGGTGGATACCTGACCCACGAGTGGTTCCTCATAGGGTACCGGCGTTGCGTGTGCAAGCACGGTCCCTTGAGGAACCACGGCCGTTCGCGATCCCACATTAAGGACTGCAATGAAGGGGTCCCCATCCCCCCTCACCATGGTCTGAGCCGCGAGCAAATCTGGTCCATTTACCCCGGCCCGAGATGGTCCCAACAAGACCCCCCGATCCGCAACCCCTTCATTAAACGGCCGACGCAATCTAAGAGGGACGAGCATCTGAGCCCCCGGAGGCACGCGCACAGTTTTTGTGACGAGCGCCTGCACGGTGGCAAACGCCCGACGCTCCGTGGTGGGGGAAGACAGAAATGTAACGCGTCGGCCCGATGGGAGCTCAATGCACCCTTGGTCAATAAGGATGCGGATGGGCATTTTGGCCAGAAAATCCGTCCCCAACAGGCACGGAACCGCGAGTGAGGAGGAAACCAAAACAGGCCCGGATAATTTAATGTCCCCAATGCAGATAGTGGCGCGGATTTGGCCAATAATGCCCAGAGAGCCCCCGTTAGCGGCATAGCACGGCACGTCAACAGGGAGCAAGGGACGACTTTGAACGGGAAGGATGTTATAAATTAAATCAGATATAATGGTCGCCGATGCCCCTGTGTCAATTAAAATCCGCACCTCTACCCCATCAATGTGACCGACCACGACCGAAGATCCCGCCGACGCAGCAACGACACGATGGGCGAGCTCCGACCACTGACCCGGTTGGAGCGCCCGCCGCATTACCGAACGATCGCGCGCGACGGATGGGGAATTTGGAGCCCTGTTTAGTTGGGCGCGTGAGTGTGTGTCGGATGTGTGCGTGGGCCAAACGTGTGAGGTGCCGCGACTCGCCGTATTTCTCTGCTGGAGCTTGGGAGGAGACGGCGTGGCGTCCTGACGAGGTGTCGCCCCGCGCTGACGGGGAGCCCGGCATCCTGACGCAACGTGGCCTTGCAGGCCACAGTTGTAGCAGCGTGTGAGCGCCCCCGATGTCCTGGGCTGCTCCTGGCGGCTCGGTCCATTCCGAGCCTGTGGTACTGCCGCTCTCCATTCCCCTCGCCGCTCCACCCCGCAGACCTCCTCCGATGGGAGGGCGGTAGCCGCCATGGCATGGCTGGCCGCCCCCTTTGCCGCCTTTCGACGAAGGGACCGCAAGCCCCCGTGGATGTGGCGCGCGACCAGCAGGGACGACATCTCTGAGTCGTCTTGAGCCAGGACGTTGACGTCCAGCTCATCAGCGAGTAGCAGCAGCTTCTCAGCCACCATGGCATCCACTCCTTCCTCGTCCATCCTTGGGAAAGCAGCCTTCGCTAGAGCCAGGAGAGCAGTCCGGAAGGCCAGAGGTGATTCGTTGGTGCCCCGACGCCGATCGTGGAAAAGCTGCCTGCAGTCCGAAGGCGGCCCATAGACGGCTGACAGCAGCTGCAACGCCAGGTGTAGGGTGGCGCGCTTTTCCCTCGGCGCCGAGGTGAGGGTAGCCAGGGCGTCGTTGTCCAGCATCGCTGGCAGCGCGCGTAGAGCCTCGGCGTCCGTCCAGTTCGCCATCTCCTGATGAGCGATGAACCGTCTCTTGAAGCCGCCCCAGTCTCCGTCTGCGCCTACGAATTCTTTCAGAGGTGGCAGACGCTGCTGCAAGGCGACGTCCGTGGCTGTAGATCGCTCTCCGTCGCTCCCCGCCGATGATACAGTGTGGGCGGGCTGTGCACATGGCATCGCCGGTCGCTCCGATGTTGACGCGCCGGCCGGTGTTGATGATGTCACGGCTTGTGCTTGGCGCTCAGCAGTCACGTGACGCGGGCCGGCCCCGCCGTCCGCTCGCACTGTAGAGATGGCGGGAAATTTAACCGCCAGCCGCGTCGGGGTGGCGGGAAACGTTGCCGCGCGCCGGCTGCTGTCGTCGACCCGCGCTGCCCCTCCAGCCCCCAGCCGCGTGATCTCCTCCAACGCAGCGGCGGCGGCGTAGAGCAGTTCCGCCAGGCGGGAGTGGGCCAGCCGGAGTCCTTCAGCCGACGCATCTCCCCCCTCTTGTCGTAGCGGCACGGGCGTACTTGGCCCCGGCTGCTCCGATCCGACCCCGGCCATCTCTGGTGTTGAATCGGCCGCGGCGTCTTCCATCTCCGACTCCTTGGTACGTGTCGTCCCTCGTGTGTCCATCGTTTGGACGTTTTACTTCTGACACCAGATGTAGTAAGTATATGGAGGCTTGACGACAGGATCGGAGGCACACTTATTTATTACACCAACACAGTTATTTACAGGTCACTGGGCTACAGGGATTTCTCGACAGCTAACCCCTCTAACCTATACCAATTCCTCCACTACGGGACTAGGGGAGGCTATCTGTCCCAGCTTGGTTAAGCTGGGATCCCGGCTCCCTGAGTCACCAGACCAGCTTCGTCTGGGCTCTCGGGGCCACGCCACCGGCTTGCCCTGGTCGGCCCTTATAAGGACAGCGAGCCAGGGGAGCTCTGGGGCCTACACTAGCTGGTCTTCCGTCTTCTCTGGTTATAGCTGAGTCCCGACCCCGAGCCCTCGAGCTCATCACCTTTTATAGGACTCGCCCCCGAGGGGGGGCCCGTGGGGGATACACATGCGGACGTCGGTGCTAGCGCCACCCTTGTGTACGGCCGTAACCCCGCCCATTGTGTTTGTTGGCCATCCGTGGCCATGCATAATCACACCTCAACATTCGTAGCCATGCGCAATTACACCTCTACACTTGTGCTCGCGGACACGATCAGAGATATGACGTTTCGTTTCCCCAATATAACAATCACCACAGCTGCAACTCAGTTTATAGACTCCAGGGTATTGCAAGTCAGGAATGACATCCTTCACAGATGGAATTAGATCACGGATTTTATGTACTGTACTGAATCGGACTTGGATCTTATGTTTGTTTAGAATTTTGAAGATCTTTTTGGTCACGCCTGCTATGTATGGCAACGTGATAGTTTTGATCGGAGTTTCATGTGGCTGTTTCTGTATGGTGGGAGAAACAGCTTGGCGGATGGTCCGGTCAGAGTATCCGTTCATCCTGAGGGCCCGATGTACATGTCTTAATTCACTGGCCAGGTGGTGTTGGTCAGAAATGCCATGAGCTCTGTGGTATAGTGTTTTGATGAGAGAATTCTTTTGAGACGGGTGGTGGTGGGAATCAGGTTTCAAGTAGGAATCTGTGTGGGTGGCTTTCCTGTAGACAGAATGTCCCAAGGATCCATCAGGTCTCCTCTCAAATAGAAAATCTAAGAATGGTAGTTTGCCATCTTTCTCCACTTCCATGGTGAATCTGATGGATGGGTGTCTAGAATTGATGTGGTCCAAGAAGTGGTTCAATGCTGGGAGGCCATGTGGCCAAATGACGAAAGTGTCATCCACATACCTCTTCCAGCTTGTGTTGCCTCCGGAACGTCGTGATTTATTATTTTATTTCTATTATTTTTATTAGTTATTTTTATTATTTATTTTTTACCTACGTGACTTTAAAGAAAAAACCTAAGAGTATACATACAGAAAGCACTCACCACTGATGTTAGACGTGGCCAGGAATTTAACTGAGGTCGCCGGGTTTGAAGTACAGCGCGTTATCCACTGCATTACCACTCTACGTGGTACTGGACCATGAATTATGCATGGATTCTCCTTTGGGCATGAAACCCAGAAGCCACATTCCTGTCAAGTCGTTGAGTTGTCCAGAGAAAATATAGCAACATAATGTCTGCTTCGTGAACATTTAATTCTTGGAGAATTTGCTGATGCTATAAATCACCCAGTTGCGTAGAACAACAATGAAACTTGGAAATGTTAGCAGTGGATTACAATTTCACGCGTGAGGCATTGATTAAAGAAGTCACAACGAAGCAGCTCGGTGGCTGTGGCGAGCAGCACAACAATTCACAGGGCTGCGGTGTCACAAGCTGCGGAACGAATTCCCCTGTTACTGCCGCCCACAAATATTTAGAACATTTGATATTAGATTTTCAAGTCATTTGTATTTGATTTTAACGTTTCATTTGAAATCGCTGTCATTTAATTTAGTTTACTTAAATATTTCTACATTATCTTTTATTCACGTTTTACGATGCATGGTACAATCCTACAGTTAACATACTGCTCAACGTTATAGGTTATACGCGCCTTTAATTACAGAGCCTATCGTTGGAATATCACAGGGTTGGTCGTTCTTTACTTTTAATGAACACAAGTGGGGTAGGGAAAGTAGGAGGGATTTTTTAAGTGACTTTTAAAATTATTTATCTGTTGCATTAGTGGTCATATCTACCGATTTTGCAGTTTTTACGTGGAAACTAAAAATGTTTGCGTCGGAAGCCCTCAGAAGTGAAATGCGAATCCTGAGGGGGTTTACCCTGGTTAAATAAAGACGGACAATGTCGCCCCTTCAGAGCGTCAGCTCGGGGTGTTGGGCAAGATGCGCGACGTGGCCGTGGAGGAGGAAGGCACGGCCGTGTTCGTGTGCGAGCTGTCTCGCGCCGACGTGGAGGACGTCGCTTGGTTCCTCAACGCCTCGCGCCTCGTGTCCAGCGAGCTCAACGAGATCAAGCGCGATGGCAGCAGCCACACGCTCGTCCTGCGAAACGTGACGGTGGACGACACCGGGACCATCGTCTTCACGGCGGAAGACGTGAAGGAGACCGCTCAATTGCACGTTCGAGGTCAGTGTCGCCAACGTTCTTCATAAATCCCGAACTTTATTGACTTGATTGAGATTCTTCTTTTAGCTCAAACGAAGTGGTGAAATGCAGCCCATCATTGGGCATTGAGATCTACGGCTGAAATGCACCTTTAATGTCAATTATTATTATCATTCCTCCCAGGGCCAGTAAAATAGATACTACCTCGTGGGGGGATGAAGAGAGGTTAACCTATGGATAGAATCGCTTCTACCATAGGAATGAGGAATTTCCACTATTGTCTCGGGGTATTAAACAGGAGATGAGTGCTGCCTCAGTGGCCATTTGTATAGGAAATCAATCAAAGTGGTCATCAAATCAATCACTCTTTTGAAGTCGGGAGAACGTGGCCGTGAGCGGCCAATCACAGAATCACAGCTGAGCTATTGGAATACTTCTCCCGCGTGCGCAGAGAAGCCGGTGGTGTTCACGAAACGACTGGAGGCAGTGAGCGGGGAGGAGGGCGGCCAAGCGGCACTGGAGTGCGAGGTGTCCCGGCCCGTGCCACCAAGCGCCATCGCGTGGAGGAAGGGCCCCCACACGCTGCACCCCAGCGACAAGCACGAGCTGCTGCAGGCTGGCCGCAGCCTGGGCCTGTTCGTGCGTGGCCTTCAGCCATCCGACAGCGGACAGTACTCCTGCGTCGTGGGCAATGACACCACCTCCGCTTCTCTGCACGTGCAAGGTTACTTCAGCGATTAAGATGTTTAGATTTTACTGGGGTTTTTTTTTGTACATGAATTGATGTTTGTTTGTGTTGGTTAACAATCGCTCCACAGTGTACACCAGTGTGTCCAGATGCAGCCAGCAAGTATTTGCGATGTGGTTCTGAATTCAAGATTCCCAATACATCTTTCTTGTCAACCTCGTTAATTTTTCATGGGGGTTTATTTGTTGACGTGTTGAACAAAAAGTAATAATCGTTTAAAATCAATGTTGTTCTACAATGACAAAAATATATATTTGTTATATTTTGCTGTTTTGTGCAACATTTATGTAAACTAGAAACTATTAAAAATAAATTATTTTCCCAGGGAAGACCCATTGAGCTATATAGCTCTTAAACCTTGACTTAAAGCTTGTGTGACTGCAGGAATTCATATTCTTTGGGTCTCTTGCTAAAGTCACGTAGATAGGTTGAAAGAAAATAACAAAAAAAAGTTTTGATCACAACACAAGCGATTGTTCTCCTGATGACAATTGCTGGTGTTGTGATCAAAATGTCGTAGTTTTTTATTATTTTCTTTCAACCTATCTACGTGACTTTACCGAAAGACGCAAATAATATATATAGCTCTTTTTCAGAAGCGACCTGGCCATAAATGATAGATCAACGAAGTAACTTATCAGGTGTACATTTATAGCAGCCAAATACTCTAAATGCGTGTTTATAATTGTGGAGGGAAAAAAGCGGAGGACTTGGAGAAAAATCCATGCAATCACTGGGAGAACATGCAAATTCCAAATTTACAGGCGTTCGGGTCAGGATCGAACCCACGCCCTCCTGCTTGCCAGGCAAGGTAATTAACATCCCGCCTCCGTAACAAGTGTAATGCGATGTGTCTGTGTGTTACAGAGCTGAAAGTGACCATCATAAAAGCGCTCGAGAATGTGGAAGCCAAAGAGGGGGAGAGCGCTGCATTTAATTGCGAGATTTCACACGAAGGTATCTCTGGTTGCCGATGGCTGTTGAACAATAAGGAGCTGAAGGCAGGAAACAGGATAGAGATGAGCTCCATGGGCCAGAAGCATGCCCTTGCCATGAAGCAGCTGACGGCGAAGGACAGTGGAGATGTCACGTTCAAGGCCAGAGCTGCCTCTACCAAAGCCAAACTCAGTGTCATAGGTTTGGTCCAACAACGCACACATTTCAGATACAAACGTGCATTACACAGCAATTAAAACGTATAAACAAGTAAACTTTTACAAAACGTCATGGAAAATTTAAGTAAATGCAGATAAAACAAGACTTTAATTACTGTTATCTTTTTTCAGAATCTGGAGTTGTTTTCACCAAACCACTGTCTGACGCCAATGTCCAGGCAGAGGGTGAAGTGACCCTCTCGTGTGAGACCTCAAAGGCCGGGTCACCAGTGCAGTGGTACCATGATGATCACCTGCTGGATGGTAGCAACAAGCGGTTCCATGTGAAGCGAGATGGAAAGGCAGCCACTCTGAAGATCAGTCGCGTGGAGCTAACGGACAGCGGGAAGTACGTCTGTGACTCGGGCTTTGAGAAAACCAGTGCCACCTTGACTGTCACAGGTAAGACATCTACTGCAGCCAGACATAATTATATTTTAGAAGTTTAATGTTATGATTTATTGAATAAGTATAACATACAACCATTCTGTTTTTCAGAGCTCCCAGTTAAATTTTCCAAGGAATTGGGAAAACTGTCTATTGAAGAAGGACACAAGGCTGAGCTGACGTGTGAAACATCTCGTGGAGACACTCCAGTCGTGTGGCGCAAGGGTGACAAGATCCTGAAAGCTGGAGCCAAGTATCGCATGGTGCGCGAGGGCAGGAAGGCCAGCCTCGTCATCAGCTCAGTGGAGCTGGGAGACAGTGACCAGTACACGTGCGACTCTGGAAACTTCCAGACGTCAGCAAAGCTCACTGTCACAGGTAAACAATGAATTGTATAATCTGTGGAGTATCCGACAATGAGTTTATATATGTGAATGTAATGACTTTTGAACCACAGATGATAGTGTGTTAATTGATATTGGTCAACGCAATTTTTCACCTCAATTATTCATATCATCATCAGCCATGGTCTATCCTCAGCTTCATGAATTTCTCTCCATGCCATCACATTCCTTCAAGGTTCCACAGTGCCACAATCCATCCCACTCCTGCACAGGAGCTGATCTCATCGTTCAATGACTGCAGCGCTCGTTCACTCGGCCGTCTTCTCTTCCTTGGCTACCTCTATGTCAGTAGTCTCATCCACTTGGCCATCATCCCTTCTTGCAAAGTGTCCTGCCCAAGTCCACTGATGTCCTTGTGACCGATAAGTCTAAACCGGATTATATGATATCCATATGCGAAATGTTTTTTTGTAGAAAGGGACATGTGTTTAACATGTCTCTTTCAATGGGAAGATCAAGATTTTTATCCACATTTTCTTTCAGAAACTGGAGTTGTTTTCACCAAACCTCTGTCCGATACCAAAGTCCAGGCAGAGGGTGAAGTGACCCTCTCGTGTGAGACCTCCAAGGCCGGGTCACCAGTGCAGTGGTACTATGAGGATCAGCTGCTGGATGGTAGCGACAAGCGGTTCCATGTCAAGCGAGATGGAAAGGAAGCCACGCTGAAGATCAGTCGCGTGGAGCTCACGGACAGTGGGAAGTACGTCTGTGATTCAGGCTTCGAGAAAACCAGTGCAACCTTGACCATCACAGGTAAGGCGTCTACTGCAGCCAGACGAAGTTATATTTTAAAGGTTTATTATTATAATTACTTTAATTCGTATAACAAATTAACCCATTTTTTTTTTCAGAGCTCCCTGTAAAATTTTCCAAAGAGCTGGGTGAGTTGTCGGCTGAGGAAGGACGCAAGGCTGAGCTGACGTGTGAAACATCTCGTGGAGACACTCCTGTCGTGTGGCGCAAGGGCAAGAAGACCCTGAAAGCTGGAGCCAAGTATCGCATGGTGCGTGAGGGCAGGAAGGCCAGCCTCGTCATCAGCTCTGTGGAGCTAGGAGACAGTGACCAGTACACCTGCGACTCTGGAAACTTCCAGACGTCAGCAACGCTCACTGTAACAGGTAAACACAATTTTCTTTATATATGGTTGATCTGAAGGCGCTTTGTAAAAAATATTATAGCACCCATCAACGCAATGTTTGAAGTTACAGATAACCACTTGATCACTATACATGAAGGAATAAGCCTTGGAAGTCCATTCAGGGTCTGCCCAAGATTATTATGCCCAAAACAAAATTGACTGTTGTCTGAAAATACGTTAATGCATTAGGTAAACCAGTAATTAAATGCATCTTGAGTAGGAGTAAACCACCGCTCGATTTTCTTTCAGAAGCGGGAGTCGTTTTCACCAAATCTCTCTCGGATACCAAAGTCCAGGCAGAGGGTGAAGTCACCCTCTCGTGTGAGACCTCCAAGGCCGGGTCACCAGTGCAGTGGTACCACGAGGATCAGCTGCTGGATGGTAGCGACAAGCGGTTCCATGTGAAGCGAGATGGAAAGGCAGCGGTGCTCAAGATAAGTCGCGTGGAGCTAACGGATAGCGGGAAGTACGTCTGTGACTCGGGCTTTGAAAAAACAGTGCCACCTTGACCGTTACAGGTACAGCTCCTTCTAAATACAAACATAATTCAGACTTGAAAATGAAATTATTATAATTATAATATTTATATATCCAATTACAATGTTGATTTTCTTCTTCAGAGCTCCCTGTTACATTTTCCAAAGAGCTGGGAGAGCTGTCGGTTGAGGAAGGACACGAGGCTGAGCTGACGTGTGAAACATCTCGTGGAGACACTCCAGTCGTGTGGCGCAAGGGTGACAAGATCCTGAAAGCTGGAGCCAAGTATCGCATGGTGCGCGAGGGCAGGAAGGCCAGCCTCGTCATCAGCTCTGTGGAGCTGGGAGACAGTGACCAGTACACGTGCGACTCTGGAAACTTCCAGACAACAGCAAAGCTCACTGTGACAGGTAAACCATGAAATTGCAATCGGTGGTGAATATGGAGATGATTTGCTTCATGTGAATGTAATGTCCTGAAACTACAGTTGATTTTACGTAAATTGATATTGGCCTTTTACATCAAGGAACCAGTTACCTTTGCATATTATCTCAAAATATCCTATTGATTATGATGTACAAATGTTACCTAGTTAATTATTCAGTATCATCATCACGCAAGGTCTATCCTCAGCTGCATAAACATCTCCCCACGCCATCACATTCCCTCATGGCTTCACAATGCCACAATCCATCTCACTCCTGCATATGATCTGATCTCATCACTCAATCTCTGCCACACTCAGTCGATCGACCATCGTCTCTTCCATGGCTGCCTCTCCGTCAGTAGTCTCATCCACTTTACTATCATTCCTTCTCGCAAAGTGTCCTGCCCAAGCCCACTGATGTCCTTATCACCGACACATCTAAAACAGATTATTTATCCACATGCATAATGTCTCTTTGTCGGAAGGGACACATGTTTAAAATGTCTCTTTTAATGGCAAAATAACTTAAACATATTTTTTTAATCTGCACTTTTTTCTTTCAGAAGCTGGAGTTGTATTCACCAAATCGCTCTCGGATACCAAAGTCCAGGCAGAGGGTGAAGTGACCCTCTCGTGTGAGACCTCCAAGGCCGGGTCACCAGTGCAGTGGTACCATGATGATCACCTGCTGGATGGTAGCGACAAGCGGTTCCATGTCAAGCGAGATGGAAAGGCAGCTACACTGAAGATCAGTCGCGTGGAGCTAACGGACAGCGGGAAGTACGTCTGTGACTCAGGCTTTGAGAAAACCAGTGCCACCTTGACCGTTACAGGTACAGCTCCTTCTGAATACAAACATAATTCAGACTTGAATATGAAATTATTATAATTGTAATATTTATATATCAAATTACAATGTTGATTTTCTTCTTCAGAGCTCCCTGTTGAATTCTCCAAAGAGCTGGGAGAGCTGTCAGTTGAGGAAGGACACAAGGCTGAGCTGACGTGTGAAACATCTCGTGGAGACACTCCAGTCGTGTGGCTCAAGGGTGACAAGATCCTGAAAGCTGGAGCCAAGTATCGCATGGTGCGTGAGGGCAGGAAGGCCAGCCTCGTCATCAGCTCAGTGGAGCTGGGAGACGGTGACCAGTACACGTGCGACTCTGGAAACTTCAAGACGTCAGCAAACCTCACTGTGACAGGTAAACACTATTTTATTTATTGTGGTCGATCTGAAGACGCTTTGTAAAAATTTATAGCACCCATCAAAGCAATGTTCGACATTACGTAAACCACTTGATCACTATATATGAAGTAATCAACCTTCTAAGTCCATTCAGAGTCTGCTCGTGATGATTATTACGCCCAAAATGAAATTGACTCAGGTCTGAACATACTTTAATGCATTAAGTAAACCAGTAATTGAATGTATCTTGAGAAGGAGTAAACCACCGTTCGATTTTCTTTCAGAAGCGGGAGTCGTTTTCACCAAATCTCTCTCGGATACCAAAGTCCAGGCAGAGGATGAAGTAACCCTCTCGTGTGAGACCTCCAAGGCCGGGTCACCAGTGCAGTGGTACCACGAACATGAGCTGCTGGATGGTAGCGACAAGCGGTTCCATGTGAAGCGAGACGGAAAGTCAGCCACGCTGAAGATCAGTCGCGTGGAGCTAACGGACAGCGGGAAGTACGTCTGTGACTCGGGCTTGGAGAAAACCAGTGCAACCTTGACTGTTACAGGTACAGCTCATCCTGAATACAGACATGGCTGCATTCCAAGCCAAAATATGGCATGCAATATGATAAAATAACGTCTTTATTTGGTATTTTCAGAGCTCCCTGTTACATTTACCAAAGAGCTGGGAGAGCTATCGGTTGAGGAAGGACACGAGGCTGAGCTGACGTGTGAAACATGTCGTGGAGACACTCCTGTCGCGTGGCGCAAGGGTGACAAGACCCTGAAAGCTGGAGCCAAGTATCGCATGGTGCGCGAGGGCAGGAAGGCCAGCCTCGTCATCAGTTCAGTGGAGCTGGGAGACAGTGACCAGTACACGTGTGACTCTGGAAACTTCCAGACAACAGCAAAGTTCACTGTGAGAGGTAAACAATGAAATGTATAATCTCTAGTGCATCCGAAGTTGCTTTGTTTTATGTTAATGTAATGACCTTTGACACGAGGAGGGATATTGTGTGCGTTGGCCTTTTACATCAAGGAACCATTTACCTTTGGATATTACCGCGTCGCTGCTTTTTGCAGATGACGTTGTTCTCTTTGCCTGGTCAGTCTGTGATCTCCAGCATGCACTTGAACGGTTTGATGCCGAGTGTGAAGCAGCTGGGATGAGGATCAGCACCTCTAAATCTGAGGTCATGGTTCACTCCTGGGAGATGTTCGATTGTTCTCTCCAGATCAGGGGGGAACAGCTGCCTTTAGTGAAAGAGTTTAAGTATCTCGGGGTTTTCTTCGCCAGTGATGGTAAGTGGGAGCGGGAGATCAGCTGGCAAATTGGTGCGGCGTCCGCAGTGTTGTGGGCACTGTACTGTTCCATTGTAGTGAAGCGGGAGATGAGTTCTCGAAAAAAGCTCTCGGTTTACAGGTCGACATACATTCCCACCCTCACCTATGGTCATGAGCTTTGGGAAATGACCAAAAGGATGAGCTTCGCGGGTACAAGGGGTCGAAATGAGGTTTCTCCAAAGGGTTGCCGGGCTCATTCTCTGTGATCGGGTGAGGAGCTCGGTAATCCGGGAAGAGCCTCAGAGATGAGGTGTTGCTCTTCCAGTTCGAGATGAGCCAGTTGAGGTGGTTAGGGCACCTGGTAAGGATGCACCCTGATAGATTCCCCCTGGAATTCTGCCGTGCATGTCCCACTGGGTGAAGACTGGAGGGCCAGCCCAGGACACACTGGCGAGAATATGTCGCTCGGCTGTCCTGGGAATGCCTGGGAATTCCCCAGGAAGAGCTACATTCTGTCGCCAGGGGAAGGAAGGTGTGGACTGCCCTATTCAACATGCTGCCGCCGTGATCGTTGCCAGGACAAGCGGATTGAGAAATTAACGAATGAGAAACGAGCATTTTTATCTCCATATTTTATTTCAGAAGCTGGAGTCGTTTTCACCAAATCGCTCTCGGACACCAAAGTCCAGGCAGAGGATGAAGTGACGCTCTTGTGTGAGACCTCCAAGGCCGGGTCACCAGTGCAGTGGTACCATGGGGATCAGCTGCTGGATGGTAGCGACAAGCGGTTCCATGTCAAGCGAGATGGAAAGGCAGCCACGCTTAAGATCAGTCGCGTGGAGCTAACAGACAGTGGGAAGTACGTCTGTGACTCGGGCTTTAAGAAAACCAGTGCCACCTTGACCGTCACAGGTACAGCTCTCCGTGAATACAAACGTAATGCAGATTTGAATGTGTAATTGTTATCATTATAATATATATTTGTCCAATTTGAATGTCCGTTTTCAGAGCTTCCTGTCGAATTCTCCAAGGAGTTGGGATCTTTATCGGTTGAGGAAGCCAACGAGGCTGAGCTGACGTGTGAAACATCTCGTGGAGACACTCCAGTCGTGTGGCTCAAGGGTGACAAGATCCTGAAAACTGGAGCCAAGTATCGCATGGTGCGTGAGGGCAGGAAGGCCAGCCTCGTCATCAGCTCAGTGGAGCTGGGAGACAGTGACCAGTACACGTGCGACTCTGGGAACTTCCAGACAACAGCAAAGCTCACTGTGACAGGTAAATAATGGTATTGTATAATCAGTGGTGAATCCGACGATACTTTGTTTTATGTAAAAAGGGATATTGTGTGCATTCGCCTCTTACGTCAAGGAACCATCTTCCTATGGATATCACCGCAAAGTATTCTCTTGATAGTGATGTCCAAATCTTACCGTGTCAATTATTCCTATCATCAGCCATGGTCTATCCACAGCTTCATGAATGTCTCTCAACGCCTTCATATTCCCTCAGGGTTTCATGATGCCAGAATTCATTCCACTCCTGCACATGAGCTGATCTCATTACTCAATATCTTCAGCACTTGTTTGCTTTTCCGTCTTCTCTTCCTTGGCTGCCTCTACATCAGTAGTCTCATCCACTTTACCATCATCCCTTCTCGCAAAGTATCCTGCCAAAGCCCACTGATGTCCTTATAACCGACACGCCTAAACCGGAATATATCATATCCATATGCATAATGTATTTTGGTAGAAAGTGACATGTATTTTAAATATATTTTAGAATGGGAAAATTACTTAAAAAATGTTACTGGCATATTTTCTTTCAGAAGCAGGAGTTGTATTCACCAAACCTCTGTCCAATACCAAAGTCCAGGCAGAGGATGAAGTGACCCTCTCGTGTGAGACCTCCAAGGCCGGGTCACCAGTGCAGTGGTACCACGAGGATCAGCTGCTGGATGGTAGCAACAAGCGGTTCCATGTGAAGCGAGATGGAAAGGCAGCCATGCTTAAGATCAGTTTCGTGGAGCTAACGGACAGCGGGAAGTACGTCTGTGACTCGGGCTTTGAGAAAACCAGTGCCACCTTGAATGTTACAGGTACAGCTCCTCCTGAATACAAACATAATTCAGAATTGAATATGTAATTATTAGAATTACAATATCATTAGACCTCCTTTGCCAGTGCCAAAATATAATAATAGGGGTTTTCCCCTTTTTTCTGGAAACAAAACTTAAACCTTTTTTTACCAGGATTCATGTCTGCATTAACCACAATACTTGCAGTTAAAATGCAAACAAAAAACATAATATGATAATATATGCATTTTCCTTGAAATTGATTGGTCCACACCAGGGAAGGCTTTTGAAAACAAAAATGTTAATTTTCTTTTCAGAGCTTCCTGTTGAATTCTCCAAGGAGTTGGGATCTTTATCGGTTGAGGAAGCCCACGAGGCTGAGCTGACGTGTGAAACATCTCGTGGAGACACTCTAGTCGTGTGGCTCAAGGGTGACAAGATCCTGAAAGCTGGAGCCAAGTATCGCATGGTGCGTGAGGGCAGGAAGGCCAGCCTCGTCATCAGCTCAGTGGAGCTGGGAGACAGTGACCAGTACACGTGCGACTCTGGAAACTTCCAGACGTCAGCAAAGCTCACTGTCACAGGTAAACATTCAACTGAATAATCTGTGGTGTATCCGAAGATGCTTTGTTTTTTGTGATTGTAATGCATTTGAAACCACCGGTGATATTGTGTAAATTGGTCTTTTTCCATCAAAGAACCCGTCTTGATAGTGATGTCCAAATATTACCATGTCAACTTTTTATATCATCATCAGACATGGTTTATCCTCAGATTCATTCATTTATCTCCGCGCCATCACATTCCCTCATAGTTTCACGATTCCACAATCCATCTGACTCCTGCACATGAACTGATCTCATCCCTCAATCCCTGCAGCGCTCATTCACTCGGCCGTCTTCTCTTCCTTGGTTGTCCGTTGTCTAATCCACTTAACCATCATCCCTTCTCGCAAAGTATGCTGCCCAAGCCCACTGATGTCCTTATGATCGACACACCTAAACCAAATGATATGATATCCAAATGCATGATGTATTTATGTAGACAAAGACATGTGTTTAATGTCTTTAATTCGGAAACTGACTTAAAAGAAACATATCTGCATATTTTATTTCAGAATCTGGAGTTGTATTCACGAAACCTCTGTCCGATACCCAAGTCCAGGCAGAGGGTGAAGTGACCCTCTCGTGTGAGACCTCCAAGGCCGGGTCACCAGTGCAGTGGTACCATGAGGATCAGCTGCTGGATGGTAGCGACAAGCGGTTTTATGTGAAGCGAGATGGAAAGGCAGCGGTGCTCAAGATCAGTCACGTGGAGCTAACGGATAGCGGGAAGTACGTCTGTGACTCAGGCTTTGAGAAAACCAGTGCCACCTTGAACGTCACAGGTACAGCTCCTCCTGAATACTCACGTAGGTAAGATTTGAATGTGTAATTGTTATAATAACATTATTATTTTTATTTTCTTTTTCAGAGCTCCCTATTAAATTCTCAAAAGAGCTTGGGGAATTGTCGGTTGAGGAAGCCCACGAGGCTGAGCTGACGTGTGAAACATCTCGTGGAGACACTCCAGTCGTGTGGCTCAAGGGTGACAAGATCCTGAAAGCTGGAGCCAAGTATCGCATGGTGCGCGAGGGCAGGAAGGCCAGCCTCGTCATCAGCTCAGTGGAGCTGGGAGACAGTGACCAGTACACGTGCGACTCTGGGAACTTCCAGACAACAGCAAAGCTCACTGTGACAGGTAAATAATGAAATGTATAATCTGTGGTGAATCCGAAGATACATTTTTTTTTGGTAACAAGGGATAGTGTGTGCATTGGCCTCAAACATCAAGGAACCATCTTTCTATGGATATCACCGCAAAGTTTTCTCTTGATAGTGATGTCCTAATATTACCATGTCAATTATTCCTATCATCAGCCATGGTCTATCCACAGCTTCATGAATGTCTCTCAATGCCATCAAATTCCCTCTTAGTTTCACGATGCCACATTACATCTTACTCCTGCACATGAGCTGATCTCATCGCTCAATATCTGCAGCGCTCATACGCACGGCATTCTTCTCTTCCTTGGCTGCCTCTACATCTATAGTCTCATCCACTTGGCCATCATCTTTTCGCGCAAAGTGTCCTGCCCAAGCCCACTGATGTCCTTAAGACCCCCACGCCTGAACTGGGTGAAATATCCTTATGAAAATTTTGTTTCGGTAGAAAGGTACACCTTTTTAAACTGTGTATATGAATGGCAAAATAACTTTTAAAAAAATATTTCCATATTTTATTTCAGAATCTGGAGTCGTTTTCACCAAATATCTCTCGGACACCAAAGTCCAGGCAGAGGATGAAGTGACCCTCTCGTGTGAGACCTCCAAGGCCGGGTCACCAGTGCAGTGGTACCACGAGGATCAGCTGCTGGATGGTGGCGACAAGCGGTTCCATGTCAAGCGAGATGGAAAGGCAGCCACGCTTAAGATCAGTTGCGTGGAGCTAACGGACAGCGGGATGTACGTCTGTGACTCGGGCTTTGAGAAAACCAGTGCCACCTTGACCGTTACAGGTACAGCTCCTCTTGAATACAAACATAATTCAGACTTGAATATGTAATTGTTATGATTACAATATTTATGTATCCATTTTCAATGTTCATTTTCGTTTTCAGAGCTTCCTGTTGAATTCTCCAAGGAGTTGGGATCTTTATCGGTTGAGGAAGCCCACGAGGCTGAGCTGACGTGTGAAACATCTCGTGGAGACACTTCTGTCGTGTGGCGCAAGGGTGACAAGATCTTGAAAGCTGGAGCCAAGTATCGCATGGTGCGCGAGGGCAGGAAGGCCAGCCTCGTCATCAGCTCAGTGGAGCTGGGAGACAGTGACCAGTACATGTGCGACTCTGGAAACTTCCAGACGTCAGCAAAGCTCACTGTCACAGGTAAACATTCAACTGAATAATCTGTGGTGTATCCGAAGATGCTTTGTTTTTTGTGATTGTAATGCATTTGAAACCACGGGTGATATTGTATACATTTATATGGGCCTTTTCCATCAAGGAACCCGTTACCTTTTGATATCACTTCAAAGTATACTCTTGATATTCACGTCCAAATATTACCATGTAAATTATTAATATCATCATCAGACATGGTCTATCCTCAGCTTCATGAATCTCTCTCCACGCCATCACATTCCCTCAAGGTTCCACGGTGCCACAATCCATCCCACTCCTGCACATGAGCTGATCTCATCGCTCAATCACTGCAGCGCTCTTTCACTCGGCCGTCTTCTCTTCCTTGGCAGCCTCTACATCAGTCGTCTCATCCCCTTGACCATCATCCCTTCTCGCAACGTGTCCTGGCCAAGCCCACTGATGTCCTTATGATCAACACACCTAAACCCGATGATATAATATCCAAATGCATAATGTCTTTTTGTAGACAGCGACATGTGTTTGACGTCTTTAAATCGGAAACTGACTTTCAAAATATACGCATATTTTATTTCAGAAGCTGGAGTTGTATTCACCAAACCTCTGTCCAATACCAAAGTCCAGGCAGAGGATGAAGTGACCCTCTCGTGTGAGACCTCCAAGGCCGGGTCACCAGTGCAGTGGTACCACGAGGATCAGCTGCTGGATGGTAGCGACAAGCGGTTCCATGTGAAGCGAGATGGAAAGGCAGCCACGCTTAAGATCAGTTGCGTGGAGCTAACGGACAGCGGAAAGTACGTCTGTGACTCGGGCTTTGAGAAAACCAGTGCCACCTTGAATGTTACAGGTACAGCTCCTCCTGAATACAAAGATAATTCAGACTTGAATATGCAATAATTATAATTACAATATCATTAGACCTCCTTTGCCAGTGCCAAAATATAATAATAGGGTTTTTCCCCTTTTTCTGGAAACAAAACTTAAACCTTTTTTTTTACCAGGTTTCATGTCTGCATTAACCACAATACTTGCAGTCAAAATGCAAACAAAAAACATACTGTGATAATATATGCATTTTCCTTAAAATTGATTGGTCCACACCAGGGACGGCTTTTGAAAACAAAATGTTAATTTTCGTTTTCAGAGCTTCCTGTTGAATTCTCCAAGGAGTTGGGATCTTTATCGGTTGAGGAAGCCCACGAGGCTGAGCTGACGTGTGAAACATCTCGTGGAGACACTCCAGTCGTGTGGCTCAAGGGTGACAAGATCCTGAAAGCTGGAGCCAAGTATCGCATGGTGCGCGAGGGCAGGAAGGCCAGCCTCGTCATCAGCTCAGTGGAGCTGGGAGACAGTGACCAGTACACGTGCGACTCTGGAAACTTCCAGACGTCAGCAAAGCTCACTGTCACAGGTAAACATTCAACTGAATAATCTGTGGTGTATCCGAAGATGCTTTGTTTTTTGTGATTGTAATGCATTTGAAACCACGGGTGATATTGTATACATTTATATGGGCCTTTTCCATCAAGGAACCCGTTACCTTTTGATATCACTTCAAAGTATACTCTTGATATTCACGTCCAAATATTACCATGTAAATTATTAATATCATCATCAGACATGGTCTATCCTCAGCTTCATGAATCTCTCTCCACGCCATCACATTCCCTCAAGGTTTCACGGTGCCACAATCCATCCCACTCCTGCACATGAGCTGATCTCATCGCTCAATCACTGCAGCGCTCTTTCACTCGGCCGTCTTCTCTTCCTTGGCAGCCTCTACATCAGTCGTCTCATCCCCCGTGTCCTGGCCAAGCCCACTGATGTCCTTATGATCAACACACCTAAACCCGATGATATAATATCCAAATGCATAATGTCTTTTTGTAGACAGCGACATGTGTTTGACGTCTTTAAATCGGAAACTGACTTTCAAAATATACGCATATTTTATTTCAGAAGCTGGAGTTGTATTCACCAAACCTCTGTCCAATACCAAAGTCCAGGCAGAGGATGAAGTGACCCTCTCGTGTGAGACCTCCAAGGCCGGGTCACCAGTGCAGTGGTACCACGAGGATCAGCTGCTGGATGGTAGCGACAAGCGGTTCCATGTGAAGCGAGATGGAAAGGCAGCCACGCTTAAGATCAGTTGCGTGGAGCTAACGGACAGCGGAAAGTACGTCTGTGACTCGGGCTTTGAGAAAACCAGTGCCACCTTGAATGTTACAGGTACAGCTCCTCCTGAATACAAAGATAATTCAGACTTGAATATGCAATAATTATAATTACAATATCATTAGACTTCCTTTGCTAGTGCCAAAATATAATAATAGGGTTTTTCCCCTTTTTCTGGAAACAAAACTTAAACCTTTTTTTTTACCAGGTTTCATGTCTGCATTAACCACAATACTTGCAGTCAAAATGCAAACAAAAAACATACTGTGATAATATATGCATTTTCCTTAAAATTGATTGGTCCACACCAGGGACGGCTTTTGAAAACAAAATGTTAATTTTCGTTTTCAGAGCTTCCTGTTGAATTCTCCAAGGAGTTGGGATCTTTATCGGTTGAGGAAGCCCACGAGGCTGAGCTGACGTGTGAAACATCTCGTGGAGACACTCCAGTCGTGTGGCTCAAGGGTGACAAGATCCTGAAAGCTGGAGCCAAGTATCGCATGGTGCGCGAGGGCAGGAAGGCCAGCCTCGTCATCAGCTCAGTGGAGCTGGGAGACAGTGACCAGTACACGTGCGACTCTGGAAACTTCCAGACGTCAGCAAAGCTCACTGTCACAGGTAAACATTCAACTGAATAATCTCTGGTGTATCCGAAGATGCTTTGTTTTTGTGATTGTAATGCATTTGAAACCACAGGTGATATTGTACACATTTATATGGGCCTTTTCCATCAAGGAACCCGTTACCTTTTGATATCACTTCAAAGTATACTCTTGATATTCACGTCCTAATATTACCATGTAAATTATTAATATCATCATCAGACATGGTCTATCCTCAGCTTTATGAATCTCTCTCCACGCCATCACATTCCCTCAAGGTTCCACGGTGCCACAATCCATCCCACTCCTGCACATGAGCTGATCTCATCGCTCAATCACTGCAGCGCTCTTTCACTCGGCCGTCTTCTCTTCCTTGGCAGCCTCTACATCAGTCGTCTCATCCCCCGTGTCCTGGCCAAGCCCACTGATGTCCTTATGATCAACACACCTAAACCCGATGATATAATATCCAAATGCATAATGTCTTTTTGTAGACAGCGACATGTGTTTGACGTCTTTAAATCGGAAACTGACTTTCAAAATATACGCATATTTTATTTCAGAAGCTGGAGTTGTATTCACCAAACCTCTGTCCAATACCAAAGTCCAGGCAGAGGATGAAGTGACCCTCTCGTGTGAGACCTCCAAGGCCGGGTCACCAGTGCAGTGGTACCACGAGGATCAGCTGCTGGATGGTAGCGACAAGCGGTTCCATGTGAAGCGAGATGGAAAGGCAGCCACGCTTAAGATCAGTTGCGTGGAGCTAACGGACAGCGGAAGTACGTCTGTGACTCGGGCTTTGAGAAAACCAGTGCCACCTTGAATGTTACAGGTACAGCTCCTCCTGAATACAAAGATAATTCAGACTTGAATATGCAATAATTATAATTACAATATCATTAGACTTCCTTTGCCAGTGCCAAAATATAATAATAGGGTTTTTCCCCTTTTTCTGGAAACAAAACTTAAACCTTTTTTTTTACCAGGTTTCATGTCTGCATTAACCACAATACTTGCAGTCAAAATGCAAACGAAAAACATACTGTGATAATATATGCATTTTCCTTAAATTGATTGGTCCACACCAGGGACGGCTTTTGAAAACAAAATGTTAATTTTCGTTTTCAGAGCTTCCTGTTGAATTCTCCAAGGAGTTGGGATCTTTATCGGTTGAGGAAGCCCACGAGGCTGAGCTGACGTGTGAAACATCTCGTGGAGACACTCCAGTCGTGTGGCTCAAGGGTGACAAGATCCTGAAAGCTGGAGCCAAGTATCGCATGGTGCGCGAGGGCAGGAAGGCCAGCCTCGTCATCAGCTCAGTGGAGCTGGGAGACAGTGACCAGTACACGTGCGACTCTGGAAACTTCCAGACGTCAGCAAAGCTCACTGTCACAGGTAAACATTCAACTGAATAATCTCTGGTGTATCCGAAGATGCTTTGTTTTTGTGATTGTAATGCATTTGAAACCACAGGTGATATTGTACACATTTATATGGGCCTTTTCCATCAAGGAACCCGTTACCTTTTGATATCACTTCAAAGTATACTCTTGATATTCACGTCCTAATATTACCATGTAAATTATTAATATCATCATCAGACATGGTTTATCCTCAGATTCATTCATTTATCTCCGCGCCATCACATTCCCTCATAGTTTCACGATTCCACAATCCATCTGACTCCTGCACATGAACTGATCTCATCCCTCAATCCCTGCAGCGCTCATTCACTCGGCCGTCTTCTCTTCCTTGGTTGTCCGTTGTCTAATCCACTTAACCATCATCCCTTCTCGCAAAGTATGCTGCCCAAGCCCACTGATGTCCTTATGATCGACACACCTAAACCAAATGATATGATATCCAAATGCATGATGTATTTATGTAGACAAAGACATGTGTTTAATGTCTTTAATTCGGAAACTGACTTAAAAGAAACATATCTGCATATTTTATTTCAGAATCTGGAGTTGTATTCACGAAACCTCTGTCCGATACCCAAGTCCAGGCAGAGGGTGAAGTGACCCTCTCGTGTGAGACCTCCAAGGCCGGGTCACCAGTGCAGTGGTACCATGAGGATCAGCTGCTGGATGGTAGCGACAAGCGGTTCCATGTGAAGCGAGATGGAAAGGCAGCCACGCTTAAGATCAGTTGCGTGGAGCTAACGGACAGCGGGAAGTACGTCTGTGACTCAGGCTTTGAGAAAACCAGTGCCACCTTGAACGTCACAGGTACAGCTCCTCCTGAATACTCACGTAGGTAAGATTTGAATGTGTAATTGTTATAATAAACATTATTATTTTCATTTTCTTTTTCAGAGCTGCCTATTAAATTCTCAAAAGAGCTTGGGGAATTGTCGGTTGAGGAAGCCCACGAGGCTGAGCTGACGTGTGAAACATCTCGTGGAGACACTCCAGTCGTGTGGCTCAAGGGTGACAAGATCCTGAAAGCTGGAGCCAAGTATCGCATGGTGCGCGAGGGCAGGAAGGCCAGCCTCGTCATCAGCTCAGTGGAGCTGGGAGACAGTGACCAGTACACGTGCGACTCTGGGAACTTCCAAACGTCTGCGAAACTCACTGTGACAGGTAAACTCTAGCCAATGACGGAATTTCAATATTTTCTTGGTTGAACATTAAATGAATAAATAGTGATACCTGTCAAATTGAGTTTTGACGAGAGAATATGTAATAGTGATGTTGTTAGGCATGCATTAACAAATGTAAATTTTCAATCAGAGTTGTCTCTTCTAAATATATTCTCGTGCATTTCTCTCTTTTAGCTGTGGGAATATTAACCATTAGCTTCTCAGTGAGGGATTTAATTCACAGCAAATGTGTGATATTTATGTGCTAATGGTGTTTTAGCTATGTGACCTGAGCGACTTTCCTTTGTAATCGCAAATCCGCGATCTCTGCTTATCATGAAATGCCCAGTGGTCGCGTGTGGCTTTCATCGTTTGACATGAAGTGACTACGCTTACCTCGTGGGTTCTCACCTGCTTGAAAAAATAAACTTGAAACACAAAGTTGCCCCTGTTCCACGGCTCGAGTGACCCAAGTCTGCTGCCTGTCCTGGATCATGCTGGCGTCCACCCACAGAGGCCCCTATTCATCTTGAGGAGCAACTCCAGGATCAGGAGGGAGAGGAGCTCGGGAACATCACGTTCAGCTGCCGCGTCTCGAAAGCTGGCAGTGAGGGTGGCATGGAGGAAAGGAACTTCGCCGCTACAACCTGGCTCCAAATACTCCATTGGACAAACTGGACATATCCTTAAGCTCACGGTGTACAATTTGCAGACAGGCGATGCAGGAAAATACGAATGTGAGATTGGGGATGTTCTGAAAACATCGGCAGTGCTCACAGTTAGAGGTATGTGTTGTCACGTAAATGTTAAAAGTTTTGCAATGTTTATGTTTAACAGTTAAAGTAGGATCTTATTCTCCCAAATATTAACAAACGTCATATAATTGTTTGCGTTGAACAATTAATCCATTTCTAGTGGTTGGCATCAAGCAGAATGTGAATATTGATACATATACTGTGCATTTTCATTTTGTGTTTCTCAAAAGCAAATGGTGGTATTACATTTTTTACTTGCAGAGGCTCCAGGCCTAATTCGTGAGGCTCTTCATGACCAGGAGGTAGAAGAGTTTAGAACAGCGACTCTCCACTGCCGCTTCTCCAAACTAGCAGATAGAGTCACCTGGAAAAAGGACTCCTCAGCCCTGCACCCGAGTGACAAGTACGAGATGACGCAGGAGGGCGGTATGGCTACTCTTCTCATCCACAACGTTCAGCTGGAAGATGCTGGAAGCTACACGTGTGAGACCGAGAAAGATCAGACCTCGGCGCTGCTCATTGTGCAAGGTAGCCATGTACATGACAAGTGTTTGTACTTCACGAACAAATGCAATGTGTATTGCTGTTTGTTCTTCACTCCCTCGTATGCATTGGCATTTTCTGGGTAATTGGATTCACTTCCACATTCCAAAAGCTCTTGAATGGAATTCACCAAAGCTGGAGCCTCACAGAATCTTGAGACTCATGGTGATGAGATGTTAACTACCTCACCTGGTATACAGGAGGGCATGATTTCGATCCCGACCCTGACGCCTATATATTTGTAGTTTGCATGTCTCTATCCCCATGGTCACGTGGATTTTTCTCCAGGTCCTCTGGTCTTTCTCTCCACATTTAGAATCAACATGTATTTATAATATTTGGCTTCTGTAAATTACCACGTGAAAAGCAACTTCGTTGAGCTATTATTTGTGGCCAGGTCGCTTCTCAAAATATATATATATATCGCTCATTGAGCCTCACCTGGTGAAATAAAAATAATTGCTACTTTTAGTTTAGTTTTCCTGTTTTAATAACTGGCATTAATGTTGACTTCAAGCTTTCGTGACTGCAGGAATTCATACTCTTTGGGTCTTTCGGTAAAGTCACGATTGGGTCTTTCGGTAAAGTCACGTGACTTTACCGAAAGACCCAAAGAGTATGGTATTAATGTGTTCGAAACAAAAATCCACCCACAGAGGCCCCAGTGCTGATCTCTGAGGCTCTTGAGAACCAAGAGGTTGAAGAGTTTGAAACGGCCACTCTCAGCTGCCGCTTCTCAAAACCTCCACTGAAAGTCACCTGGAAGAAAGGTTCCACTGTCCTGCAGCCCAATGCCGACCACGAGATGAAGCAGGAACACGACGTGGCCACGCTCATCATCCACAAGGTGCAGCTGGACGACACCGGCGAGTACACCTGCGAAACAGGCAACGACAGGACTTCGGCAATGCTGCTCGTACAAGGTACTCTTCTTCGCCAATCGCATCGTGTCAACGTTTCATACATTGACGCAATTATTATTTCACGAATTTACATAACTCAGTCTAATCAGATTAAAAAAAGATCAGAAAGTGCACATCTCTTTTCGTGCTCAATTGCGTTTTTTTTAATGGCTAAAACTTCACTTCACTGTCTGGCATGGATCCTGCGATCATTTTAGAGGTCATATTTCCACATATTGTATGAGCCACACTTGCTTTGAAAGTTCCACACGGATTTGTTGTCGTCCTTTTTTGCCAAAACTTTGTGAGATGTGTTGGTTTTCCCCCCAACCGAAGGTCACAGTAATCTAAGCAAAGCGATTGATCGACTAATAGTTTTGCATTGAGTAATCTGGCCCCTATAATGTCTCGCTCGCAGAAGCCCCGGTGCTGATCCGTGAAGCCCTCCGGGACCAGGAGGTTGAGGAGTTTGGGACGGCTACCCTCAGTTGCCGACTCTCAAAACCAGACGTGCCGGTTGCTTGGCAAAAAGGGTCCAAGCTGCTTCATCCGAGCGCAAAGTACAACATGGTCCAAAACGGGGACATAGTTAGACTCGTCATCTATGACATTGAATTGGAGGATGCTGGAGATTACGAATGTGACACTGGAGATGATAGAACAGTAGCTACTATTTTGGTCACAGGTAAGCTACCGGTGCATATAACAACAGTTTTCTATGCCTTACAAATCAGAATACCACTTAAAATAATTATATTACGAAATCATTTGATGCTACCATCTCAAGGTTTATAAGAACTGGATAACTTTCTTCATGAAAGCTACGTTTAAGAATGGCGTTGGCTTCTATTTGCTACAGAGGCCCCGGTGCTGATTACCCGAGGCCCTTCGGGACCAGGAGGTTGAAGAGAGTGGCACTGCAACTCTCCTGCTGCCGCTTCTCAAAGCCAGCAGTGAGGGTCACCTGGAGGAAGGACTCCTCAGTCCTGCACCCGAGTGACAAGTATGAGATGAAACTGGAGGGAGACCTGGCCACTCTTGTTATCCACAATGTACAGCTGGACGACACTGGGAGCTACGTTTGTGAGACGGAGAATGATCAGACCTCGGCAATGATGACAGTACAAGGTTCGTGTCACATCATGACACGTATACACATCGTGACACGTCACAGCATGACATGTATACATACAATTGATTTTTATGATTGTTGGGATGAACACTCCTCTCTTTGTAATTCACAGAGAAGCCAGTGGTGTTCACCAAGGGCCTGCAAGATCTAACAGAAGAGGAACTCGGAGATGCTGCGTTTGTGTGCGAGGTGTCCAAAGAAGGGGCTTCAGTAACATGGCTGAAAAATGGTGGGGTGCTTTACCCTGGAGCAAAGTGTGAGATGAGTCAGGATGGAAGAGCAGCCAGACTCATCCTGCATCACTTGGGCCTGCACGACGCTGGGCAGTACACCTGTGACACTGGCCACGATGTCACCACCGCCACGCTCAATGTCACAGGTGATTAGTACATTTTAAAAGTACATTCACGAGAATGTAAAAGGGTTCTTTTTTCAGTTTATGTGAACACTTAACTTTGATATAAATATCCTTCTCTCCAGAGCGAGACATCCACATTGTGAGGGGCCTGCAGGACTGTGAGGTGTTTGAGAACAACTCGGCCACGTTCTCCTGCGAGATCTCCCACGCTGATGTGCAGGAGGTGGAGTGGTGGCTGGATCAGAGCTGGCTGTATCATAACGAGTTTAATAAAATCAGTGTGGACGGAGGGAAAACACACGTCCTTACCCTCAATAACCTCACCCTGCAGGACGGCGGCTGTGTTACCTTCAAGGCAGGGAAACAGACGTCCTCAGCAAATTTGTCCATTAAGGGTACGCTACGTGCTGTGATGAGCCCATCTTTGATATTGATATGAAAGGATCTGTGTATTTCATGTCATCTTAATGTCTGGTTTGTTAAGTTGATCTTGCTAAATATGTATATTGAACGTGCTTTAAAGTCCAACTCCATCTTTTTGTGTTGTGGTGTGCACAGCGGTACCAGTGAAGTTTGTGAAGCGACTAGAGGATGTAGATTGTGTGGAGAATGGAGAAGCAGAATTTGTGTGTGAGGTGTCCGAGCTGAGCGCTCCGGTCACATGGCACAGGCGCGATAAACAGCTGAGCCCTTCTCAGAAGTACGTGATACACAGAGACGGAGCGGTCGTGAGTCTCGTTGTCACAAAGCTGCAGCCAGAAGACGCGGGGGCGTACACTTGTGATGCAGGAAGATGATGCCACCTCTGCCAAACTCCACGTTCAAGGTGAAACTTAATAACAAAAATAATAATTTTCACTTATTAGGTACCTTGATCATCTAAAGGTAATTCTCCGCCATCTAAGCTCACGAACATTTAAAGACACGAACTCTACGCTGGTGTTGCCGTCCAGTTTTGCAATCATGACCTTTCTTCATCAACCTTGTTTACAGAGGCTCCGGTGTTGATCTCTGAGGCCCTTCAGGACCAGGAGGTTGAAGAGAGTGGCACTGCGACTCTCCGCTGCCGCTTCTCAAAGCCAGCAGCGAGGGTCACCTGGAGGAAGGACTCCTCAGTCCTGCACCCGAGTGACAAGTATGAGATGAAGCTGGAGGGTAACGTGGCCACTCTTGCTATCCACAACGTGCAGCTACAGGATGCTGGGAGCTACGAGTGTGAGACGGAGAATGATAGGACATGTGCATCACTGATTGTTAAAGGTAAAGCAACATTATTCGGTACACATTTCTATACACGACCTATGTTTTGAACGTAAGAATGATAATAATTCACGTATGACTGTGAGCTCTTGCTCACTCGTAGAGGTGTTGGAGGGAGCGTTGCACGTCTGTAACTTAATGTGTATTTTTCCAGTTAATGTAATGTATTACGTTTACTTTTAAATTCATGGTACTATTAAATCATAGGAAACATTTATTGTATTCCTTGTACACCGCATGTCTTTGAGGAGATATACACAGCAAGTGAATGAAGTGGATATTTAGTTTCGTACTCTGCGTTTTTAAAGTAAAAATTTCACTTTGTACTTTTTTGAATCGTAGCAAACAATGTTTTTCATAGATTTTACTGTTTTTAGTTGAGGATTTAATTTCATCTACATATTAATATAATTCGCATGGATAAAAATAGGCTTTTAGCCAAAATTATCCATGAGGAAGGGATTACAACACAGTTCACGAGAAGATATTTTTTGCAATGGCCCCTCTATCCCTGGGTTACGTTGAGTTGGGTGTCAATCGAGAGCTCATGACCTGCATATTCTGTGAAAAATACAAGCTGATCAAAAACTAATTAATAATTTAAAAGCTAGGAAAACGCATGCACACGCATTGTTTATGTTACTCTTTCCAGCGTGTTTGGGTTTAGAAGTATTTAATTTGCAATTAGGCCTTTTTGTTCTGGAAAATTAGGTCAGCGGGTGAAGAGGGGGGAAATAGAGTTGGGCGAGAGGGGGAGAGATATTGGGGCTTGCTGCTGTTAGCATTACATCGCAGTTGTAATGAGTTGTAATCTGGCTAACCATCAAACAAAGATGGTCACTGCATCCCACGTTTTCAGATGCGCTTCTACGGCCGACTGGAATGCTCTTCCTTCCGATATTAGGAAGCCACTGGAGCTATGTACTTTTAAATCTAAATGTAAAACTGATTTCTGTAGAACTGCTTTTTGTGTTTAGTGTGTTGTCCTTTCCCCGTACCCACGATTAGCACAGTTGGCTATATACGGTGCAAAGGAAGTTCAACATATGTTGTGAAAACCAACGGTACTAAACAACAGGAAATGACTGAAGAACTTCGTAAATTACTGTGCAAACTGTGGCTGAAGTGAAATATGAGCAAAAAAGGCATTCGCCACTAGTTTGCTGAAGAGCAGCATAAAATGTGTTGTTGTCAGTACACAACTCTGAAGCACAACAGAGTATCTGCTACACCCATAGCAAGTATTGCTTCAGACCGCTACAGACGGGGGAGGTAATCTGGAGGAGAAGAGCAAAAGCAGGTTGGAGTGAATTTAGTCATTTTATGTCGTAATGAAAAGCAACAAATAAAAGTGTGCCCAAGAGCAACGTTTTCAATCAGTGGATGTTGCCTGATACGACTTGTGGATTTGAGACATGGATGCATGCCACGAACGAAAGAACAAACGTTGAAAAGTGTTCAAAGAAGCATAGAGAGGTGCATGCTGGGAATTACACTGACAGAAAAAGTAAGACATAGATCGATGAACAAATGAAAATTCGACGCTCTACGATAAGAGTTGATAAGAGCAAGTGGTCTTGGGCAGAACACATTGCTAGCAGGGACTATGGACGATGGACGAGGCTGGCGGTGGAATGGCACCCAAAGAGCAGACCGAAGCTAAGATGTCGACCACTGTGCAGGTGGATTTTATGAGATCAGATAGAGCGCAATTAAGATCATGGCACCGCTGGATCGTTAGGATGGTAACTTTGTGGGGAAACTATACAGCTGCGGATAGGTCATGGATGATTATGATTAATTCATGTGTATATAATGTTTATTATGTGACGAGTTTTCAACTGATTCAAATTTGTAGTTTGTGAAAGGAAAGACCACAGGATGATATAGGACATTTGTAACTTATACTTTTTTGTTATTATCAGCTCCAAATGAAGTTGCCATGCCAACCCAGGAGGAGCAGCTGCCACAGGAGGCTGTGTTGTCTGCCATAATGGGTATGGTCGCCGTTCACATGAGCGCATGCATGGCAGTATGCATGTTCATGAACGCTTGTTTTAACCAGTTACTGAAATTAATAGATTGCAATTGCCAGCTTCGTCGTGTATTACGAGAGACAAGAGAAGTAAACTCTAGTGATGTATCACAATGTAATATTCCACCAGGTTTCCAAAACCACAATCGGTAAGTAACTAATTGCATCACAATTAAACCGCATGATAACGCCTCTTATTATTTGTTATAATGCATCCACAGAGAAGCCAGTGGTGTTCACCAAGGGCCTACAGGATCTGACAGAAGAGGAACTCGGAGACGCTGTGTTTGTGTGCGAGGTGTCCAAAGAAGAGTGCCCCAGTCACGTGGCTGCAACATGGTGGGGTGCTTTACCCTGGAGCAAAGTGTGAGATGAGTCAGGATGGAAGAGCGGCCAGACTGGTCCTGCATCACTTGGGCCTGCACGACGCTGGGCAGTACTCCTGTGACACTGGCCACGATGTCACCACCGCCAGGCTCAATGTCACAGGTGATTTATTTAATGCATATCTCATTAAATATAGACTCAGTCCAAAGTTTTACATTTTAAAATCAATGACAAACATCTTTGGAATATAAATAATTATTTCATCATACTTTACAGTGCAACCACGACTGATTTAAGTATCCTTCTTTCCAGAGCGAGACATCCGCATTGTGAGAGGCCTGGAGGACTGTGAGGTGTTTGAGAACAACTCGGCCACGTTCTCCTGCGAGATCTCCCACGCTGATGTGCAGGAGGTGGAGTGGTGGCTGGATCAGAGCCGGCTGTATCATAACGAGTTTAATGAAATCAGTGTGGACGGAGGGAAAACACATGTCCTTACCCTCAACAACCTCACCCTGCAGGACGGCGGCTGTGTTACCTTCAAGGCAGGAAAACAGACATCCTCAGCGAACTTGTCCATTAAGGGTACGCTACGTATTGTAATAAACCTATCTTTGATATTGATATAAAATGTTATGTGTATTTCATGACATCTCAATGTCTGATAATTGTTTTTTTACCCTTTTATCTGGCAACAAAATTGACACCTTTTTTTACAAGGAGTCAAGTTTGCATTGACCACAATACCTGCGGTCGGAATGCAAACAAAAAACACAACTCTGATAATGGTTGCACTGTCCTTGAAATTGATTGGTCCACACCCGAGACAGCTTTTCTTAGAGCCTAGTCTTACATGGTGTTGGACCTGATGACGCCAAAAGGCACACAACTCAAAGACAATGCACCATCAGAGTTTGAGGGCTCGGGGTAAGAATTTACACCATTGGAACCTCCTTTGCCAGTAGCAAAATATGATAATTGTTTTTTTACCCTTCTATCTGGCAACAAAACTGACACCTTTTTTACACGGAGTCATGTTTGCATTGACCACAATACCTGCGGTCGGAATGCAAACAAAAAACACAACTCTGTGTCTGGTTTGTGAACTTGATCTTCGTGATAATTAATATTGAACGTGCTTTAAAATCCAACTACATCTTGTTGTGGTGTGCACAGTGGTACCAGTGAAGTTTGTGAAGCGACTAGAGGATGTAGATTGTGTGGAGGATGGAGAAGCAGAATTTGTGTGTGAGGTGTCCCAGCCCAGCGCTCCGGTCACATGGCACAGGGGCGATAGACAGCTGAGCCCTTCTCAGAAGTACGTAATGCACAGAGACGGAGCGGTCGTGAGTCTCGTTGTCACAAAACTGCAGCCAGAAGACGCAGGGGCGTACACTTGTGATGCAGGACATGAAGCCACGTCTGCTAATCTCTGTGTTCAAGGTGAGATGTGATCATCTTCACGTGATTTTCCTCAAGCGACAGTCATGGTTACCTCTGTACACGAGTTTATCAACTAACAATAATAACCCGGAGTCAAATATTACTTTATACAATATTGGATGCTCTTTTTCTGCTATAGAGGCCCCGGTGCTGATCTCCGAGGCCCTTCGGGACCAGGAGGTTGAAGAGAGTGGAACTGCGACTCTCCGCTGCCGCTTCTCAAAGCCAGCAGCGAGGGTCACCTGGAGGAAGGACTCCTCAGTCCTGCACCCGAGTGACAAGTATGAGATGAAGCTGGAGGGTAACCTGGCCACTCTTGTTATCCTTAATGTTCAACCGGAGGATGCTGGGAGCTACAACTGCGAGACAGAGAACGATCAGACTTCTGGAATGCTTAGAGTTCAAGGTGAGATGTGCCATTGAGTTTTGAGAATGCATTTGTTGTCATATCTTATTATGATTAGTCAAGCAAAAGTTTTGCTGTCCGACGCGCAGGCAGGCAAGTGCGCAGTGGTGACATCACCGCACGCACCTGCGTCATGACGCGGGATTCCACAGCGCTGAGCCGCATTCTTGCGTGGTGGCGACGTCATAACACCCCCCCACCCCCCAACGCAACCCACTCTCCATCTTGGTTATGCAGATGCGAGGGCAGTGCTAAGTCATACTATATTATAAAAAAAGATTTGCTAGCTGGTTAACTTCCCGGCTGGTAACGTGCCGGCCAGCGTGCGTTCTGATTGGCTGGAGGCCATGTGCTGGCTCACACGCAGAGGGGAGTAGGCGCACGAGTGGAGGCGAACGGGCGTGGGGTGGGGGTGCACCGAGGGGAAGCGCGGGTAGAGGGTGCATGGGTGCGGTGCGCACAGGGTGGGGTGGGTGGCAGGGGTGACTGGGGGGGCTATGCTATGATATGAGCTTGATGTATGTTTGTTGAACGTATTTCGCACCGTGCGTAGCAAACCGTGCTTCCTTTACGTTACACAATCTTGATTTGTTTTCGCTACAGAGACCCCAGTGCTGATCTCTGAGGTCCTTCAGGACCAGGAGGTTGAAGAGAGTGGAACTGCGACTCTCCGCTGTCGCTTCTCAAAGCCAGCAGCGAGGGTCACCTGGAGGAAGGACTCCTCAGTCCTGCACCCGAGTGACAAGTATGAGATGAAGCTGGAGGGAAACATGGCCATTCCTTCTCATCCACAACGTACAGCTGGAGGATGCTGGGAAGCTACGAGTGCGAGACAGAAAATGATCGGAACTTTTGCAATGTTGAAAATAACAGGTTTTTGTCTCATAACACATTCAAAATTACTTGTGATTTACTCATTGCATTTTGTCGCAGAGAAACAATGGTGGGATAAATTCGATCGTTTAATTATTTCACAGAGAAGCCAGTGGTGTTCACCAAGGGCCTGGCGGATCTGACAGAAGAGGAACTCGGAGACGCTGTGTTTGTGTGCGAGGTATCCAAAGAAGAGGCCCCAGTAACGTGGCTGCAACATGGTGGGGTGCTTTACCCTGGAGCAAAGTGTGAGATGAGTCAGGATGGAAGAGCAGGCCAGACTGGTCCTGCATCACGTGGGCCTGCACGACGCTGGGCAGTACTCCTGTGACACTGGCCACGATGTCACCACTGCCAGGCTGATTGTCACAGGTGATTTATTTAATGCATATTTCATTAAAAGTTTTACAATTTAAATTCAATAACAAACATCTGTGGAATATAAATAATTATTTCATCATACTTTTCATTACAACCACGACTGGTTTTAACCACGACTGATTTAAGTATCCTTCTTTCCAGAGCGAGACATCCGCATTGTGAGAGGCCTGGAGGACTGTGAGGTGTTTGAGAACAACTCGGCCACGTTCTCCTGCGAGATCTCCCACGCTGATGTGCAGGAGGTGGAGTGGTGGCTGGATCAGAGCCGGCTGTATCATAACGAGTTTAATGAAATCAGTGTGGACGGAGGGAAAACACACGTCCTTACCCTCAACAACCTCACCCTGCAGGACGGCGGCTGTGTTACCTTCAAGGCAGGGGAAACAGACGTCCTCAGCAACTTTGTCCATTAAGGGTACGCGACGTGCTGTGATAAGCCAATCTTTGAATCTAGATTTGAAGCTTTCGTGACTGCAAGTATTCATACTCTTAGTTTTTTTTTGGTAAAGCCACGTAGGTAAAAAAATAAAAATAATATAAATAATAGAAATAAAATAATAAATCACGACGTTTCGGAGGCAACACAAGTCTCCCGTCATCAGGTGGGACAGTCACAGCTAAATTTACTGTATCAAGTGAGGAAAAATCCAAGAGACAAGCTCTTAAATACAACTTCTTGGTTCTTTCGGTAAAGTCACGTAGAAGGGAAGTAATAAAATAATAAAAATAAAGCATAATAAAATAAAATAATTCTCACGACGTTTTGGCTACAACGCAAGGACCTGTCTTCAGGTGAAGAATGAGACACTACCAAGCTAGGAGCTTATATATAAGCTGGGTTGGAGGTGGAAGAGCGCGTTAACAAAAATAATGTGCATATGAAAATGAATTTAGCATATTCATGGGAAATGCGTAGGAGGTGGGCGGGGGGGGGGTTTCAAAGTCATATTATGCCCATGCATTATGCAGGATCAGCAGCACCAAGGGAGGGTGCATGGAGTAGCATTAACAAAGGAAAGGAATGTTAATAGTATGTAGCTGCAGTTACTAAACAACCACGTAGAAAACTAAAGTATAAACTACATTAAAAACTAAAGTATAAACTGCATAGCACCATCAGTATACTTACTATACTCTACAATAAGCTGAGTTACTAACAGCAAGTAATACATTACAATTCTACGTCGTAAAAATTATATAATATGCTTCCATCTAAACTTTATTCTCTTACATCACACGAGCATACACCGTACTATATACTGCCATAGATAACCCAACATTAAATTATATACTGTATTGCTATAAACCACCCTATACCTTATACATTTTAATATAAAACTATGTATTATTCTACCCACCCTAATGTGTATCACACTGCTATATGTTTACTATACAATTACGATACTATATATTACTTTGTACATTGTATTAAGCATATAAATGTTATACTATTTGTTATTATACACTGTACCATTGACCGTCGTGTCAATGGGTGAGTCGTGGGGGAAAACTTGCAGCGGAGCAAAGAATCCATTCCCTGCGGAGAATACAATGCCAGTGAGTGGAACGCGGTCTGAAAGTCACCGTAAACGTGAACACAATCAGTTAAGATCCGAAATGGTTTATTACGTCCTTCCAATGATTGCTAAGCCAGAATCCATCTTCTCGGTTAAAATTGTCTCTGTGTTTGTATATGTGGATCGCCTCATGAACGAATCTCTCATGATAGCCAGATGGCTTGCAGAGAACCTCTGTCTTGGAGAAGTCAATGTCATGTGAGCCCACTGAGTTGTAACAGTTATCTGCCACGGCTGAGGTGTTAGTCCGACCGTGTTTCAGGTCTGCATGTTTCAGGTCTGGTTTATAGCAGTACAGTATGTAATTTAATGTTGGGTTTATCTATGGCAGTATATCGTACGGTGTATGCTCGTGTGATGTAAGAGAATAAAGTTTAGATGGAAGCATATTATATAATTTTTACGACGTAGAATTGTAATGTATTACTTGCTGTTAGTAACTCAGCTTATTGTAGAGTATAGTAAGTATACTGATGGTGCTATGCAGTTTATACTTTAGTTTTTTATGTAGTTTATACTTTAGTTTTCTACGTGGTTGTTTAGTAACTGCAGCTACATACTATTAACATTCCTTTCCTTTGTTAATGCTACTCCCTGCACCCTCCCTTGGTGCTGCTGATCCTGCATAATGCATGGGCATAATATGACTTTGAAACCCCCCCGCCCACCTCCTACGCATTTCCCATGAATATGCTAAATTCCTCTTCATATGCACATTATTTTTGTTAAGGCGCTCTTCCACCTCCAACCCAGCTTATATATTAGCTCCTAGCTTGGTAGTGTCTCATTCTTCACCTGAAGATGGCTGCTTGCGTTGTAGCCGAAACGTTGTGAGAATTATTTTATTTTATTATGTTTTATTTTTATTATTTTATTACTTCCCTTCTACGTGACTTTACCGAAAGAACCAAGAAGATGAATCCCTGCAGTCACGAAAGCTTTAAATCGAAATCTCTTAAATACAAGTTAAAAGGGGTGGGGGGGGGGGGGCTTAAAGAGAACAATGGTGCACATCGACTCGGGGTTGTGGCCGGTGTTAACTGATGATCAAAATAAAAGAAGAGGTGTTAAACGCTGGGGATGTCAACACTCGGTAAAGTAGAATAGTATCTGTCAAATAAGATGATACAAATATGTGTAGTTAATTTTTTTTACATGGTTAATAACATCTTTCCAATGATTACTCAGTTTGTACCCATCATCACGGTTGAAGTTATGTCTGTGTTTGCATATCTAGATGGCTTCGTGTACAAACTTTTGATGGTAACCAGAAGGTTTGCAGAGCACCTAGGTCTCGGAAAAGACAATGTCATGAGAGCCCACAGCGTTGTAGCAATGATCGGCAACGGTGGAAGACTCAACTTTGCCGTGTTTCAAATCTGACTTGTGCTCGCGGACACGATCAGAGACATTACGTTTCGTTTCCCCAATGTAATAATCACCACAGATGCAACTCAATTTATAGACTCCAGGGTATTGCAAGTCAGGAATGACATATTTTACAGATGGGATTAGATCACGGATTTTATTTCCGATTCAGTACAGTACGTAAAAAAAATCATGATATTGTCTTTTCTGAGACCAAGGTGCTCTGCAAACCTTCTGCCTACCATTAAAGGTTTGTACACGAAGCCATCCAGATATACAAACACAGAAAACTTCAACTGTGATGATGGGTACAAACTGAGTCATCATTGGAAAGATGTTATTAACCATGTAAAAAAGATTTAACTACACATATTTGTACCATCTTATTGACAGGTACTATTCTACTTTACCGAGTGTTGACATCCCCAGAGTTTAACAGTGCTGCTCTCTTCTTTTATTTTGATTATCAGCTAACACCGGCCACAACCCCGAGTCGATGTGCACCAATTGTTCTCTTTTAGCCCCGCCTTCCACCATTCCATTCCCTGGCTACCACATTCAAATAAGCCCCCCCCCCCCTCCCTCTTAACTTGTATTTAAGAGCTTGTCTCTTGGATTTTTCCTCACTTAATACAGTAAATTTAGCTGTGACGGTCCCACCTGATGATGGAGACTTGTGTTGCCTCCAAAACGTCGTGATTTATTATTGTAGTTCCATAACCATTTTATTATTTATTTCCATTTTATTATTTATTTCTATTTTTTACCTACGTGACTTTACCGAAAAAAACCCAAGAGTACCCATCTTTGATGTTAATATCATAGAAGGTTCTCTGTATTTCATGACATCTTAATTTCTGGTTTGTTAAGTTGATCTTCGTAATAATTCATATTGAACGTGCTCTAAAGTCCATCTTCTTTTGTTGTGGTGTGCACAGCTGTGCCAGTGAAGTTTGTGAAGCGACTAGAGGATGTAGATTGTGTGGAGGATGGAGAAGCAGAATTTGTGTGTAAGGTGTCCCAGCCCAGCGCTCCGGTCACATGGCACAGGGGCGATAAGCAGCTGAGCCCTTCTCAGAAGTACGTGATGCACAGAGACGGAGCGGTCGCGAGTCTCGTTGTCACAAAGCTGCAGCGAGAAGACGCAGGGGCGTACACTTGTGATGCAGGAGATGATGCCACATTTGCTAATCTCTGTGTTCAAGGTGAGATGTGATAATCTTCACATGATTTTCCTCAAGCGACAGTCATGGTAACTTCTGTACAAGAGTTTATCTACAAAGAATAATAACCGGGGGTCAAATATTACTTCATACAATATTGGATGCTCTTTTTTTGCTACAGAGGCCCCGGTGCTGATCTCCGAGGCCCTTCGGGACCAGGAGGTTGAAGAGAGTGGAATTGCAACTCTCCAATGTCACTTCTCAAAGCCAGCAGCGAAGGTCACCTGGAGGAAGGAATTCTCAGTCCTGCACCCGAGTGACAAGTATGAGATGAAACTGGAGGGTAACCTGGCCACTCTTGTTATCCACAATGTACAGCTGGAGGATGCTGGGAGCTATGAGTGCAAGACAGAGAATGATCAGACTTCTGCAGTACTAAGAGTGAAAGGTTAGTTATCCCAATACGTTTTTAATAATTAATGTCTACTATACTGTATGTAAAAACAAGTTTGCACGAGATTGGTAATTAATTACTAAATTGGTTTGAAATAATTTGAGCATCATGAGACTTCCATTACACAATCATGGTTTTTTTTTGCTGCAGAAACCCCAGTGATGATCACTGAGGCCCTTCAGGATCAGGAGGTTGAAGAAAGTGGAACTGCGACTATCCGCTGCCGCTTCTCAAAGCCGGCAGCGAGAGTCACCTGGAGAAAGGACTCCTCAGTCCTGCACCCGAGTGACAAGTATGAGATGAAACTGGAGGGTAACCTGGCCACTCTTGTTATCCACAACGTTCAACCAGAGGATGCTGGGAGTTTCGATTGCGAGACGGAGAATGATCAAACTTCTGGAATATTGGCAATAAAAGGTTATTGTCACATAACACATATGTAAAGGATAGATATATATGCGGTGCGCGCAGTTAAGCGGGTGCAACTGAGGACAAACAGGTGTGATCGTTACAACGTGAGGTTTGCACCAACAAACTGACAGTAATTAAGAGGAGAAGCAGTTGCAAACGAGGTCGAAAAGGTGGGAAGGTTGAGGCCGGAGGTTGTCGTCGGGGTGACGGGAGATGGGGGGTGATGATAAGGGTTTAATAAGGACACCAGGCGCCGGGCAGGCGGTGGCTTAAGGGGAAGTGCGTGAGGACTCGGAATGAGCAGGGGGATATAAGCGGTAGTGTGCGTGAGTGGAGGGAGTTGCCTGGGAACCAAGAGTGAAGACATCTTCCCGCGGCCGCTCAAGCTGTCAATGAAGCCTCAACCCTCACACCGTCGCCGGGCGGGTGTTGGCTGAACCCCCCACTCGGGACAGACGGTTGAGTGGGTATGAGGCAACGTAGGTGAGGGCAACGGTGGAGATGCAGAGTTCTAGGAGTTGCTGTGTGCAGTCACTGAGTGCAGAGTTGCTGAGTGGAGGATAGGTGAGGTGCAGAAAAGATGAGAGCGGAGAGAAGTCAACTGTATGTGACAGCAAAGATAGGTATAGGAGTGCCTACAACTGGCGCGTGAACAGGAGTAATAAATATTATTTGGGTCTTTCGGTGAAGTCACGTAGATAGGTTAAAAAATATAACATACAAAAAAGTATGATGTTTCGATCGCAACGCAAGCGGTTGTCATCAAATGATGATGTTTCGATCGCAAAAAATTATGACGACTGCTTGCGTTGCAATCGAAATGTCGTAGGCTTTTTCAGTTATTTTTGTTATTTTCTTTGAACCAAGAAACGTGACTTTACCGAAAGACCCAAATAATATGAATTCCTGCAGTCACGAAAGCTTTAAGTCCAGGAGTAATAAAGTGTAAGCAGGTAACGTGTTACCACGTGTCAGTGTGAGTAATTTTTAAAGACACTACACGTGCAAAAAATATTTGCAATTAAGTAACTAGATTTTTCCAGTAAAACAATTGGTGGGATAAAATCTACTGCCTTCTTATTTCACAGATAAACCAGTGATGTTCACCAAGGGCCTGCAGGATCTGACAGAAGAGGAACTCGGAGACGCTGTGTTTGTGTGCGAGGTGTCCAAAGAAGGGTCCCCAGTAACGTGGCTGAAACATGGTGGGGTGCTTTACCCTGGAGCAAAGTGTGAGATGAGTCAGGATGGAAGAGCGGCCAGACTCGTGCTGCATCACTTGGGCCTGCACGACGCTGGGCAGTACTCCTGTGACACTGGCCATGATGTCACCACCGCCAGGCTCAATGTCACAGGTGATTAGTACATTTTAAAAGTACATTCACGAGAATTTAAACGTTTTTTTCAGTATATGTGAACACTTAACCTTTATAAATGATTAGATAAGAGAACCAGAATTGATATAAATATCATTCTTTCCAGAGCGAAACATCCACATTGTGAGAGGCCTGGAGGACTGTGAGGTGTTTGAGAACAACTCGGCCACGTTCTCCTGCGAGATCTCCCACGCTGATGTGCAGGAGGTGGAGTGGTGGCTGGATCAGAGCCGGCTGTATCATAACGAGTTTAATGAAATCAGTGTGGACGGAGGGAAAACACATGTCCTTACCCTCAACAACCTCACCCTGCAGGACGGCGGCTGTGTTACCTTCAAGGCAGGGAAACAGACATCCTCAGCGAACTTGTCCATTAAGGGTACGCTACGTATTGTAATAAGCCTATCTTTGGTGTTAATACCATAAAATGTTCTCTGTGTATTTCATGATATCTAAATATCTGTTTTGTGAAGTTGATCTTCGTATTAATTAATATTGAACGTGCTCTAAAGTCCAACTCCATCTTCTTGTGTTGTGGTATGCACAGCGGTACCAGTGAAGTTTGTGAAGCGACTAGAGGATGTAGATTGTGTGGAGGATGGAGAAGCAGAATTTGTGTGTGAGGTGTCCGAGCCGAGCACACCGGTCACATGGCACAGGGGCGATAAACAGCTGAGCCCTTCTCAGAAGTACATGATGCACAGACACGGAGCGGTCGCGAGTCTCGTTGTCACAAAACTGCAGCCAGAAGACGCAGGGGTGTACACTTGTGATGCAGGAGATGATGCCACCTCTGCCAGACTCCGTGTTCAAGGTGAGATGTGTTGGTTCTCCACAACCAAAGATAATAGTGATCTTGGTACATGGACATTCTGCCAAGTTCCACAGTTTACCAATCATAACCTGGCCTCATATTTTGCTTGCAGAGGCCCTGGTGCTTATTTCTGAGGCACTTCAGGACCACGAGGTTGAAGAGTGTGGGACTGCAACTCTCCGTTGCCGCTTCTCAAAGCCAGCAGCGAGAGTCACCTGGAGGAAGGACTCCTCAGTCCTGCACCCGAGTGCCAAGTATGAGATGAAGCTAGAGGAGGACGTGGCCACTCTTGTAATCCGTAATGTGCAGCTGGAGGATGCTGGGAGCTATGAGTGTGAGACGGAGAATGATCGGACGTCCTCAACCCTTCGAGTTAAAGGTGTGCCAATGTGTTTTTTAATGCATAAAAATGCCTGTGTAAAAGGAGGTAATGGTGTTGGATTGGCAATTGTTAAATCTATTTTCTATAATTACTTTTTTTTTTTTAGTTCGATCAAACTCTGTTTCGTATATTATACAAAAATAAATTGGTTTATTTATACGACAGAAACCCCAGTGCTGATTCTGGAGGCCCTTCAGAACCAGGAGGCTGAAGAGAGTGGAATTGCGACTCTCCAATGCCGCTTCTCAAAGCCAGCAGTGAGAGTCACCTGGAGGAAGGACTCCTCAGTCCTGCACCCGAGTGACAAGTATGAGATGAAACTTCAGGGAAACGTAGCCATTCTTGTTATCCATAACGTTCAATCAGAGGATGCTGGGAGCTACGAATGTGAGACAGGAGAATGATCGGACTTCTGCAATGCTGGAAATAAAAGGTGTTTTTCTCATGATTTTTAAACATTCTTCCGATTAAATAATTGCTCCTTCACGCTGTGAAACAATGGTGGGACATAATTATATTGTCTTCTTATTTCACAGAGAAGCCAGTGGTGTTTACAAAGGGCCTGCAAGATCTGACAGAAGAGGAACTCGGAGACGCTGTGTTTGTGTGCGAGGTGTCCAAAGAAGGGGCCCCAGTAACGTGGCTGAAAAATGGTGGGGTGCTTTACCCTGGAGCAAAGTGTGAGATGAGCCAGGATGGAAGAGCAGCCAGACTGGCCCTGCATCGCTTGGGCCTGCACGACGCTGGGCAGTACTCATGTGACACTGGCCACGATGTCACCACTGCCAGGCTGATTGTCACAGGTGATTAGTACATTTTAAAAGTACATTCACGTAAATTTTAAAGGTTTTTTTCTAGTATTGCTGAAGGTTTTTTTACATTTAAAATTAATTGTTTTTATTTAGAACTCATGTAAATATGAGAGAACCAGAATTGATTTAAATATCCTTCTTTCCAGAGCGAGACATCCACATTGTGAGAGGCCTGCAGGACTGTGAGGTGTTTGAGAACAACTCGGCCACGTTCTCCTGCGAGATCTCCCACGCTGATGTGCAGGAGGTGGAGTGGTGGCTGGATGAGAGTCGGCTCTATCATAACGAATTGAATGAAATCAGTGTGGACGGAGAGAAAACACACGTCCTTACCCTCAACAACCTCACCCTGCAGGACGGCGGCTGTGTTACCTTCAAGGCGGGGAAACAGACGTCCTCAGCAACTTTGTCCATTAAGGGTAGGTCATTCAAATTGTTTTCAATGGATGTCACCACTTGAAATAATGAATAACTAGCCGACTATTTAATGTCAATTTAAATTGGATATAAATGTTCAAAAGCAGATAGCAAATTGTCCGAAACAATAAAATATGTGTTGAGGAAGGGGTCCATGTAAACATCAGCGGGGATTTAAAACTGGAGATTGAATAGGTAGAACTCTGTAAAACGATTGGGAAAAGAATGAGAAGAGAAATCAGAGAAAAAGACAAACATGGCTGAAGACATCACAGCGAGCAATGGAAGCATTAAAGCAGCAAAAAGACACATTTATATTTACACGATCTAACCCAGAAACCTTTATTATGGATAATATTGGTCGCGAAAGCCTACGTTTTAAACCAGAAAAAAGGCAGTTCAAAAATATTAGCCCTGGGGGAGAAAGTTGGAACCGTAACTTATGATATAGAAACAATCCTAAAATGAGTGGAGGCTGAGCCGAACTAGGGGATGCCCAGGACTGATTCAGATAATCGTCACTGGTGTTAGCCATGAACAGGACTTGAATTCAGTTCGCCGGGTTCGTAGCTCAGCGCAGCGTGCTGCGAACCGATACCCACTCACGGGATCAGAAGGATTGGTCAACGCCACATGTTGGTGGTGATTGCACCATCGCATCATAATCCTCTGATGGAATTACTTCAGTCCGCTTCTAACATGGACTTGGGCTGTACTCATTCAGTGGGGTGGAATGGCAGCTTCCATTTCCTGCAGGAAGAATGTTAGTCAAAATCTGCACTATACAATTTCATGCCATTGATATTCAACACCTTTTCTCCTGTGCTTCTATCTCCATGTGTAACCATCTGCAAAGGATTGCCTGTAAGGTTTGTGAAGACTTTGGAGGATGTACATTGCATGGAGAATGGAGAAGCACAATTTGTCTGCGAAGTTTCCCAGCCCAGTGCCTCAGTCACATGGCGTAAAGGTGATCGACACCTGAGTCCTTCTCAGAAGTATGTGACGCACAGAGACGAAGCGATTGTAATACTCGTGATCACAAAGCTGCGGCCAGAGGACGCGGGGACGTACATTTGTGATGCAGGAAATGAGACCACCTCTGCCAAACTCCATGTTCAAGGTGAACTGTGATCATTAAAACTTGGTTCTCCCCAGTCTATGTTATGCCAGATTATTACAAGAATACTATTTACTCTTTGGTTCTTTTGGTAAAGTCACGTAGGAATTAAATACAATGATAATAGAATACGACGTTTCGATTGGAACACAAGCAACCATCATCAGGTACAAATGAATGAGAAAACAAACATAGTAAACTTGGAAATATAATGCAATACAACACAGAGAGTCGGCCAACACAACAGTTGGATTGCACTCTCATGGTGATAATCTCTCATTAACACTGCTGTTGTGTGCATACGCGGGGGTGACGGCAACGGAAGCTTATTTCATACTAATCTCGCTCCCTAATCTCTCTCTCCCTAATCTCCCCCATTAACACAACTGACGTGCTTGTGTCCGGGGATGGAAGTCCTTTCCAGCTCAGACCCTGCTTGCTCGCCCATCGCCACATATTTTTGTAACGGCTCTTTCGCTGGTTCAGCAGTTCCACTGCTGGATTATTTTTCCGCCTGAGGACGACCGCTTGTGTTGTCATCGAAACGTCGTGATCGATTATTATTTTTTCTACCTACGTGACTTGATGAACGCTTCAAATCAAGATAGTAAGAATACTATTTTTAAGATACTGTATATCTATGCACAATATGAGTACGCAGATGAATCTAACAATAGTTTTCCCGAAATAATGTGGCCTCGTGTATCTTTCTTACAGAGGCCCCGGTGCTGATCTCCGAGGCCCTTCAGGACCAAGAGGTTGAAGAGAGTGGCACTGCGACTCTCCGCTGCCGCTTCTCAAAGCCAGCAGTGAGAGTCACCTGGAGGAAGGACTCCTCAGTTCTGCACCCGAGTGCCAAGTATGAGATGAAGCTGGAGGGAAATGTTGCCACACTCATTATCCACAACGTTCAACCAGAGGATGCTGGGAGCTATGAGTGTGAGACGGAGGATGGCCGCACCTTTGCTACGCTTACTCTTACAGGTATGACTAAATTGATCATTATATTTATACTTCTGTAAAGTGTTACATTAAGGTAAATGTTATGTTTTTGAAGGGTTTTTTTTCCATGATGCTCATTATGTACAACCAAATGTAACCACTGAATACCTCTGTATGTTATGTTTAATAGAGAAGCCAGTGGTGTTCACCAAGGGCTTGCGGGATTTGACAGAAGAGGAACTCGGAGATGCTGTGTTTGTGTGCGAGGTGTCTAAAGAAGGGGCCCCAGTAACGTGGTTAAAAAATGGTGGGGTGCTTTACCCTGGAGCAAAGTGTGAGATGAGTCAGGATGGAAGAGCGGCCAGACTGGTCCTGCATCACGTGGGCCTGCACGACGCTGGGCAGTACTCCTGTGACACTGGCCACGATGTCACCACCGCCAAGCTCATTGTCACAGGTGATTTGTGTATTATTTTACGAGCACTGTACACATTTATAATGTCAATATTTAGGCTAATGTAGTCATAAGTTATGTGCAGGCATGTTTAAATCATCTGTTTTTAATGTATGTTCAGAACCCATCATCTCCATCACGAGGGGCCTGGAGGACTGTGAGGTGTTTGAGCAGGGCTCGGCCATATTCACTTGTGAGATCTCCCACGCTAATGTGAAGGAAGCCAAGTGGTCGTTGGCAGACACACCGCTACAGAACAACGAGCTCAATGAAATCAGTGTCACCAATGGCAGGATCCACGTGCTGACTATAAACCACCTCACGGTGGAGGAGAGTGGCACTGTCAGCTTCAGTGCAAAGAATGCCACGTCCTCTGCTCATCTTATTGTCAAACGTAAGGATTTTATAAATGATACTATGATTGTATAAATGAATTTAGTACCATTTGGCATAAAACATTCCTAAATATGTGGATATTTTGATTTATATATAATTTCATCTCCACAGGGCGTCCAGTCCACATCACTCAGCCACTGCAGAACACTGAGGCTTATGCATCTGAAGAGGTGACCTTCCTGTGTGAGCTCTCTGGACCATCTAAGGTCACATGGAGGAAGGCTGGGCGAGTAATGGAGGCCAGCGATCGGGTCCATATGTGGCAGGAGGCCAACACGGCAAGACTCACAATCCTTGGTGTGACCCTGGAGGACAGAGGGGAATATTCGTGTGACATTGGGAGTGAAAGCTCCACTGCCGAGCTCGGCGTACAAGGTTTGTCAATTATTTTATATCACTCATGCAGAAAATTTAAGTGTTCATCACTTTGTTTTTGTAACCATTCACTTATTTTCCTTTTATTCGCCAGAGCTACCGGTCATCATGCTGGAGTCACTACAGGGTGCGGAGCCTCAACAAGGTTAGGTGCTCCTCCACCACCGGCCGTGTCGCAACGAGCAACAATCGCAGTACTGCTCATTGTTTTGTACCAAATGCCTCGTCAACATAAAATGAAAACATGTTTATAATGTTGGTTTCCATATGCCTTTCAGAGCTATGTAATATTGTACGGGGCCTAGGAGACTGCGTCGCTAACGAGGGCGGTTCAGCTACATTCACCTGTGAGATCTCCGTTGCCGACGTACGGGAATCCGCGTGGTTTCTGGGTGACACGCCACTCCGGAATAACGATCTCAATGAGATGAGCGTGGTGAACGGAAGGACGCACGTGCTGGTCATGAAGCATCTCACGCCACAAGACAGCGGCACGATCAGGTTCAGTGCCCTGAACGCATCCTCCTCTGGCCAATTGAGGGTGAAAGGTGAGGCAGTTTTTTACTCGTGTAGATATCTCTGTCAATAAAAAAACACATTTGCTTTTTCAAATGTTATCAAATATTACTTACTCAGAACAGTTTAATTAGTTTTAAATTACATATATATTACAAATGTTACATATATTACAAATGTTACATATATTACAAATGTTACATATATTACAAATGTAGGTTATTTCTGTTGCCACCTGCATAGTCACACCCATTGTCTGCTATGTAGCTAAAGTTAGACACAGTTTTCATAGTGCTTTGCAACATCATAATTTGGTTTTATTATAAAAGGAGTGCAACAATTAGACCTTGTTTGGTTGTAAAAACTAGTATTCTTAATCATTTTAACTCTATCCTACTGGGCCTAGTACGAGGCACGAGCATTTGGCCTGACTACACGCTACCGCTGCTCCATTCTACCTGGTTGCACGACAACCACTCCCTGTCTCACAAAGTTGTCTCTGTCTTTGTTGTACTTCCGTGTTCGTACTCTGTCTTGTCTGTACTGTCTATTGTCTCATTGTCTGTACTGTCTATAGTCCCCTTGTCTGTACTGTCAATAGTCTCCTTGTCTGTGTAGTGGGTTCAACTGTGTCGCAGACGTACTTGGAGGCAACACATTTATTCAATCCAACACACGGGTTAACTTTTCCCTTAACAGAATGACAACCTATGGTGGTGACTACCAGGCTAACTACACTAGTTACAACGTAACGCTACTACGGACCGGGACCAACAGCTTTGGTCCGGGTTCACGTGTTGGAGACTCGTTGAACGGAGAACGTAGATTAAGGTTTCTTCCAGGATAACAACAATCCCGGTCCCTTTCGGGACCCGGCCTATATTCTCTTGGGCGTGCGCCCCTCTGTAGACTTAACTGGTCACGTATCCTCACGGGTCAACCAGAGTGCCATGGCCTCACATAACCTCATCCTTCGGCCGGCACTCACATGCATTGTCCTGTAGGGCTGGCGCTGTATGCAAAGCGTGGTGCCATCTGGCGCTATCATATTCAGCGCTCACCGGGCCCCTCTAGGGCTGGTACTACACCCACACCCCTGTGGTATCCGTGATGTTGTTACATTGCACACCTTGCCCCTCTAGGGCCGGCACTGCACCCAGCACAGTGACAGCTGTCCCGGCTGTCAACTCCCCTTCAACAAAACAATAACAAAACCCCTAAGTGTGCCTCAACAAATAAATACCCCATCCCATAAATACAATATATACAATATATACAGTGACGAATGGGAGAAGGGAACAGAACCAACAGTACACAACGAAAGAGGGAAGGGAAGAGAGATAGAGATAAGTAGAGAGAGAAAAAACAACACGCAGTAACATACCCCCATCACCGGCATCTCCCACCCTCACCGTGGAACAGCACCCACAAGCACAATAAAGGACAGGTTCAACCAACGACCAAAACGACATGCCGAGTGCGACAACCAACTGACGCTGTGGGAGTGTGTGAATGGGGATCACGAAAACTGAAGAGTCTTTGATCGAGTCCTCGTGGCCGGGCCCCCAGGTGAGGTGGGCGTATTCTCCCTGGGGGTGCCAGGGGAAATTTTAAAATGTCCCGTCGAACCCGGCTCCTCACGAAAAGCAGTCGGCCGGACAGACGAGCACTCCGCTCCCGAAGTTTGCGGAGGCGGCGCAGGCAGCAGCTCGGGAGACGTTAAACGCGTGGAACCTGAGGACGTGATCACATCACACACCTAAGGACCAACCTCAGTGGGTACACACCTCAGCTCGCCCGACACACCCGACACTTGGCCCCTGTGTAGTGGAGATGGATGTACGAACCAGCTCCGTCGACCCCAACGAATTTGAACACACTGGGGCCAAACGACCCGAATAACATCAACAGGCCCCCTCCAGTGTTTTAAACAATTTGGGTGATGTACCCATCAGTACCTGGGGACAGTGCAACTAGGCCTTGCCACCTGGAGCCCACTCATGTCCGGAAAGATGGAGACCCCTCAGCCGCTCATTTGCCAATTGGCCCGACTTGGAATTTTCCCTGGAAGCCTCGCGCACTTCCGAAAGCTTCTGAAGGATAAGGCGCATGGAATTTGGAATTTTAAATTTAGCCTTGCTTGGCTCGGCTAATTGGACATCAATGGGGTGGGAGGGTTGTGTTCTCTCTCGTACATTAAAAAAATGGCGAGTAGCCGGTGGATGCGTGAGGGACCATTCTGTAGGCAGCCAGGAACTCGGGAACATGCAAGTCCCAGTCAAGCTGGGACTCGCTGACCTGATGACTCAACATGGACGTCAGAGTCCTGTGCAACCGCTCCACCATTCCGTCCATCTGGGGGTGGTAGGGCGACGTACGTACTTTTTTTGTTACAAACAAATCACACACCTCCCGCAGCAATTTAGAAGAAAAATGTTTACCCTGATCGGTCAGAAGATGCTCAGGGGCCCCCTTGTCCATCACATAGCCATCGAGGAATGCCTCAGTGATGGTCACTGCTGACTGGTTGGGAAGCGGCCAGGCCATTGGCCACCATGACAAATATTCGACGCTCACCAGTAAATACTTATTCCCGCGAGGTGTGGTAGGAAATGGACCAAGGACATCAAGAGCAACCACGTCATTTATGCGGGAAACTTGAATGGATTGCAACGGTGGATAACAGGGTTTAGACGGGGGTTTCCGCAGAGCACACTAGGAGGATTTCTTCTGCAGTCGCCTCCTGGTCAAGTGGCTTTCGCAATCGTAAAAGGAACCAACATTTGCGTGAGGAATTTTTACGGTCCTACTTCCAAGCGCTTGTACAGTAGCATTGACCTTGACAATCGAGTGGGAGAAGGAAAAAAAGCCATGCTACAGGCCCAATGGTAGCTCGAGGCAACCCTGATCAATAAAAATTTTGAGTGGCATCTTCCTAAGGAAGTCAGTCCCAAGCAAGCAAGGAACAGCAAGGGACGTTGATACAAGAACTGGTCCCGTCAATTTGATATCTCCAATAGACACCTCTGCTATTATCTTCCCAATGATGCCCAATGAGCCGCCATTTGCGGCAAAGCACGGAACCCCGACGGGACATAGGGTACGACATTTAGGGGGCAGAATGTAAAAAATCAACTCATAAGTGATAGTCGCAGACACACCGGTATCGATGAGCATTCTGATTTCAACCCCCTCTATCATTCCGATAACAGTGGATGATCCCGCGGCCGCGGCAACCACTCTATGGGCCAACTCCGACCACTAACCCGGTCAGAGTGGCCAGTCAGCCCAAGCAAAAATCTGAACCCTCAGGCCCCGAAACACGACGGGAACGAAAACCATCCGAACGCGATGAGTGAGGTGGATTCAGGGGCCAAGTGTGTGGTGTGCCACAACTCGCCTTTGGGTATAGTGGAGTGTATTCACATGGACATTTTTTGCTTTTCTCCTGTGTCACTTTATTACTTCGCATCCCGTATGGATGCTCCTCACACTAACACAACGTACCCTTGCTCCGAACTCCCTCTCTCTATACTCTACTAGCCTGTGATTAAAAACTCCACTAGCCTGTCACTCAATACTCCACTAGCCTGTCACTCTTCTCTCACACCTCCACCCTCGTCCTTGCCCCCAGCGGGGGATCAGCCAACACCGCTGGGGAGGACGAGGTGTGGAGGGCAAGATCCCAGGCTTCTTCTCTCCGGCTCTTGTCCTCTTCGTTGCTTCAACTCCAACCAACAACCCCGTGTTGCTCCGCACGCACCCTTATATCCCCCTCCTCATTAAGGGTCCTCAGTTACCCCCCATTAAGCTGGCGCCTCAGCGGCGCCTCCTGCACGTGCTCTCTCTCTCTTATCATCTCCATCTCCCGCCTCTCCAGCGTCTACTTGGTTTTCCCACGCTCGCACCTGCCTGTCCCCAAATGCACCCGCTAAATTACTGCTTCTCCCCCTAATTGCTAGCGCCTCTCTGGCGGCAGTGTATACTGAACTGTTTGTCTTGTGTAAACAGGACTATATGTCTTGTGTATACAGTACTCTTTGTCTTGTGTGTAGAGGACTATACATCTTGTGTATACTGGACTATTTGTCTTGTGTATACAGGACTAAAATATGAAGAAATAGATTTTCAGGCAGTTCATGTACAAGATGGTGAGGTTTGAATGTATGTACAGTGAGGGAAAAAAGTATTTGATCCCCTGCTGATTTTATACGTTTGCCCACTGACAAAGAAATGATCAGTCTATAATTTTAATTGTAGGTTTATTTGAACAGTGAGAGACAGAATAACACCAAAAAAATCCAGAAAACGCATGTCAAAAATGTTATGAATTGATTTGCATTCTAATGAGGGAAATAAGTATTTGACCCCTCTGCAAACATGACTTAGTACTTGGTGGCAAAACCCTTGTTGACAATCACAGAGATCAGACGTTTCTTGTAGTTGGCCACCAGGTTTGCACACATCTCAGGAGGGATTTTGTCCCACTCCTCTTTGCAGATCTGCTCCAAGTCATTAAGGTTTCGAGGCTGACGTTTGGCAACTCGAACCTTCAGCTCCCTCCACAGATTTTCTATGGGATTAAGGTCTGGAGACTGGCTAGGCCACTCCAGGATCTTAATGTGCGTCTTCTTGAGCCACTCTTTTATTGCCTTGGCCGTGTGTTTTGGGTCATTGTCATGCTGGAATACCCATCCATGACCCATTTTCAATGCCCTGGCTGAGGTAAGGAGGTTCTCACCCAAGATTTGACGGTACATGGCCCCGTCCATCGTCCATTTGATGCGGTGAAGTTGTCCTGTTCCCTTAGCAGAAAAACACTCCCAAAGCATAATGTTTCCACCTCCATGTTTGACGTTGGGGATGGTGTTCTTGGGGTCATAGGCAGCATTCCTCCTCCTCCAAACACGGCGAGTTGAGTTCATGCCAAAGAGCTCCATTTTGGTCTCATCTGACCACAACACTTTCACCCAGTTGCCCTCTGAATCATTCAGATGTTCATTGGCAAACTTCAGACGGGCATGTATATGTGCTTTCTTGAGCAGGGGGACCTTGCGGGCGCTGCAGGATTTCAGTCCTTCATGGCGTAGTGTGTTACCAACTGTTTTCTTGGTGACTATGGTCCCAGCTGCTTTGAGATCATTGACAAGATCTTCCCGTGTAGTTCTGGGCTGATTCCTCACCGTTCTCATGATCATTGAAACTCCACGAGGTGAGATCTTGCATGGAGCCCCAGGCCGAGGAAGATTGACAGTTCTTTTGTGTTTCTTCCATTTGCGAATAATCGCACCAACTGTTGTCACCTTCTCACCAAGCTGCTTGGCGATGGTCTTGTAGCCCATTCCAGCCATGTGTAGGTCTACAATCTTGTCCCTGACATCCTTGGAGAGCTATTTGGTCTTGGTCATGGTGGAGAGTTTGGAATCTGATTTATTGATTGCTTCTGTGAACAGGTGTCTTTTTTACAGGTAACAAGCTGGGATGAGGAGCACTCCCTTTAAGAGTGTGCTCCTAATCTCAGCTCGTTACCTGTATAAAAGACAGCTGGGAGCCAAAACAATTTCTGATTGAGAGGGAGTCAAATACTTATTTCCCTCATTAAAATGCAAATCAATTTATAACATTTTTGACATGCGTTTTTCTGGATGTTGTTGTTGTTGTTATTCTGTCTCTTACTGTTCAAATAAACCTACCATTACAATTATAGACTGATAATTTATTTGTCAGTGGGCAAACGTACAAAATCAGCAGGGGATCAAATACTTTTTTCCCTCACTGTATGTTATAGGGCATTAATATAAATGCTTTTATGAAACCCCCTTTTCATGTCATCCATTAAGAGCGTCCCGCCCACATCACTCAGCCACTGCAAGACGTTGAGGTTCATGAGTCTGGGGAGGTGACCTTCCTCTGTGAGCTCTCTGGACCATCTGAGGTCACGTGGAGGAAGGCTGGGCGAGTGATGGAGGCCAGCGATCGGGTCCATATGTGGCAGGAGGCCAACACGGCAAGACTCACAATCGTTGGTGTGACCCTGGAGGACAAAGGGGAATATTCATGTAATGTTGAGAGTGATAGCTCCACCGCCAAGCTCACTGTACAAGGTTTGTTTACTCTTTATTATGAAAAGACATTTTATAAAAGACGTAAAATGTTTAGTTATTTAACTATTTATGTTGTTCATATCCAACAGAAATGCCAGTCCAAATCTTGGAGTATCTCCAAAATGCTGAAGCTGTGGAAGACAGCTCTGCAACTCTGTCCTGCCGCCTCTCCAAACCCAGAGTGGATGTGGAGTGGAGGAAGGACTCCCAGCCCATTCAGCCAGATGATAAATTTGAAGTGCACCAGAAGGACTTCACTGCAAGTTTGACCGTTCACAAACTGGAGCTGGAGGATGCGGGAAGCTACAGCTGCCTGGCCGGGGATCAGCAAAGCACGGCTTCACTCATTGTGTGGGGTGGGTTCAGCTCTAACTTTATTGTCAATATTAAGTATGTTTTTGTATGAAAATACAAATAAAACGGTTTACATTTTGTCATTTTCCATAATGGGGTTTTTTATGGGTTAGATTGTGTAAATATAAATGTGTCGTTAAACCTGCCACCACCCGACACAGCCAATTATTAAGGTTTGTCCCGTATACAAAACATGCCAAGTTCAGCACACCGGTGTGTTGTAGAGTAAACCCACAACATTTATAATTCGAGTACAACGTTTTGCCGGTAATTACAACCAGCCTCATCAGGCGACAGCCAGGATTGTGAAAAAAGATCCTCCTCTTTCAATCTTACGGGACCAGTTCTTAATTATAATTAACAATCAGGTGCAAAGACCAGAGGGGGGGGGTTAATGTAGTCATAAATTACAATGAATGTCTTCTATTGGTTGGGTTATTCACAGTGAATCAGCATACATTGTGCATGCACATTGTGTATGTAGATTATGTATATCCGGCCATTTTTGGGTGCCAAAATCGTAATACCTGTTATTGGCTGCTCACAGTTAATCACTATCGACGTATGGTGACCTGTATGTTCACAGAGAAGCCAGTGGTGTTCACCAAGGGCCTGCAGGATCTGACAGAAGAGGAACTCGGAGACGCTGTGTTTGTGTGCGAGGTGTCCAAAGAAGGTGCCCCAGTCACGTGGCTGCAACATGGTGGGGTGCTTTACCCTGGAGCAAAGTGTGAGATGAGTCAGGATGGAAGAGCGGCCAGACTCGTCCTGCATCACTTGGACCTGCACGACACTGGGCAGTACTCCTGTGACACTGGCCATGATGTCACCACCGCCAAGCTCATTGTCACAGGTAGATTTCATTGATGATTTTGTCAAAAACCTAGCAATGTATTTTTAGGTACTTTAAGTGTTCCACTCCATATTATATTGTCGTTTATGTTGATAAATATATATTGTGACATTCACAGAAGATATTTTACCTTGCAGAACCCATCATCTCCATCACGAGGGGCCTGGAGGACTGTGAGGTGTTTGAGCAGGGCTCGGCCATATTCACGTGTGAGATCTCCCACGCTAATGTGAAGGAAGCCAAGTGGTCGTTGGCAGACACACCGCTACAGAACAACGAGCTCAATGAAATCAGTGTCACCAATGGCAGGACCCACGTGCTGACTATAAACCACCTCACGGTGGAGGAGAGTGGCACTGTCAGCTTCAGTGCAAGGAATGCCACGTCCTCTGCCCTACTCACTGTCAAACGTAAGGATTTGAATCTCATACTCTTGCATATTTACTCTTTTATATCAATCCATTCATAACAGATTTGTAATTTATGAAAACGTGTAATTGGCTTTCATGATTCATTTATGATTTGGATAGCTACTTTGTATTCATTAGGAACTATATATTTTTTTCGATTTAAAGCTTTCGTGACTGCAGGGATTCATCTTCTTGGTTCTTTCGGTAAAGTCACGTAGAAGGGAAGTAATAAATTAATAAAAATAAAACATAATAAAATAATTCTCACGACGTTTCGGCCACAATGCAAGCAGCCGTCTTCAGGTGGAGAACAGGTCTGTCAAGTAGACAGAGTCTGAATGGCACGCTCCAGGCTTTGAGCGACTATTTATGCTGGGATGGAGGGGCGAAGAGCGTCTTGACAAAATAATTTGCATATCAAGAGGAATTTAGCATATTTATGGGAAATGCAGATATGCAATTAGTACTACTTGTGAGATACGTAGGAGGATTGGCGAGGGGTTTAAAGTCATTATGCCCATGCATTATGCAGGATTAGCAGTATCAAAGGGAGGGAGTAAGATTAGAATTAATGAAGGGAAAAAATGTTAATAATATGGCGCCGCAGCAACTAATATGTTTTTAGACTATACATTGTAATATTACACTATGTATTATTCTACCCACCCAACTGTATACCACACTGCTGTATATTCACTATACAATTACGATACTAAATATTACCTTATACATTGTATTAAACATTACACTTTAATACTATTTATTATTATACAATATGCTATACACTATACCATTGACCGTCGCGTGAAAGGTACTAAGAGGAAGCAACGAAGTATGTCAATGGGAGAGTGGTGGTCATAAGCTTGCAGCGGAGCAAAGAATCCATTCCCTGCGGAGAATACAACATATATAGTCAATGTCAGTGAATGGAACGCGGTCTGAAAGTCACCGTAAACGTAGGAACAATAAGTAAATATCCGAAATGGTTTATTACGTCCTTCCAATGATTGCTAAGCCGGAATCCATCTTCTCGGTTGAAATTGTCTCTGTGTTTGTATATGTGGATCGCCTCATGAACGAATCTCTCATGGTAGCCAGATGGCTTGCAGAGAACCTCTGTCTTGGAGAAGTCAATATCATGTGAACCCACTGAATTGTAACAGTGATCTGCCACGGCTGAGGTGTTTGTCCTACCGTGTTTCAAGTCTGCTTTATGTTCACGGATGCGGTCCGAGACATGTCGTTTGGTTTCTCCAATGTAACTGCTACCACAGAGGCAACTTAGTTTGTAGACGCCAGGGTACTGTATGTCTGGAACCACATCTTTTACAGACGGGACCAGATCACGGATTTTATGTACTGTGTTGAATCGGACCTGGATCTTGTGTTTAATCAGGATTTTGGAGATCTTTTTTGTGACCCCAGCAATGTAGGGTAAGGTGATGGTCTTGAAAGGCTCCTCAACAGGATCCTTCTTGATGGTTGGAGTGATGGCTTTGCGGATTGTGTAGTCGGAGTAACCATTAGCCTTAAGAGCTTGGCGTACGTGTTTGAGTTCACTGGCAATGTGTTCCTGGTCGGAGATGCATTGGGCTCTATGGTATAGAGTCTTGATGAGGGAATTCTTCTGGGATGGATGGTGGTGGGAATCCGGTTTTAGGTAAGCATCCGTATGGGTGGCTTTCCTGTAGACAGAGTGGCTCATTGAACCATCAGGTCTCCTTTTAATTAGGACATCCAAAAAGGGTAGCTTGCCATCTTTTTCGACTTCCATGGTGAATCTGATGGCTGGGTGTATGGTATTGATGTGGTCGAGAAATTGGTACAGAGCAGGCCGGCCATGTGGCCAGATGACAAAAGTGTCATCCACGTACCTCTTATATAAGGTCGGGCGTAGAATGGCAGTCTGGATGGCGTCAGTCTCAAATTTCTCCATGAAGACGTTGGCTACAACCGGAAATAGAGGGGAGCCCATTGGGGTGCCCTCAGGAACACATTGCCAGTGAACTCAAACACATACGCCAAGCTCTTAAGGCTAATGGTTACTCCGACTACACAATCCGCAAAGCCATCACTCCAACCATCAAGAAGGATCATGTTGAGGAGCCTCTCAAGACTATCACCTGACCCTACATTGCTGGGGTCACAAAAAAGATCTCCAAAATCCTGATTAAACACAAGATCCAGGTCCGATTCAACACAGTACATAAAATCCGTGATCTGGTCCCGTCTGTAAAAAATGCGGTTCCAGACCTACAGTACCCTGGCGTCTACAAACTAAGTTGCCTCTGTGGTAGCAGTTACATTGGAGAAACCAATCGACATGTCTCGGACCGCATCCATGAACATAAAGCAGACTTAAAACACGGTAGGACAAACACCTCAGCCGTGGCAGATCACTGTTACAATTCAGTGGGTTCACATGATATTGACTTCTCCAAGACAGAGGTTCTCTGCAAGCCATCTGGCTACCATGAGAGATTCGTTCATGAGGCGATCCACATATACAAACACAGAGACAATTTCAACCGAGAAGATAGATTCCGGCTTAGCAATCATTGGAATGACATAATAAACCATTTCGGATCTTAACTGATTGTGTCCACGTTTACGGTGACTTTCAGACCGCGTTCCACTCACTGACATTGACTATATATCTTGTATTCTCCGCAGGGAATGGATTCTTTGCTCCGCTGCAAGCTTCCCACCACCACTCTCCCATTGACATATTTTGTTGCTTCCTCTTAGTACCTTTCACGCGACGGTCAATGGTATAGTGTATAGCATATTGTATAATAGTAAATAGTATTAAAGTGTAATGTTTAATACAATGTATAAGGTACTATATAATATCGTAATTGTATAGTGAATATACAGCAGTGTGGTATACAGTTGGGTGGGTAGAATAATACATAGTGTAATATTACAATGTATAGTCTAAAAACATATTAGTTGCTGCGGCGCCGATTATTAACATTCTTTCTCTTTATTAATTCTAACCTTACTTTCCTCCCTTTGATACTGCTAATCCTGCATAATGCATGGGCATAATGACTTTAAACCCCTCGCCAATCCTCCTACGTATCTCACAAGTAGTATTAATCGCATATCTGCATTTCCCATAAATATGCTAAATTCCTCTTGATATGCACTCCGCAGGGAATGGATTCTTTGCTCCGCTGCAAGCTTCCTACCACCACTCTCCCATTGACATATTTCGTTGCTTCCTCTTAGTACCTTTCACACCACGGTTTATGGTATAGTGTATAGCATATTATATAATAATAAATAGTATTAAAGTGTAATGTTTAATACAATGTATAAGGTAATATATAGTATCGTAATTTTATAGTGAATATACAGCAGGGTGCTATACAGTTGAGTGGGTAGAATAAAACATAGTGTAATATGACAAGGTATAGTCAATAAGCATATTAGTTGCTGCGGCGCCATATTATTAACATTTCTTTCCTTTATTAATTCTAACCTTACTCCCTCCCTTTGATACTGCTAATCCTGCATAATGCATGGGCATAATGACTTTAAACCCCTCGCCAAACCTCCTACGCATTTCACAAGTCGTACTAATCGCATATCTGCATTTCCCATAAATATGCTAAATTCCTCTTGATATGCAAATTATTTTGTCAAGACGCTCTTCGCCCCTCCATCCCAGCATCAATAGTCGCTCCAAGCCTGGAGCGTGCCATTCAGACTCTGTCTACTTGACAGACCTGTTCTCCACCTGAAGATGGCTGCTTGCGTTGTGGCCGAAACGTCGTGAGAATTATTTTATTATTTTATTATTTTATTACTTCCCTTCTACGTGACTTTACCGAAAGAACCAAGAAGATATATTTTTTAATTGTGTCTCTACAGATCGTCCAGTCCACATCACGCAGCCACTGCAGGACTCTGAGGCTTATGAGTCTGGGGAGGCGACCTTCCTGTGTGAGCTGTCTGGACCTTCTGAGGTTACATGGAGGAAGTCTGGGCGAGAGATTGAGGCCAGCGATCGGATCCGTATATGGCAGGAGGCCAACACGGCAGGACTTGCAATCCTTCGCGTGACCCTGGAGGACAGAGGGGAATATTCTTGCGACGTCGGCAGTGACAGCTCCACCGCCAAGCTCACTGTACAAGGTTTGTCCTCTTAATTTTAATGGCAATCAAAATAGACATTGCACATGGTTTGGCTCTTCCGAAATATAAGTGAAAAATAGAGCTATGTATTGAAACTATTGTTGAGATGTCGTATAAAGCAATTTAAAATCCTGGGGCATTTATAATATTCCGAAATTGAGAAACATGTCAATATCTAAACGCTTATCTGTTGCAACTTTGATGGTACCATTTGTTGCTGGTTGCTTGAAAGTTTAGACCTTTGGTTCTGTGCTCAGCAACTATATTGAAATAAAATCACCAAAAAATGCTAATATGTATTCTTTCTTGTTGTTTATCCAACAGAGCTGCCAGTCCAGATCTTGGAGCATCTACAAAATGCTGAAGCTGTGGAGGACAGCACTGCAACTCTGTCCTGCCGCTTCTCCAAACCCAGAGTGGATGTGGAGTGGAGGAAGGACTCCCAGCCCATTCAGCCAGATGATAAATTCGAAGTGCACCAGAAGGACTTCACTGCAAGTTTAACCGTTCACAAACTGGAGCTGGAGGATGCAGGAAGCTACAGCTGCCTGGCCAGGGATCAGCAGAGCACGGCTTCACTCATCGTGTGGGGTGGGTTCAGCTCTTCTCCGTTTAATTCGCAAATGTCTGTGATGTATTAACTTAATTGATTAATTTTTGGAATATTTGTTTACAGAGAAGCCAGTGCTGTTCACCAAGGGCCTGCGAGATTTGAACGAAGAGGAACTTGGAGACGCTGTGTTTGTGTGCGAGATGTCGAAAGAAGGGGCCTCGGTAACGTGGCTAAAAAATGGTGGGGTGCTTTACCCTGGAGCAAAGTGTGAGATGAGTCAGGATGGAAGAGCGGCCAGACTGGTCCTGCATCACTTGGGCCTGCACGACGCTGGGCAGTACTCCTGTGACACTGGCCATGATGTCACCACCGCCACACTCATTGTCACAGGTAAATTAAATTGATGATGCTGTCCTCAAATACAAATTGTAAAATAAAGCGTGTATTTGTTAAACAATCATTACTGATGTTTATACTTCATCGAAAGCCTTCATTTTTCTGAATGAAATTCACAAAAGCAATTGATTTTCAGAACCCATCATCTCCATCACGAGGGGTCTGGAGGACTGTGAGGTGTTTGAGCAGGGCTCGGCCATATTCACGTGTGAGATCTCCCACGCTAATGTGAAGGAAGCCAAATGGTCGTTGGCGGACACACCGCTACAGAACAACGAGCTCAATGAAATCAGTGTCACCAATGGCAGGACCCACGTGCTGACTATAAACCACCTCACGGTGGAGGAGAGTGGCACTGTCAGCTTCAGTGCAAGGAATGCAACTTCCTCTGCTCATCTCACTGTCAAACGTAAGGTTTTTAAAGGCTTGCTGTATAATCCGTTTACCATTGATTACAAATAATTATTTTCAATATTCATAATTACACGTGTAGGCCTACTTATATCTGTCAACCTACTATTGTGTCCACAGCACGTCCAGTCCACATCACGCAGCCACTGCAGGACTCTGATGCTCATGAATCTGGGGAGGTGACCTTCCTGTGTGAGCTTTCTGGACCATCTAAGGTCACATGGAGGAAGGCTGGGCGAGAGATTGAGGCCAGCGATCGGATGCATGCATGGCAGGAGGCCAACACGGCAAGACTCACAATCCTTGGTGTGACCTTGGAGGACAGAGGGGAATATTCCTGTGACATTGGAAGTGACAGCTCCACTGCCAAGCTCACTGTGCAAGGTTTGCTTACCTTTAATTTGTATGGCGATGAAAGGACACATCACACATAGTTAGACTATTACAAAAATGACTGAAACCTACAGCTGGACATTTAAATGATCGAGCAAGAGATGTGATGTGTTGTCGACTGTACTTTCTTCCAAGGCACCTCACTAATTAAGTATCTGAAGGTGATTGCCCATGGGATGTGCTTGTAGCAATGAATAAGTAAATAACAGTAAATGAGTCGTTGTTAAACAATTCAAGACTTAAAAAAAATCAGGAGTGACTACAAACACGACCTTTTACGTAAATAATAGCCTCTCTCTCTCTGCACTTTGTATCCACTGTTTTAGCTGTCTAAAAGTTTGCGCGACTAAGATTCCACCTCTGTTGATATATCGTGCCAAGTGAGAGTTTTCTACAGATGTAAAGCACTTTCAGATCCTGGGTCATTGAGAACATTCCTCATGCACCCAATAAAATGCAAATGTATAGTCATTATGAATATGTTTTTGTTGTTTGTATCCAACAGAGCTGCCAGTCCAGATCTTGAAGCATCTACAGAATGCTGAAGCTGTAGAAGACAGCTCTGCAACTCTGTCCTGCCGCTTCTCCAAATCCAGAGTGGATGTGGAGTGGAGGAAGGACTCCCAGCCCATTCAGCCAGATGATAAATTTGAAGTGCACCAGAAGGACTTCACTGCAAGTTTGACCGTTCACAAACTGGAGCTGGAGGATGCGGGAAGCTACAGCTGCCTGGCCGGGGATCAGCAGAGCACAGCTTCACTCATTGTGTGCGGTGGGTTCAGCTCTTCTCTTTTCATTTTACAACATCTGTAATGTATGAATGTCGTGTTTACATATTCTATGGGTCTTTCGGTGAAGTTATGTAGATAGGTTCAAAGAAAATAACAAAAAACAACAAAAAACGACGATGTTTCGATCGCAACGTAGGCGGTCGTCATCAGGAGGAAAAAGGAGAGGAAAGCTGCTGAGGCAGACTGTTTAAATGGTTTGAAATGGGTGTAGCCCAAGGGTCATAAACGAAGTGTGCGGGGCTATTGATGTTCATGTGAGGAATTAGCATGTTAATGGCAGATCGGAGGACGACCTCCACAACGAGCGCGTGGAGGTGGCTATGTCAATGTGAGGGAAATTAGCATGTAATGTAAGATTGCAGAGCCACAGCCACGTCGGCGCACGAGGTGGCTGAGAAATTTCACCTGTTAATGCGGCTCTCTGATTTCACATTCTATATTAACAAGTAAAATTTCTCAGCCACTTCGTGCGCCGACGTGGCTGTGGCTCTGCGATCTTACATTACATGCTAATTTCCCTCACATTAACATAGCCACCTCTGCATGCTCGTCGTGGAGGTCGTCCTCCGATCTGCCACTAACATGCTAATTTCTCACATGAACATCAATAACCCCGCCCACTTCGTTTATGACCCTTGGGCTACACCCATTTCAAACCATTTAAAACAGTCTGCCTCAGCAGCTTTCCTCTCCTTTTTCCTCCTGATGACGACCGCTTGCATTGCAATCGAAACGTCGTTGTTTTTTTGTTATTTTTTGTTGTTATTTTTTTTTTTTCCTATCTACGTGACTTTACGGAAAGACCCATAGAATATGAATTCCTGCAGTCACGAAAGTTCTAAGTGAAGGTCCTGTTGGCATGTTGTTAAATCGTGGAATATCTGATTACAGAGAAGCCAGTGGTGTTCACCAAGGGCTTGCAAGATTTGACCACAGAGGAACTCGGAGACGCTGTGTTTGTGTGCGAGGTGTCCAAAGACGGGGCCGCAGTAACATGGCTGAAACATGGTAGGGTGCTTTACCCTGGGGCAAAGTGTGAGATGAGTCAGGATGGAAGAGCAGCCAGACTGGTCTTGCATCACTTGGGCCTGCACGACGCTGGGCAGTACTCCTGTGACACTGGCAATGATATTACCACCGCCACACTCAATGTCACAGGTACATTAAATTTACAATACTGTCCTAACAAACAAATTCCACGTAAAATGTCCTCTGTTAAACTGTTGTTATTAATGTTTAGAAATTATCTCAAGATGTAATTTATCCTGCATAATATTCATAAAAGCAATCTATTTTCAGAACCCATCATCTCCATCACGAGGGGCCTGGAGGACTGTGAGGTGTTTGAGCAGGGCTCGGCCATATTCACTTGTGAGATCTCCCACGCTAATGTGAAGGAAGCCAAGTGGTCGTTGGCAGACACACCGCTACAGAACAACGAGCTCAATGAAATCAGTGTCACCAATGGCAGGACCCACGTGCTGACTATAAACCACCTCACGGTGGAGGAGAGTGGCACTGTCAGCTTCAGTGCAAGGGATGCCACTTCCTCGGCTCATCTCACTGTCAAACGTAAGGTTTTATGAATTGCTGTCATATTAAAGAAACATGAATTTGAATAACTATGATCAGTTATGTATCTTCCCATAATCTCTAACCTATTATTTTATCTTTTTGCATTACTTTAAGTACATTTGTGTGGTTGTATATGTTGTAGTTTGGTTTAAATTATGTTCTTGTGTTGTCCCTACAGGACGTCCAGTCCACATCACGCAGCCACTGCAGGACTCTGAGGCTCGTGAGTCTGGGGAGGTGACCTTCCTGTGTGAGCTCTCTGGACCATCTGAGGTCACATGGAGGAAGGCTGGACGAGTGATGGAGGCCAGCGATCGGGTTCATATGTGGCAAGAAACCAACACGGCAAGACTCACAATCGTTGGCGTGACCATGGAGGACAAAGGGGAATATTGCTGTGACATTGGGAGTGACAGTTCCACCGCCAAGCTCAATGTACAAGGTTTGTGAATTATAATCTGTATCTTCAAATAAATTAAACATTACACGCGTACATTGTTTCACAGATACTGAAATCTTGTTCATATCCAACAGAGATGCCAGTCCAAATCTTGGCACATCTACAGAACACTGAAGCTGTGGAAGACAGCTCTGCAACTCTGTCCTGCCGCTTCTCCAAACCCGGAGTGGATGTGGAGTGGAAGAAGGACTCCCAGCCCATTCAGCCAGATGATAAATTTGAAGTGCACCAGAAGGACTTCACTGCAAGTTTGACCGTTCACAAACTGGAGCTGGAGGATGCAGGAAGCTACAGCTGCCTAGCCGGGGATCAGCAGAGCACGGCTTCACTCATTGTGTGGGGTGGGTTCAGCTCTTCTTTTTTCATTTTGAATCGTTTGTTAAATATGTATTTTATGTTTCGTTGTTATTAATTCTTGGAATATCTGTTTACAGAGAAGCCAGTGGTGTTCACCAAGGGCCTGCAGGATCTGACAGAAGAGGAACTCGGAGACGCTGTGTTTGTGTGCGAGGTTTCAAAAGAAGGTGCCTCAGTCACGTGGCTGAAACATGGTGGGGTGCTTTACCCTGGAGCAAAGTGTGAGATGAGTCGGGATGGAAGAACGACCAGACTGGTCCTGCACCACGTGGGCCTGCACGACGCTGGGCAGTACTCCTGTGACACTGGCCACGATGTCACCACCGCCAGGCTGATTGTCACAGGTGATTTAGATTGGTCGTCTTGGTTTAAAAATAATAGCACAATATAATTATATAATTGTACTTAATGCCTGCCAAATATAACAATTTAACTTCAATTTCAGAACCCATCATCTCCATTACAAGGGGCCTGAAGGACTGTGAGGTGTTTGAGCAAGGCTCGGCCATATTCACGTGTGAGATCTCCCACGCTAATGTGAAGGAAGCCAAGTGGTCGTTGGCAGACACACCGCTACAGAACAACGAGCTCAATGAAATCAGTGTCACCAATGGCAGGACCCACGTGCTGACTATAAACCACCTCACGGTGGAGGAGAGTGGCACTGTCAGCTTCAGTGCAAGGGATGCCACTTCCTCGGCTCAACTCATTGTCAAACGTAAGGTTTATAAATGCTTCCGCGATATATGTTCATCATTGATTACAAGTAATTGTTTAAAATCCTTTTTCGGAACACAGTGTAGGAAACTTGCACATGTGCGTGACATCACCAAGGGTTGGAGCTTAGTAGTGGATGCTTTTGAGAGTAGGTACCGTTGATAAGAAGTATCGAATTATTGGTTATCGTTACTGATGGGTTTTGTTTTTTGTTGCACCGGAAGTTGTTTCATGAACACTAGTTTACTGTTATTTATTTGCTTAGCATTATGAGACCATCCTGAGTTTAATAACTTTAGACTATTAAACTAGTAAGGTTCCGACTAAGATGTAAAAATATATAATAGCCTGCAGTTGTAATTGCCAACCTACTATTGTGTCCACAGCGCATCGAGTTCACATCACTCAGCCACTGCAGGACTCTGAGGCTTATGAATCTGGAGAGGTGACCTTTCTGTGTGAGCTCTCTGGACCATCTAAGGTCACATGGAGGAAGGCTGGGCGGCTGATTGAGGCCAGCGATCGGGTCCATATGTGGCAAGATGTCAACACAGCAAGACTCACAATCCTTGGTGTGACCCTGGAGGACAGAGGGGAATATTCGTGTGACATTGGAAGTGACAGCTCCACTGCCAAGCTCAATGTACAAGGTTTGTCTGTGCTTCATTTTTTGTTCGGAAAATAAATTAAAACAGCATACATGTCTTATAGTTATGAAGCTGTTCTGGTTGTTCACATCCAACAGAGCTGCCAGTCCAGATCTTGGACCATCTACAGAACGCTGAAGCTGTGGAAGACAGCTCTGCAACTCTGTCCTGCCGCTTCTCCAAACCCAGAGTGGATGTGGAGTGGAGGAAGGACTCCCAGCCCATTCAGCCAGATGATAAATTTGAAGTGCATCAGAAGGACTTCACTGCAAGTTTGACCGTTCACAAACTGGAGCTGGAGGATGCGGGAAGCTACAGCTGTCTGGCCGGAGATCAGCAGAGCACAGCTTCACTCATTGTGTGGGGTGGGTTCAGTTCTTCCCTCTTTATTTTGCAACGTCTATGAAACGTGTATTTCATGTTTAGATGTTATTAATTCTTGGAATATCTGTTTACAGAGAAGCCAGTGGTGTTCACGAAGGGCCTGCAAGATCTGACAGAAGAAGAACTCGGAGACGCTGTGTTTGTGTGCGAGGTGTCCAAGGAAGGGTCCTCAGTAACGTGGCTGAAAAATGGTGGGGTGCTTTACCCTGGAGCAAAGTGTGAGATGAGTCAGGATGGAAGAGCGGCCAGACTGGTCCTGCATCACTTGGGCCTGCACGACGCTGGGCAGTACTCCTGTGACACTGGCCACGATGTCACCACCGCCACGCTCAATGTCACAGGTAGATTTCATTGATGATTTTGTCAAAAAACATAGCAATGTGTTTTTAGGTACGTTAAGTGTCCCACTCCATACTACATTGTCGTTTATGTTGATAAATATATATTGTGACATTCACAGAAGATATTTTACCTTGCAGAACCCATTATTTCAATAACGAGGGGCCTGGAGAACTGTGAGGTGTTTGAGCAGGGCTCGGCCATATTCACGTGTGAGATCTCCCACGCTAATGTGAAGGAAGCCAAATGGTCGTTGGCGGACACACCGCTACAGAACAACGAGCTCAATGAGATCAGTGTCACCAATGGCAGGACCCACGTGCTGACTATAAATCACCTCACGGTGGAGGAGAGTGGCACTGTCAGCTTCAGTGCAAGGGATGCCACTTCCTCGGCTCATCTCACTGTCAAACGTAAGGTTTTATGAATTGCTGTCATATTTAAGAAACATGAATTTCAGTAACTAAAATCAGTTATGTATCTTCCCATAATCTTTAACCTATTATTTAATCTTTTTGCATTACTTTAAGTACATTTGTGTGGTTGTATATGTTGTAGTTTGGTTTAAATTATGTTCCTGTGTTGTCCCTACAGATCGTCCAGTCCACATCACGCAGCCACTGCAGGACTCTGAGGCTCATGAGTCTGGGGAGGTGACCTTCCTGTGTGAGCTCTCTGGACCATCTGAGGTCACATGGAGGACAGCTGGGCGAGTGATGGAGGCCAGCGATCGGGTCCATATGTGGCAAGAGACCAACACGGCAAGACTCACAATCGTTGGCGTGACCATGGAGGACAAAGGGGAATATTGCTGTGACATTGGGAGTGACAGTTCCACCGCCAAGCTCAATGTACAAGGTTTGTGAATTATAATTAGCATCTTCAAATGAATGAAACATTACACACGTACATTTTTTCACAAATACTGATATCTTGTTCATATCCAACAGAGATACCAGTCCAAATCTTGGCACATCTACAGAACGCTGAAGCTGTGGAAGACAGCTCTGCAACTCTGTCCTGCCGCTTCTCCAAACCCAGAGTGGATGTGGAGTGGAGGAAGGACTCCCAGCCCATTCAGCCAGATGATAAATTTGAAGTGCACCAGAAGGACTTCACTGCAAGTTTGACCGTTCACAAACTGGAGCTGGAGGATGCGGGAAGCTACAGCTGTCTGGCCGGAGATCAGCAGAGCACAGCTTCACTCATTGTGTGGGGTGGGTTCAGTTCTTCCCTCTTTATTTTGCAACGTCTATGAAACGTGTATTTCATGTTTAGATGTTATTAATTCTTGGAATATCTGTTTACAGAGAAGCCAGTGGTGTTCACGAAGGGCCTGCAAGATCTGACAGAAGAAGAACTCGGAGACGCTGTGTTTGTGTGCGAGGTGTCCAAGGAAGGGTCCTCAGTAACGTGGCTGAAAAATGGTGGGGTGCTTTACCCTGGAGCAAAGTGTGAGATGAGTCAGGATGGAAGAGCGGCCAGACTGGTCCTGCATCATTTGGGCCTGCACGACGCTGGGCAGTACTCCTGTGACACTGGCCACGATGTCACCACCGCCACGCTCAATGTCACAGGTAGATTTCATTGATGATTTTGTCAAAAAACTTAGCAATGTGTTTTTAGGTACGTTAAGTGTCCCACTCCATACTACATTGTCGTTTATGTTGATAAATATATATTGTGACATTCACAGAAGATATTTTACCTTGCAGAACCCATTATTTCAATAACGAGGGGCCTGGAGAACTGTGAGGTGTTTGAGCAGGGCTCGGCCATATTCACGTGTGAGATCTCCCACGCTAATGTGAAGGAAGCCAAATGGTCGTTGGCGGACACACCGCTACAGAACAACGAGCTCAATGAAATCAGTGTCACCAATGGCAGGACCCACGTGCTGACTATAAACCACCTCACGGTGGAGGAGAGTGGCACTGTCAGCTTCAGTGCAAGGGATGCCACTTCCTCGGCTCATCTCACTGTCAAACGTAAGGTTTTATGAATTGCTGTCATATTTAAGAAACATGAATTTCAGTAACTAAAATCAGTTATGTATCTTCCCATAATCTTTAACCTATTACTTAACTTTTTTTTGCATTACTTTAAGTACATTTGTGTGGTTGTATATGTTGTAGTTTGGTTTAAATTATGTTCCTGTGTTGTCCCTACAGATCGTCCAGTCCACATCACGCAGCCACTGCAGGACTCTGAGGCTCATGAGTCTGGGGAGGTGACCTTCCTGTGTGAGCTCTCTGGACCATCTGAGGTCACATGGAGGACAGATGGGCGAGTGATGGAGGCCAGTGATCGGGTCCATATGTGGCAAGAGACCAACACGGCAAGACTCACAATCGTTGGCGTGACCATGGAGGACAAAGGGGAATATTGCTGTGACATTGGGAGTGACAGTTCCACCGCCAAGCTCAATGTACAAGGTTTGTGAATTATAATTAGCATCTTCAAATGAATGAAACATTACACACGTACATTTTTTCACAAATACTGATATCTTGTTCATATCCAACAGAGATACCAGTCCAAATCTTGGCACATCTACAGAACGCTGAAGCTGTGGAAGACAGCTCTGCAACTCTGTCCTGCCGCTTCTCCAAACCCAGAGTGGATGTGGAGTGGAGGAAGGACTCCCAGCCCATTCAGCCAGATGATAAATTTGAAGTGCACCAGAAGGACTTCACTGCAAGTTTGACCGTTCACAAACTGGAGCTGGAGGATGCAGGAAGCTACAGCTGCCTAGCCGGGGATCAGCAGAGCACGGCTTCACTCATTGTGTGGGGTGGGTTCAGCTCTTCTTTTTTCATTTTGCAACGTCTGTCAAGTATGTATTTTATGTTTAGTTGTTATTAATTTTTGGAATATCTGTTTACAGAGAAGCCAGTGGTGTTCACCAAGGGCCTGCAGGATCTGACTGAAGAGGAACTCGGAGACGCTGTGTTTGTGTGCGAGGTGTCCAAAGAAGGGGCCCCAGTAACGTGGCTGAAAAATGGTGGGGTGCTTTACCCTGGAGCAAAGTGTGAGATGAGTCAGGATGGAAGAGCGGCCAGACTGGTCCTGCATCACTTGGGCCTGCACGACGCTGGGCAGTACTCCTGTGACACTGGCCATGATGTCACCACCGCCAGGCTCAATGTCACAGGTGATATAGAGTGATGATATTGTCCTAAAATGCAATTTCTAAATTAAATGTTCTCTCGTTCAACGATTTTTGATTTTTATAAATTACATGAGGCCTCAACTTTCCTTCATGAAATTCATTAATAAATCTATTTTCAGAACCCATCATCTCCATCACGAGGGGCCTGGAGGACTGTGAGGTGTTTGAGCAGGGCTCGGCCATATTCACGTGTGAGATCTCCCACGCTAATGTGAAGGAAGCCAAGTGGTCGTTGGTGGACACACCGCTACAGAACAACGAGCTCAATGAGATCAGTGTCACAAATGGCAAGACCCACGTGCTGATGATAAACCACCTCACGGTGGAGGAGAGTGGCACTGTCAGTTTCAGTGCAAAGAATGCAACATCCTCTGCTCATCTCACTGTCAAACGTAAGGGTTTAAAAAAATAACTTAACAACGTTGCTTTAATCTATTTAAGGTGGTTTAATATCTGAAAATATGATTCAGCCTGATTTTAGTCATTTTGGTACGTTTTAATTATTGTTTTTTACAGTCACAGTTTCACGGTTTGGATTCCACAAATTTCTACTGTTGTCTCCACAGATCGTCCAGTCCACATCACGCAGCCTCTGCAGGATGTTGAGGCTTTTGAGTCTGGGGAGGCAACATTCCTGTGTGAGCTCTCTGGACCATCTGAGGTCACATGGAGGAAGGCTGGGCGAGTGATGGAGGCCAGCGATCGGGTCCATATGTGGCAGGAGGCCAACACGGCAAGACTCACAATTCTTGGTGTGAGCCTGGAGGACAGAGGGGAATATTCCTGTAATATTGAGAGTGACAGCTCCACCGCCAAGCTCACTGTGCAAGGTTTGTGAATCATAAATCAATTATTTGAAGAAATTAGATGTTACATTTGCAAATTGTTTTCACTGATATTATCTTGTTCATATCCAACAGAGCTTCCAGTCCAGATCTTGGAGCATCTACAGAACGTTGAAGCTGTGGAAGACAGCTCTGCAACTCTGTCCTGCCGCCTCTCCAGACCCAAAGTGGATGTGGAGTGGAGGAAGGACTCCCAGCCCATTCAGCCAGATGATAAATTTGAGGTGCACCAAAATGACTTCACTGCAAGTTTGACTGTTCACAAACTGGAGCTGGAGGATGCAGGAAGCTACAGCTGCCTGGCCGTGGATCAACAGAGCACAGCCTCTCTCATTGTGTGGGGTGGGTTCAGCTCCAACTTCATTGTTTATATTGAAGGCATACATTAATTATTAATTGTATGACTATTAAATGTAATTCCTTCATGGAATGTGTTCACAGAAAAGCCAGTGGTATTCACCAAGGGCCTGCAGGATCTGACAGAGGAGGAACTCGGAAACGCTGCGTTTGTGTGCGAGGTATCCAAAGAAGGGGCCTCAGTAACGTGGCAAAAAAATGGTGGGGTGCTTTACCCTGGAGCAAAGTGTGAGATGAGTCAGGATGGAAGAGCGGCCAGACTGGTTCTGCATCACTTGGGCCTTGACGACGCTGGGCAGTACTCCTGTGACACTGGCCACGATATCACCACCGCCAGGCTCAATGTCACAGGTGATATAGATTGATGATATTGTCCTAAAATACAATTTCTAAATTAAATGTTTTCTCGTTCAACGATTCTTGATATTAATAAATTACATGAGGCCTCAACTTTCCTTCATGAAATTCATTAATAAATCTATTTTCAGAACCCATCATCTCCATCACGAGGGGCCTGGAGGACTGTGAGGTGTTTGAGCAGGGCTCGGCCATATTCACTTGTGAGATCTCCCACGCTAATGTGAAGGAAGCCAAGTGGTCGTTGGCAGACACACCGCTACAGAACAACGAGCTCAATGAAATCAGTGTCACAAATGGCAGGATCCACGTGCTGACTATAAACCACCTCACGGTGGAGGAGAGTGGCACTGTCAGCTTCAGTGCAAGGAATGCAACTTCCTCTGCTCATCTCACTGTCAAACGTAAGGGTTAAAAAATTATAACTTAAAAACGTTGCTTTAAATAAGTTTAGGTGGTTGAATATTTGAAAATATGATTCAGCCTGATTTAAGTCATTTTAGTACGTTTTAATTATTGCTTTTTACAGTCACAGTTTCACGGTTTGGATTCCACAAATTTCTACTGTTGTCTCCACAGATCGTCCAGTCCACATCACGCAGCCACTGCAGGATGTTGAGGCTTTTGAGTCTGGGGAGGCAACCTTCCTGTGTGAGCTCTCTGGACCATCTGAGGTCACATGGAGGAAGGCTGGGCGAGTGATGAAGGCCAGCGATCGGGTCCATATGTGGCAGGAGGCCAACACGGCAAGATTCACTATCCTTGGTGTGACCCTGGAGGACAGGGGGGAATATTCCTGTAATATTGAGAGTGACAGCTCCACCGCCAAGCTCACTGTGCAAGGTTTGTGAATCATAATTAAAAAAATGAAGAAATTAGATGTTACATTTCCAAATTGCTTTCACTAATATTATCTTCTTCATATCCAACAGAGCTTCCAGTCCAGATCTTAGAGCATTTACAGAACGTTGAAGCTGTGGAAGACAGCTCTGCAACTCTGTCCTGCCGCCTCTCCAAACCCAGAGTGGAAGTGGAGTGGAGGAAGGACTCCCAGCCCATTCAGCCAGATGATAAATTTGAAGTGCACCAGAAGGACTTCACTGCAAGTTTGACCGTTCACAAACTGGAGCTGGAGGATGCAGGAAGCTACAGCTGCCTGGCCGTGGATCAACTGAGCACAGCCTCTCTCATTGTGTGGGGTGGGTTCAGCTCCAACTTCATTGTTTATATTGAAGGCATACATTAGTTATGAATTTCGATTTAAAGCTTTCATGACTGCAGGGATTCATCTACTTGGTTCTTTCGGTAAAGTCACGTAGAAGGGAAATAATAAAATAATACAAATAAAACATAATCAAATACTTCTCACGACGTATCGGCCACAACGCAAGCAGCCGTCCTCAGGTGAAGACCAGGTCTGTCGGGGAGATGCTGTCTCGTGACTTTACCGAAAGAACCAAGAAGATAATTACGAATTGTATAACTTTTAAATGTTATTCCTTCATGGAATGTGTTCACAGAAAAGCCAGTGGTATTCACCAAGGGCCTGCAGGATCTGACAGAAGAGGAACTAGGAAACGCTGCGTTTGTGTGCGAGGTATCCAAAGAAGGGGCCTCAGTAACGTGGCAAAAAAATGGTGGGGTGCTTTACCCTGGAGCAAAGTGTGAGATGAGCCAGGATGGAAGAGCGGCCAGACTGGTCCTGCATCACTTGGGCCTGCACGACGCTGGGCAGTACTCCTGTGACACTGGCCATGATGTCACTACCGCCACGCTAAATGTCACAGGTGATTTAAGCGAATTAATTTGACGTAAAACATAATTACAATGTAAATTCTGCATTCACATATTTGGTGACAATAGTATAATTTATTTTATTACAAAACACATCCTGATGACAAATGTTTTTTCTCAGAACCCATCATCTCCATCACGAGGGGCCTGAAAGACTGTGAGGTGTATGAGCAGGGCTCGGCCATATTCACGTGTGAGATCTCCCACGCTAATGTGAAGGAAGCCAAATGGTCGTTGGCGGACACACCGCTACAGAACAACGAGCTCAATGAAATCAGTGTCATAAATGGCAGGACCCACGTGCTGACTATAAACCACCTCACGGTGGAGGAGAGTGGCACTGTCAGCTTCAGTGCAAGGAATGCCACGTCCTCTGCCCTACTCACTGTCAAACGTAAGGTTTTTTAATTGCTTTCATACTGAAGAAACATGAATTTGAATAACTAAAATCAATTATTTTTATTCCCATAATCTTTAACCTACTATTTAATATGTTTACGTTACTTTAAGTACATTTGTATGGTTGTATATTTCATTGTTTGGTTTAAATTATGTTCTTGTGTTGTCCCTACAGGACGTCCAGTCCACATCACGCAGCCACTGCAGGACTCTGAGGCTCATGAGTCTGGGGAGGTGACCTTCCTGTGTGAGCTCTCTGGACCATCTGAGGTCACATGGAGGAAGGCTGGGCGAGTGATGGAGGCCAGCGATCGGGTCCATATGTGGCAAGAGACCAACACGGCAAGACTCACAATCGTTGGCGTGACCATGGAGGACAAAGGGGAATATTGTTGTGACATTGGGAGTGACAGTTCCACCGCCAAGCTCAATGTACAAGGTTTGTGAATTATAATTAGTATCTTCAAATAAATTAAACATTACACGCGTACATTGTATCACAAATACTGAAATCTTGTTCATATCCAACAGAGATGCCAGTCCAAATCTTGGCACATCTACAGAACGCTGAAGCTGTGGAAGACAGCTCTGCAACTCTGTCCTGCCGCTTCTCCAAATCCAGAGTGGATGTGGAGTGGAGGAAGGACTCCCAGCCCATTCAGCCAGATGATAAATTTGAAGTGCACCAGAAGGACTTCACTGCAAGTTTGACCGTTCACAAACTGGTGCTGGAGGATGCGGGAAGCTACAGCTGCCTGGCCGGGGATCAGCAGAGCACGGCTTTACTCATTGTGTGGGGTGGGTTAAACTCCAAGTATATTGTTTATATTCTTTGTTTTTTTTTTAATAAAGTCACGTAGATAGAAAATTAATAATTAAAAAATAAAGTGAATAAAGATAATAAAATAAAATAATAAAATATAAATATAAACACTAATATAGACGGTAGCCTGAGTCTTAATTGGATTGAGTGTAAAGGCAATCTATGATGACAGACTGTAGCCTGGTTATTATGTTTGGTGAGTCTACTGGTAGTCTATAATGTAGACTGTAGCAATGGTTATTAAGCTGGGTGAGTGTACTGGCAGTCTTTATTATAGACTGTAGCCTGGTTCTTAACCTGAGTGAGCGTACTGGCAGTCTATAATGTAGACTTATTACTGGTTCTTTCAGTAATAAAAATACAATTTAAAAAATTTTAAACCACGACGTTTCGATCGCAACACAAGCGGTCGTCATCAGGAAAAGAGGGGGTTCGCCTCTAAAGGCAAACTGTCTATAAAGGTTTAGAGATGGGCATTACCTAAGTGTGTCAGCAGCATGGGTGGGGCATCTAATGTTAATGTAGGAGGAAGACAAGCAACTACACCAATCAAAGGGCCGCCGGCAATCATTGCACCTCGCTCCACACACCCACACTGCTGACGGTGGAGGTTGACAAGAAAACACAAATCAAGTCTCGATTTAAAGCTTTCGTGACTGCAGGGATTCATCTTCTTGGTTCTTTCGGTAAAGTCACGTAGAAGGGAAGTAATAAAATAATAAAAATGAAACATAATAAAATAATTCTCACGACGTTTCGGCCACAACGCAAACTATCTTATGTACTGTGTTAAATTGGACCGGGATTTTGTGTTTGTTTATGATTTTGGAAATATTTTTGGTTACCCCTGCTACGTATGGCAAGGTGATGGTTTTGATTGGATCCTCAGATGGCTCCTTCCTCAAGGTTGGGGTGATGGCTTTGTGGATTGTGTAGTCAGAATATGCATTCACCTTGAGAGCTTCGTTGTATTGTTTATACCATTGGAACCTCATTTGCCAGCAAAAAATATGATAATAGTTTTTTTACCCTTCTATCTGGCAACAAAACTGACACCTGTTTTTTACAAGGAGTCATGTTTGCATAGACCACAATACCTGCAGCCATAATGCAAACAAAAAACATAACTCTGATCATATAATCACTGTCCTTGAAGTTGATTGGTCCACACCCGAGACAGCTTTCCTTAGAGCCTAGTCTCACATGGGTTGGACCAGATGACGCAAAAAGGCGCACAACTCAAAGACAATGCACCATCAGAGTATGAGAGCTCGGGGTAAGCATTTACACCATTGGAACCTCATTTGCCAGTAAAGAATATGATAATTGTTTTTTTACCCTTTTATCTGGCAACAAAATTGACACCTTTTTTTACAAGGAGTCATGTTTGCATAGACCACAATACCTGCGGCCATAATGCAAACAAAAACATAACTCTGATCATATAATCACTGTCCTTGAAGTTCATTGGTCCACACCCGAGACAGCTTTTCTTAGAGCCTAGTCTCACATGGGTTGGACCAGATGACTCGAAAAGGCGCACAACTCAAAGACAATGCACCATCAGAGTATGAGAGCTCGGGGTAAGCATTTACACCATTGGAACCTCATTTGCCAGTAAAGAATATGATAATTGTTTTTTTACCCTTTTATCTGGCAACAAAATTGACACCTTTTTTTACAAGGAGTCATGTTTGCATAGACCACAATACCTGCGGCCATAATGCAAACAAAAACATAACTCTGATCATATAATCACTGTCCTTGAAGTTCATTGGTCCACACCCGAGACAGCTTTTCTTAGAGCCTAGTCTCACATGGGTTGGACCAGATGACGCGAAAAGGCGCACAACTCAAAGACAATGCACCATCAGAGTATGAGAGCTCGGGGTAAGCATATACACCATTGGAAACTCATTTGCCAGTAAAAAATATGATAATTGTTTTTTTACCCTTCTATCTGGCAACAAAACTGACACCTTTTTTTTAGTGCATATATGATCAGAGTTATGTTTTTTGTTTGCATTATAGCTGCAGGTATTGTGGTCTATGCAAACATGACTCCTTGTAAAAAAAAGTGTCAGTTTTGTTGCCAGATAGAAGAGTAAAAAAACTATTATTGTATTGTTTTTGTCAATGAAATCCGAATTTTATGATTATTAAATGATGTTTTCGTGGAATGTATTCACAGAGAAGCCAGTGGTGTTCACCAAGGGCCTGCAGGATCTGACAGAAGAGGAACTCGGAGACACTGTGTTTGTGTGTGAGGTGTCCAAAGAGGGGGCCCCAGTAACATGGCTGAAACATGGTAGGGTGCTTTACCCTGGAGCAAAGTGTGAGATGAGTCAGGATGGAAGAGCAGCCAGACTGGTCCTGCATCACGTGGGCCTGCACGACGCTGGGCAGTACTCCTGTGACACTGGCCACGATGTCACCACCGCCAGGCTCAATGTCACAGGTGATTTATATCATAATGAAAATCATAATTTTATTTCCCAAGCAAAGCCCGTAGAGCTAAGAAACTCTTATTCAAGGGCAGACAACATCAAATAATTCCACAATAACAGATTTTAAAAACGCACTTAAGAGCAATTATGTTGTAAAATTACATTCACACTTAAACTTCAGGGATTTTAATTAAGTAATTTTTATATGAAGACAGAGATGGTAGAATACAGATGCCAAGAGACGAAACAAGGTAGTTTGTAACACTTTGGGGCAGCTTCGTTAAATGCCTTTGATGCATATTGTGTGCTAAATCTGGGAAATATTAATAGACAATCAGAACGTGCATCGCAGGTTTTTTTGGGTGCCACGGTGGTGAGATGTTAACTACCTCGCCTGGAATACAGGGGGTCGTGATTTCCATCTCAACCCTTAATGCCTGCTACTGTATATTTGGAGTTTGCATGTTCTCCCTGTTGTTTTGTGGATTTTTCTCCGGGTCCTCCAGTTTTCCCCTCCACATTTAGGAGCATGCGTTTAAAGTATTTGGTTATTATAAATTTCCACACGATAAGCGACTTCATTGAGCAATTTTTGTGGCCAGGTCACTTCTGAAAAATAACTATATAGCTTAGTAGGCCTGACCTGGTAAAATAAAAAAATTGTTTAGTTTCAGTTTTGTAATGACAGGTCAGACAAGCACAGAGCAGCGTGATGGACAATAGCCTCGTGAATGAAAAGAGCCCTGTAGTGGAAATGTCTTCCACCGTCCAAGAGCACATTGCTAATTTTAGCTTAAACATAATAGCACAATGTAATTATACAATTGTACTTTTTCCTGCCGACGAAAATATAATTGAATTTCAATTTCAGAACCCATCATCTCCATCACGAGGGACCTTGAGGATTGTGAGGCGTATGAGCAGGGCTCGGCCATATTCACGTGTGAGATCTCCCACGCTAATGTGAAGGAAGCCAAATGGTCGTTGGCGGACACACCGCTACAGAACAACGAGCTCAATGAGATCAGTGTCACCAATGGCAGGACCCACGTGCTGACGATTAACCACCTCACGGTGGAGGAGAGTGGCACTGTCAGCTTCAGTGCAAGGAATGCAACTTCCTCTGCTCATCTCACCGTCAAACGTAAGATTTTTAATCTGGTAGACGAGCATATTTACTATTTTTATCAAACAATTCATAAAAAATGTGTAGTTTATTAAATCCTCCATGATTCATGAACGATTGAATATGTATTCTGATATAATTTGAGCAAATTATCTTTTTATTTTATCTTTACAGAGCGTCCAGTCCACATCACTCAGCCACTGCAGGATGTTGAGGCTCATGAGTCTGGGGAGGTGACCTTTCTTTGTGAGCTGTCTGGACCATCTGAGGTCACATGGAGGAAGGCTGGGCGAGTGATGGAGGCCGGCGATCGGGTCCATATGTGGCAGGAGGCCAACACGGCAAGACTCACAATCCTTGGTGTGACCCTGGAGGACAAAGGAGAATATTCGTGTGACATTGGGAGTGACAGCTCTACTGCCAAGCTCATCGTAAAAGGTTTGGCCACTCTTAATTTTTCATGAAAATCAATTAAACCACAGAATATGTATATTATAGCTATTAAGCTTTTGTTGTGTTTCACATCCAACAGAGCTGCCAGTCCAGATCTTGGAGCATCTACAGAATGCTGAAGCTGTGGAAGACAGCTCTGCAACTCTGTCCTGCCGCTTCTCCAAACCCAGAGTGGATGTGGAGTGGAGGAAGGACTCCCATCCCATTCAGCCAGATGATAAATTTGAAGTGCACCAGAAGGACTTCACTGCAAGTTTGACCATTCGCAAACTGGCGCTGGAGGATGCGGGAAGCTACAGCTGCCTGGCCGTGGATCAACAGAGCACAGCTTCTCTCATTGTGTGGGGTGGGTTAAGCTCCAACTTCATTGTTTATATTGAAGGCATACATAAATTATGAATTGTATGACTTTCATATGTTATTCCTTCATGGAATGTGTTCACAGAGAAGCCAGTGGTATTCACGAAGGGCCTGCAGGATCTGACAGAAGAGGAACTCGGAGAGGCTGTGTTTGTGTGCGAGGTGTCCAAAGAAGGGGCCGCAGTAACATGGCTGAAACATGGTGGGGTGCTTTACCCTGGAGCAAAGTGTGAGATGAGTCAGGATGGAAGAGCAGCCAGACTGGTCCTGCATCACTTGGGGCTGCACGACGCTGGGCAGTACTCCTGCGACACTGGCCACGATGTCACCACCGCCAAGCTTAATGTCACAGGTGATTTTTATTGGTCGTTTTGGTAAAAGAAAATAGGACAATGTAAATTATATATTTGCACTTTTGACCCCACCGATAATGTAATGTAATTTATTTTCAGAACCCATCATCTCTATCATGAAGGCCCTGAAAGACTGTGAGGTGTTTGAGCAGGGCTCGGCTCTATTCACTTGTGAGATCTCCCACGCTAATGTGAAGGAAGTCAAGTGGTCGTTGGCGGACACACCGCTACAGAACAACGAGCTCAATGAAATCAATGTCATAAATGGCAGGACCCACGTGCTGACTATAAACCACCTCACGGTGGAGGAGAGTGGCACTGTCAGCTTCAGTGCAAGGAATGCAACTTCCTCTGCTCTACTCACTGTCAAACGTAAGCTTTTTAAATTCATAACAAGCGTTAATTTTTCTATTTTTAATCAATATCTGCCCATAAATTACACTTGCTTTTAATTTTTTCCAATGTTTTAAAAAAATTTCTGTAAAGCAATATGTTTGAATAATTGGTTTAATTGAAATTATTATGTTGTATCCACAGATCGTCCAGTCCACATCACTCAGCCACTGCAGGATGTTGAGGCTCATGAGTCTGGGGAGGCAACATTCCTGTGTGAGCTGTCTGGACCATCTGAGGTCACATGGAGGAAGGCTGGGCAAATGATGGAGGCCAGCGATCGGGTCCATATATGGCAGCAGGACAACACGGCAAGACTCATAATCCTTGGTGTGACCAAGAAGGATGGAGTGGAATATTCCTGTCATGTTGGCAGTGACAGCTCGTCTGCTAGGCTGAGTGTAAAAGGTTTGTCAATACAAAATGTAATCTTCGAAAAAATGACGTTACATGTGTAAGTTATTGTTTTGAAACTGGTCTTATTGTTCATATCCAACAGAGCTGCCACTTCAGATCATGGAGCATCTACAGAACGTTGAAGCTGTGGAAGACAGCTCTGCAACTCTGTCCTGCCGCCTCTCCAAACCCAGAGTGGATGTGGAATGGAGGAAGGACTCCCAGCCCATTCAGCCAGATGATAAATTTGAAGTGCACCAGAAGGACTTCACTGCAAGTTTGACCGTTCACAAACTGGAGCTGGAGGATGCGGGAAGCTACAGCTGCCTGGCCGGCGATCAGCAGAGCACGGCTTCACTCATTGTGTGGGGTGGGTTCAGCTTTCAAAAACAACTTTAATTTTCAAAAATGTGTTTCATTCATATTATTTATATTATTTTAAATTTTTGTTCATCCATGATATTTATTTGTACAGAGAAGCCAGTGGTGTTCACCAAGGGCCTGCAGGATCTGACTGAAGAGGAACTCGGAGACGCTGTGTTCGTGTGCGAGGTGTCCAAAGAAGAGGCCCCAGTAACGTGGCTGAAACATGGTGGGGTGCTTTACCCTGGAGCAAAGTGTGAGATGAGTCAGGATGGAAGAGCGGCCAGACTGGTCCTGCATCACTTGGGCCTGCACGACGCTGGGCAGTACTCCTGTGACACTGGCCACGATGTCACCACCGCCAGGCTCAATGTCATAGGTGTGTCTAATTGCACACTTCATTGGCCATACATAATAAATGGGTTTGTTTCATATTGAGACTTTTATTCTCACTGTGGCCTTTATTCCAAGCTTGGTGCACGTGTACCACAGTGTGTACTTGAATTCACTTTGCTAGAGTGCATGTCATGTCTGTTTGTCCTGAGGGTGACCATGGGTTGTTGTTTTTTGTATTTTCTAGAGCTTCCCGTGGAGGTGCTCGGCTGCATTCAGGATGTGGAAGTTACTGCAGGTGAGAGAGAGTGGCTTGTGTTTTTGTTCCCTGTGTTAAGGGTTACGTAGCCGTTATTGTATTCACAGTAGACGGACCTCTCACTGCGGTGCTGTCTCGCCGGCGTGTTCTGTGTCCAGGCGCCTGTGCTGCGTTCGAATGCACACTGTCGAATCGGTGCGCGGACGTCGAGTGGTGGCTGGGTGACGTACGGTTGCAGGACAACGAGCTTAACCAAATGAGCGTTCGTGATGAGCGAACCCACGTGCTCACCATGGTGCAACTCTCCCTGGAGGACTCTGGCACTCTCACCTTCCGGGCCAGAGGAGCCTCGTCCTCCGCCACACTTACCGTTAAAAGTAAGGCACTCATTACTCACACAGTAATTGCCACAAATTAAACACGATACCTTGTTGATTTTGTCAAGGAGCATAAATCATCACGTGAACTCCGGTTATCCTCGTAGCAGCTTTTGGCTCGCCATTCAACAAAGATGGTCACTGCATTTCAGGCTTTTAGATACGCTTCTGTGGCCATCTGGAATATAAAAAAAGCCACGAAAGTCATGCATTTTAAAATCTAGATTTAAAACTCATTTCATTAGAAATAATTTTTTTGTCAAGGTTGTTGTCCTTCTTCCACACTTCCGATTAGTGTGGCTGGCTACCTCCAGTGTGAAAGAAGTTCAACATACATACATACATACAGTCTGTCTTTAGATTGACATAGATGGAGTCATCAGTGAATCGCATACAGAACATCCTATGGCAGAGGCAGTTATATTCTACAGCATTGGACAATTACGAATCGCCTGCAGTGTGACTGTGGTCACCAATTTAAAACCATAGACCACAAAGCAATGCCACTGCCCACTTCGATCATTCGCCGGCAGCGGTTCAAATATTCATCAGGCTACTCCTGAAACCTTGACATAACAAATAAACATTGCAGATCAACTCCCCTACATAGGCAGAAGAATGGTCAGTTGAGATTCTTAATATTTTTTTGCCAAGCTTCATGAAATGTAAGGTTGCTTTAGTGTACGTTTTTGGACCAACATATTCCCAGACTGAGCTTTGTTGGCTTTGGCGAGCAAAGGGGATGAGTGTGCGGTCCGCGCCCTTCACACTTTGTCGGTGATCTGTTGCTACGCCTGCAAGGGCGTCCTGTGCTGGTGGTGGAGCCGCTGCTCCCAGTCACCGTCGAGGAGACGGATGAAGCCACTCTGTCCTGCCGCCTCTCCGAGACGGCCCCCGTGAGCTGGAGGAGAGAGGCCTCGGTACTGGAGCCCGGCGACCGCGTGCGCATGGCGGTGGACAGCGAAGGCACGGCGAGCCTGCGGATCGCACCGGTGGCGGTGGACGACGCGGGCGTCTACACCTGTGAGACGCAGGATGACAGCACCTCTGCCCCTCTTACCGTCACAGGTGAGGGATGCGAGTGGAGCACAGCCAGTGCGAGGATCACAAATGAATGACTCTTACGGGGTTTTTTATCAATCACGGTTGTTGAGCACAGGCTGAAATGTCAAAAATTCCGAACAGCCAGCAAGAAAGGGCACGAGCAGTTGTAAGAACTTGGCGGAAGAGATGATGGGAGGGGATTCCAAAGTCTTGTATTGCAAGGAGAGAAGCAGAAAGGGAAGTGTCGTGACCTGCAGTGTGGTGGTTGAACACAGTATGAGTGAGGCAAAACAGTCAGTCTGGTAGACCTCAACATGGGTGGAGGAATAAACGAGTGCACATCATTTGAACAATTACGATGGTACAAAATGGGACCTTTTTGCCAACATCAAAGTATGAAAAACAATAAGAATAGGGTTTACCCTTTCTAGCAATAACACAGGTGTTAAGATGTTCAAACACCAAATAGAAACCTTTTATAAAGAATCAAGTCTGCATTAACCACATGTACTTGTGGCGAACATGCAAACAAACATGCTCTGATAATTATCAATGCATTCTCTTTGAAACTGCTCACCCCGAGCTATTAATTATCTGGTAGTGCATTGTCTCTGTACTGTTCACCTTGTGGCGTTCTCTGGTCTCTGGTCTGACGCTCGTGAGACTAGGCCCTAAATAAGGCTGTCTCTGGTGTCGGGCAATCAGTTTCAAAGACAATGCACACATTATCAGAGCATGTTCGTTTGCATGTTCACTACAAGTACGTGTGGTTAATGCGGACAGGATTCCTTGCAAAATGATTCTATTTGGTGTTTGAATATCTTAACACCCGTTTTATTGCCAGAAAAGGTAAAACCCATTATTCTTTTTCTTTCATAATAACCGTGGTAGTAGCGATAGAAGAGCGATAGGGAGGTGACTGACCGTCATTGAGCGAGTGACTGGAGTAAATCCGTGAGTGCTGGATCGTTGTATTCGAAGCTCGTTCTCGTGAGTAAGGCTTGAGGTGTAGGGAAAGCTGGTACCGTTTACCACAGAGTCGCGTGCTGACACACGCAAGCCAGAGGTGATACATTTCTTGATCCTCAGAAAAAGTAGCCGCCTTCACGGAGGGCCTGAAGGACCTCGTGCAGGAGGAGAGGACGGAGGCGACGCTGGCGTGCGAGCTATCGCGGGCGGACGTGCCCGTCGCGTGGAGCAAGGACGCGACGCCGCTCCCGTCGGGGCACAAGCATGGCTTCCTGCGCGACGGCTGCTCGGCTGTGCTGCTCATCCCTGAGCTGAGCCTGTCGGACGCCGGGGAGTACTCCTGCCACACGGGGCACGACCACACCTCGGCGGTGCTCACCGTCACGGGTGACTTTCGCACGCGTGCGCGCTCGTGGCTTCCGTTGGGGGGGGAGAGGTGGCGCAGTGCTTTATGTAATGTGCCTCGAACCCTGTGACTTGGGTTCGGTTCCTGGCCACGCGTAGAACGGGTTCTGGGACTCCCCTAGTTCGACTCAGCCTCACATGAGTACCTAGTGCGATGTTTAAACATCCCACCAGGGAGACAAAAGCGGCCGGGCGTGGTGCTGGCCACCTACCCCCTTCGTGTGCCGTGCCAGCCTTCATAGGTGCTCACTAACAGCACTTTCCCCAACAATTTGTTAAGGCTATACGGGGGATATTTGTCTTTGTGATCAATACCACTCTCCATGATTTAAAAAGAAAAAAGGGGGTGATTTTTGTCTTCAACGGCAGTGGCACTCACGGCGATGACCTGCCGGCAAAGCATCAGAAAGAATAGTGACCGAGCTGACTGCTGTTGACCCCTTGTTGCAGAGAGGGACATCCAGATCGTGCAGCAGCTGCAGGACACGGAGGTGTGCGAGGGCGAAGCGGCGTGCTTCACCTGCGAGCTCTCCCATGAGCACGTCGATGACGCACGGTGGATGCGGGGAGAAAGACGGCTAGAGAGCGACGCGAGTCACGAGATCACGGTGGAGGGAAGGACCCACAGGCTCGTGCTGCTCAGCCCAGGCCCGCAGGACGGAGGCCCCGTCGGCTTCTGGGCTGGCCATGCGGCCAGCTCGGCGATGCTCACCGTGAACAGTACGCTTGGCTCGGTGCAGCCGCCACCTTTCTCCTGTGCAACGTCGCCACGTGTTAGTTGGGCCATCGTGTCAGATAGGTGGTCAGTAGATGGCAGTTCAGAAAGTCGGTTTGTGAATTTGTCTGTGCGGGACTTCAGTGGTATCCGCTCCGTATATTTCAGTTTCCTCCCCCTATGAAATATGCCCTTGAAAAGAAAGGACAAACATCCGTGTAAAACCTTCCCTGGATAAATAAACGATGTTAATGTTGTTTTATCCACCAATGGCCATCAGCTCAAGAACGGCCGCGACTGAAGCACTCAACACGAGTGACCGTTCCCTGTCTCCCTCGGCAGAGCGGCCGGTGAAGGTGGTGGTACCACTATCAGACACGGTGGCGGAGGAGCGGTCCTCGGTGACCCTCGAGTGCGAGCTGTCGGAGCCGGCGGCCGTGTCGTGGCTGCGGGACGGAGCGGCGGTGCCACCCAGCGAGCGCGTCGTCACGGAGCAGCACGGCTCGCTCGCGCGCCTCGCCATCCGCCACGTCGCGTTGGACGACAGCGGCATGTACACCTGCAAGAGCGGGGATGCCGTCACCACCTGCATCCTCGGGGTCACAGGTTGAATGCCCACCGTCAGCGCTGCCCGCGTTAACGTCGCACCGCTCCGGCACGGACAGCAGGCCTACACAATATAAACAGCACACAGCACCTCCAGCAGACAGCACGAGCAGCCGACAATGTGAACAAAATATAAATGCACACGTAGCACTGGCATGGACAGAAGATCGCACAGACAGCAGGCGGCACAGGCAGCAGATAGCACAGACAGCACAGATAGCAGACGCCAAAATCATCGTGCCTCCTGGCCTGCTGAAGAACACATCAAAGCGAGCACTGTTTTTTGTGTGTTTTAGCGATTTGATCAGTGTGCCTTAAGTAGTCAATCAGCAGCGTGGAGAAAGCTGCAACTCACACGGGCGTCCCTCTTTTCAATCTCTCCGTTGGGCGAGGCAGCGTGGCACACGGAGGTGCGGCGTGGCCTGTCGGACGTGAGCGTGGCGCCGGGAGAGCCGGCGCACTTCTCCTGCCAGTTCAACCGCGCGCTGCCGCCCGCGGAAGTGGCGTGGTTCGTGAACGGCGTCGCGGTTGGGGCGGAGGCCGATGCGTCGCCCCTGTGGGAGCGGAGACAGGAGGGCGCCACCTGCTCCCTGCTGCTCCACTTCGCCCAGCCCCAGCACAGCGGGGAGGTGAAGTGCGAGGCGAGGGACGCTGTCTCCCGCGCCACCCTCACGGTCTCCGGTAAGCGCACGCTCACGCGCCTGCGCTAAGCACACACTTAACCTGGCCGCACGGTCGAAACACGCACGCCAAACATAGTCTCGGCAGGCGTGTGCACTCTACACAAGCTCAACCTGGGCACACTCTAATTCAGGGGGCGGTAACCAAAATATCGAGAGCGATTTCTTTTCAAATTTGGTATAAAACGGAATATTTCAAGAGCCTCAATGCATGTGACTACGAGCCGATCCTTAAGGAGCCGCATGAGGGTTGCCCACCCGTGTTCTCGATGCACAATATAGGCACACACTCTCGACACACACCCGATACAGGAATTCCCCTACGTGTGCTCGCAAGCGCGCACCTCAGAGTCGCGCAGGGTGTCACAAAGCTCATCTTGCTCGCAGTGAAAATTAAAGTTGTAATTTGGAAATGAGGAACTCGCTTATTTCTGGATTAGCACTCTTCCACGAAGCACCGTCAGGAATCCCTCAATGAGCAAAGCAACGGCATTGCTCTGAGGCTCCGTGCGCATCCATTTTCCATCGGCCCCCCTCCCCCCCCTATCCTCTCACAGCGGGGCCCCCCGAGCCGCCCGAGGACGCCGAGGTGATCGTCGTGACGAGGCACTCGGTCACGGTGTCGTGGGTGGCGCCGCAGGCGGACCGTGGCAGCAGGGTGACGGGCTACTGGGTGGAGATGTTCCCGTCGACAGACAGGTGCTGGATCCCGTGCCACGGGCAGCCCCTGCGGAGCACCCGGCTCACCGTGCAGAACCTCCTCCCCGACATCTCCTACTGCTTCCGCGTCTTCGCTGTCAATCAGCATGGCCGCAGCAAGGCCATGCAGCTCCCGCAGAGCGTGCGCCTCGGTGAGCCGCGGCACCTCGCTCACACGGCACCCCGGCGGCGGCGCGCTCGCCCATCGACGCACAGATTCGCAGATCGACTGGCAGGCCGGCCCTGGTTATCACAGCGATGATTTACGAGGACATCAACACGTGCCAAGTGCTTGCCGGTGTAACACTCCGCTACTCCTGATGCGGTCATCTGGCTTGACCACCTGAATGTGAAATTGTAGTAGTTGCGCTGCATCTACGTCAGCCATGGGAAAGATGTGACATAATTCAAAAAGGGTAGGCGATTACGTGCCCAGCGTCATGGTACAAATTTGCGTAATTCGAAAACTTTGCACTGCAAATTGGGATTAAGTACAGCAACATCACCCCCTGCACTGAAACTCCTGCTGACTATGTGAAAAACAGCACCTTCGTGATAGCTTCGCGCGACGAGAATGGTGAAAATATCAAATGTACGAAATGCTTTTTATCTGAGTTGACTTTACATCCATGCGATTTCCACGGTTGGCTGTGTAGCTGCTGCTATTTGGAGATGGAAAATGTTTGTGTTTCACTGTGGACGGCTGTACTTAAAAGAGTAAGCGCAGAGTTGCTCGTGCCATCCCCTGCTCAGTTAAAGGGTACATATTTGATGTTTGCACCTTCGAAAAACCAGTAGTGTTGGAGCTGCGGGCATAACACAATCTTTCCATTGAGCCTCCTGCATCCAGCAGAGACTGGCGCAGCAGTGCCGGAATTCTGCTGAGCGTGGCGCCGCCACCACCGCTGTGTTGTGTGTAGAGTACACGGAACGCTCACCACGGAGCGCCGAGGTGGAGGAGAAGGAGCAGAAGCAGCGGGAAGAGCAGCAGGAGGTAGGTCCTTGGCTACTGTGTGCGATGAGCAAATATCACCCCGGACCACTACACGGAAAGCACCAACCTGGTTCCACTTCTCGCACAAGAGGTGATTTTTGCCTTGGTTGCTTATGGGGCCACTGACTCTTAGTCTATCACTCAACCCCTCTAGCCATCTCGAACCATCGCTTGTGTCATCCGTTGCTTATATGTTCTTGGTCTGTCATGCCTGCCCGCTGTGACGTTATATAAACTCCTACCAGCCACGGTGAAATTGAAAAACCAGACATGGTGAAAATGACATCTGTCCGGCCCCACCTGGCTTGAGCTTTGCAAGACGCCAGAGAGAGTTCAATGAGACCGCCGTGTTCAGATGAAGGCCTGGCCTCGACGGGGGCCGAGTGAGTTGGCGGGTGGTGAGACGGGGTAGGGTGGCGCGAGTTGGTGGGCAGCGAAGTGATGGAGAGCCCCTGCCCGTGCGCGTGCCAGGCGGTGTTTCGCGACTACAGGAGCCAGAAGGAGCAGGAGCCGCAGGCGGAGGCAGGCGACGCTCAGGGGCCCGTTCTGCTGGAGCCCACTCGCACCAGCCTCCGGCGCTTTCTCATCACGCGCCAGTCCACCGAGGAGTCCTACACCGAAGAGGTGCAACAGCATGCGCGCGTGCACACAGCTACGCACGCAAACGCACAAGGTGTGCAGAAGCCGGAGGTGTAATACCCCTGAGGCCATTTTGTTTCCTGTAGGACATTGCCTTCGATGTCACCGATTTCAATGGCTATGCTTTCCAACTGAGGTTGAAAACATTTATATGCATCAGCTCTGTCATCCAGTCATAATGGGGGGGGGGGGACACGATAACTCCCGTAGAGATGATCCGATGTGAACCAACCTGCAATGAAAAGTTATTTTGCTTTTAGGGACCTTGTTGAAAACCGACCACATAGATTTAAAGATTATTGCCCAAAATTTGGAGACACAAACCAGAGCAAATATGCAGACGCATTACTCCCACCGAGAAACCCTGTCAGCTTCCATACCGCTACGTAAATACTGGGCAAAACGTTACATAATCCACGCACGTTAACGAGCCTCCTCAACCCGCTGGTTTTACGGTTGACAAGGGCACGCGGTGCCGCTCGCTCTGACCCATGGACGAGAGTGACGAGGTGCTTCCCGTCCGCAGCCGAGCGAGGCCACCCCCGAGGCTGAAGACGAGACGCAGCAGGAGCAGCAGCTGACGTCGGAGCAGACATACCGCGAGGACGAGCACTACATCTACATCACCTTCCTGGACGCGGGAGAGGCACACCTGGCAGCCGGGAGCTTCCGCAAGCTCTTTGGACTGCAGGTTACCAGCGTGACAAGTCGCATGATCGCCCCCGCCAGTCTATTTTCCTTTAACAATGAGATGTGTGTTTCTGTTTTCGTATACTTGGCCATCATCCAACAGTGGACTGATCATCACTGATGTTGATTTACTTTAGTGATAGCCAGATCTTCCCGCTTCATCGTAATGGTTATCCATGTAGCTGTCGTTTGTTTGGCCTGGATCCTTGGCAGATCCTTTGATGATACAAGCGACGCTTCCCAAGCGACGGAGCTTGAGAACTCCTGCCCCTCTCCCCTTCACTTTGTGTGAATGAACCAGTAGATCACGTACGTATGAAACGTACGCAGTCTGATGTAATCATCTGAGTGTGGGAGATTGATCGCCGCGGTCTGTACGCTCTGCGACGGTGCGAGTGGGTGGAGGGCGTGCTGCTGACTGTGCCGTGGCGGCGCGGTGCACAGGGCTCGCCGGTGGAGGTGAACCTGCTGGAGAAGGGTCCCGGCGGGGCAGCCGAGGTGCGCGTCAGCAAGCAGCCCGTCCTGCCGAGCCCGGCCACCAGGCGCCGCCGCCTGCTCCTCGGGCACGTGCTGGCGCATTCGTGCCCGAGGCTTCCCACGGAGCATGGCGAGCACAGCGCCAGCGGGCAGAACGACAGCGGTAGGCGAGCAAGCGGCCTGTGCAACGGGGCCCCTTTCTGTTGAAGGGCACCCACGCATGCACTGTCGGTGCATCAACAGCAATGCCCGCGAGGTGTGGGACTGAACATCGAATAGCGGAGCTGTACCGTTGCCACATGGCTTGTAAATAACAGTGGGAAACGTACAATTACTAAGCTGATGTATGTTGTGACGCAGTGGTTGGTGTTGATGTATGTTGCGATGCGATGGTTGGTGTTGATGTATGTTGTGTCTTTGTCGGGCAGCACCCTGGTTTCTGCGGAAGCTTCGGAGCCAGGAGCTGCTGCTGCGCCAGCAGGTGACGCTGCACTGTGCCGTGGCCGGACTACCCACCCCCGTTGTGCGCTGGTACAAGGACGGGCGGCACCTGGAGACGAGCAAGCACTACGAGATCAGCGCCCGCGAGGACGGGAGGCACCGGCTCGTGATCCAGGCGTGCGGGCCCCAGGACGCCGGCGTGTACCGCTGCGTGGCCGAGAACCGCGCCGGCATCGCCTCCAGCCGTGCGGAGCTGCACCTGGACGGTGAGCTACGGATTTGCCGATCGCACCCTCTTATTTCTCGGTGGGTCGTCGAGCGCAATGTTACCAAAGGCACTTCGCCGGGGGTTTGGTGCGAGCGAGAAGCGCGTTCTGGAAAACGCCATCGCCGGCCGTTGTGCCCTAGTGACGTCGTCCGTTGTCCCCGCAGCATCCGGGGACGCCGGTGGAGCGGGCCTGCTTGCCGCTGCTGGTGCTACTTTAACGAGGTGAGCGCGGGTCGCAGGACTTTGTACCAGCATCCAGCGCTGCCTCGGTGCGGCAGTCGTCGCAATTAGGACGGCAGGGTAGCACGGTGGCCATACTCGTGCCTCATGGCGAGAAAGACCTGGGTTTGATTCCCGAATGGGTGCCTTTTTGTGTGGAGTTTGTATGTTCTCCTCCTGTTCTTCAGCTTCTCTGGTTTCTTCCCATAGCTAAAACAAATCCACTGCAGCTGAACTTAGCCAAACATCACAATGGTGAAAATTTTACTGCAAATGACTCAATTGGGGTTACATTTAACAAGCTCACTTCCTACTGCTAAAAACTTGGCAGGACCCTCCTGAAAAAATTATCTCGTGACTCTGTGAGACCTTGCTGGGTGAACGGCTCTGTGTGCCTCTCGCTCGCAGGGACCAATCGGAGAAGGTTCTTGAGTCTCAGGTGGAGGAAGAACCTCCCCAGTTTACACAGGAACTGCAAGACACGTATGTGTCCGCTGGCGCTCAGAACGTCAGCCTGTCCGTCAGAGTCACAGGTGGGCGCGCCACGCACACGCACCACGCACACGCACGACAGCAGCCGCGGCGCCGCTCAGCTCGCTGGTGCTTGTTAGCACGTGGGTGCCGGTCTCGCTGCACTGTGGATCGTTTAGAGTCGGTGGTCCCGTGCGTGTCTGGACGTCTACGAATGTGTCCTATGTCTGCATGAGTGGGTTAGGGCTCTGCCTCTGAGTGTGTCTATGTTTATGTGACTGTGTCTCTGTCAATTTCACTGTGTCCTTGTCTTTTTGTCTGTCTCTTCTTGATTGTGCCCTTGTCTGTGTGTCCATATCAGTACGTCCGTGCCAACGTATCCTTATACTTGCGTGTGTGTCCATGTCTTCATGTTGGTGTCCATGTGTCCTGTCCTGCAGGTTCTTTTTGTCCACGTCTGTGCGTCTATTGCGTTGTCTTTGTGGTCGTGCAGTGGTTAGCGCTATGCTGCACTACAAACCCGGCGACCCGCATTCAATTCCCGCTCATGGTTAACACCAGTGACGATTATCTGAACCGGTCCTGGCCTCCGTTAGGTCGATCCAGCCTAAAATGAGTACCTGGTGCGGTGTGTAAACATCCTCCCTAGAGAGACAAAGGTGGCCGGACGTGGTGCTGGACACCCACCCCCTCGTGTGGCATTCCGGCCCTCAAAGGTGCTCGCTAACAGCACTTGGCCCAACAGCCTATTAAAGCTGCGCGGGGGATATTTGTCTGTTTGTTGTGCCCATGTCGGTGTGAGCGACCGTGTCCGTCCGCCCTGGTATTCCCGTCTGCATCATCGCTGCGTGCGCTCTCGCGCTCCCCGCCCCGCACGGCATGCAGGCTCCCCGGCCCCGCGGCTCTACTGGTTCAAGGACGGGCGGCCTCTGCCCAGCTCCCTGCGGCTGCAGGTGTGTCAGGTGGGCACGCGGCACGTGCTCACGATCGACCCCCTACTGCCCGAGGATTTCGCGGAGTACGCCGTGTGCGCCAGCAGCATGGCCGGCTGCGTTTACACCTCGGCCTTCCTCCTCCTGCAGGGTCAGCCAAACGCCACCAGCAGCTTCTCCACTGCCCACAACTCACCAATAACCTCCCACCCCTCACCTCCCACCCCTCACCTCCCCCTCACCTTCCACCCCCTCCCCCCCCCCATCTTCCCCCCCCTCACCTCCCCCCCTCACCTCCCACCGCTCACCTCCCCCCCTCACCTCCCACCCCTCACCTCCCACCGCTCACCTCCCACCGCTCACCTTCCACCCCCTCACCTCCCACCCCCTCATCTCCCCCCCTCACCTCCCCCCCCCCTCACCTCCCCCCCTCACCTCCCACCGCTCACCCCCCCCTCCACTCCCCCCCCTCACCTCCCACCGCTCACCTCACCCCCCTCACCTCCCCCCCTCACCTCCAACCGCTCACCTTCCACTGCCACATTTTGCACCCTGATCTATTGGTTACTGAATGAGGGATTCTCTCAATGTCGAGAGATAGAATTTGAGAAGCACTTCATTGTGTGTGTGCGTGTGTGTGTGTGGTGGATATTGTGTCACCTTCCAGCCCCAGAGACTGCGGAAGCAAAGGCAGAAGTGAGACCCAAGGGTGAAGGTGAGATAAGATGAACAATAATGGCCGTGACACACACACTCACACACACCAACTTCTGCAACAAATCAGACAAGTTGCATGTAGCAGTTTCCACGAAGAGACTCTAATAATACATTTGAGATATCAAATGGCAAGAGACTTGTGGGTCGCCCAAAACGTTAATTCAAGGACGTCTGCACACGCGTGAATCTCAAAAGACTCTGACATCAACGTCAATGAATGCGAAGTTCTGGCAAGAGAAAGGCGCACGGGATCACGGCACAGCTCCCCCCATACGAAAGCGTGCCCTCAGCGCAAGGCACCGTCAGGCAGCCTCGTCAACAAACAGAAGTCATCAAGCCATAACAGGACCGCAGCCAATCACAGATGCGACAAATGCAATAGCAGCTTCTGTCGTCTCAGGATCGGCCTTTTCAGTCGTTGCAGGAGACGTGCAAATACTTTAAATCCTTGCGAAAAAGTGAAACATGAAAACCCATTGTCATTCTGCTGACGAATGGACGCCGTGGAATATGCTTATCCAGGAAAGCCTCGCTGCGTCTCGAGGCTATTTTAAAGGATGCTCCTGCACCAGGATGTTTAGCCAATTATATATTCAGGAGCGTTTATGTCAGCGTCTGCACATTGCTTTCATATTTAGATGTTTTATGAATACAAACTGCATCAAACTGTAGCCAATAAAACGTGGAAATTGTGTAAACTATGACACAGCCATGGTTGGCCATGGTGCTGATGCTGCCGGGTGCAGGCCTGTGTACGGACACGGGCGTGTGTTGCGTACGTGTGTGTGCGTGGCACAGTTGGCATAGTGCGGGGCACAACTGGTGCATCTGCCAGTCATCTCAGTCAACCCATGGCACCTGGGTCTGTCCCGTGACCTCCTGTCAGGGAGCCTTTGCCGTGGGGATGTCACCGCCACTTAGTGGCGAATGGTGGCTGTTGTTGTGTGTGCGTGTGTGTGTATGTGTGGGGAGTGGTAGGGTAGCTGTTAGTGTGCTGCGCTACGAACCTGGCGAACCGGATTCGACTCCCGCTCACGGCCAACACCAGTGACGATTATCTAAACCGGTCTTGGGCCTCAAATGAGTACCTGGTGCGATGTGTGAACATCGCAACTAGGGAGACAAGGGCGGCCGGGCGTGGTGCTGGCCACCCACCCCCTCGTGTGCCGTGCCGGCCTTCATAGGTGCTCGCTAACAGCACTTGCCCCTACAGTCTGTTACAGACCACACGGGGGATCTTTGTCTTTATCTTTCTGTGTGTGTGTGTGTGCGCGCGGACTGCCGTTCCCAGCGCTGGAGAGTCTGTTGCCACCGCGGTTCCTCGAGAGGTTCACCAACAGGCGCGTGCCGTGCGGAGCGAGCGTCACGCTCGGCGTCATCCTCGAGGGTACGGGGACCCGGCCCTCCCTCGCCTCCACCAGGGGTTCACCCCGCGTCCCCCAGCCCCCAGTGACGGCCTCTGTGAGGTTGCAGCCAGCGTATTGTATAAGCGTGTTTATACACGACCATGATGATGATGATTTATATTCCCCATCTCTTATGTGTGGTACACAGTTTTATAAATGCATCGTGAGTGCAAAAATACATGTCAGCCAAACAAATCTTCATCGTTAGACATTTTACACACAGCAGCAACAACACACCTTAAGCCATTCTCATTCTGCTGCTGGATGTAATCATCCGCATGGTCCACCACTGCAGGTGACGCTGCTGCCAAAGGTCGTCTGCGGGAGGCACCCGGCAGGGGAACATGTGGAGCCCCCTGCCATGCCGTGCCACCCTCCCCCCCTTCACAACCCCCTCACCGCCCACCTCGTGACGACGCAATCAAAATGCCGGTCGGCGTGTTCCCCGTGCGCCCAGGCTGCCCGGAGCCGCTGGTGACGTGGCTGAAGGAGGAGTCCCCAGACAAGGTGCACCGGATAAAGGCGACGACGGAAGGGTTTCGTCTGACGAGCAGCGCGCCCGCACACAGCCTGTGCATTCCGCGGGTGGCACCACACCACGCCAGCAGCTACACCTGCATCGCCAGCAATGCCGCGGGGCAGGCCATCTGCACGGCGAACGTGGAGGTGCTGCCCGGTACGCCTCGCGAGGGCGCCATCCAAACCGGCACGGCGTTGTCGTCTTTAAAGGAGGGTGCAGATGTCAATCGGCTGAGCATTGAAGTCACCCACGGCTCGAGGCAGCCGGCCGCCTGGCACGGAAGTCATAGCGCTGAGCTGGCGCGGCCAAGGTCCTGGGTTTGAACCCAGGCGGCCACCTGTGATTAAACTGGGCTCTTGAGTTGATGGTTTCAGCCCAGTCACCAACGAAAGACCATCTCGTTCAATTTGGCATTGCGTATATTTTGCCGAAATTGCTGGTCTGAGAATGAAACTGTCGGTTTGACTGCCATGCGATGGGCATTACTGTCATGGCGGAGTGGCTGCCCTCGACTGTGACGCGCAAGGCGTATGCGCGACGCTGGGGGGGGGGGGGGGGAGGGTCGTTGGGGTGGTTGCGGTGGTCTTGACGCAATGTCACCGTTGCTCCTTCAGATCGAGGGTCCAGTGGGGACAGCGAAGTGCGGTCGGCGACGAAACACGAGCATCTCTCTTACATCCTCAAGAGGTGGGAGGGGTGGTGAGAAGTGGGGGGGGGGGGGCTAAGCACATCCACCTCCTTGGTGCCTCCTTTATGCGACGGCACCAAGATCGCATGTGTGTGGACGTTCCGTCCGCCTCGACCTCACCATAAAATGAACAATTTATTTAGATTTGGTCATACTGACCATGGATGAGAGCATTACGTGCCTCAGAAGATTTCTGTGTGGACAGATTTACAAGACATAAAAAGACGACGGTTTAATTAAATAACCAAGACACGGAGCTGTTCACGTCCACGTAACTAAGCAGGAATTCTCTCAAGGTTGGAGATAATGTGCGGCAGCGGTAACGGCCTCATCATGTTGCGCAGGAGCGCACTCAGCAATCCAGTCGCAAATGCCAGTTTAATGATTCTTCTGTTTGTTGTCAGGTCGACAGGAGGTGACGCTGCAGGACAAGTGCCCAAGAAGAGCAGCGGTGAGTCTCGTGTGTGCGGCTGGAATTTGTGAGCTCGTCTGTCCCCAACAGGGATTTGCCTAAGGCCACCGAGCTGCGATTTATCTGGCATTAGCGAGCCACGCGCTTGTCACGTTAACGAGCCGCTCGCGCCCGTGCGCAGATCGGGCCGTGGAGCGCGTCAGGGAGGAGCTGCAGGTGCCGGAAGAGCGAGACTCGCGAGCCTCCAGCCCCATCTTCCTGTCGGAGGAGCTCATCCAGAAGCTGACATCTCAGATCACCGAGATCGTCTCCACGCAGTTTTCTCAGGGTGAGGCGTCGCTCCGGGCTTCACGGGAACCTGGCTTTCCCGTCGCGGCGACTGGTGCGCTCGCAGCCAGGCGCCGGCTAGATGGGACGCCGTGTTTGACCACCGTGCACGGTCTCCCGCAGCGTCCCTGCGCGTGCGCCTACTGGAAGCCGGAGAGGAGGAGAGGAGAGCTCACAGCCCGTCCCCGAAGACCTCCACCCCTCCGCCGCGCCCCCCCGGGCCCGCCGGGGCCACCTCTGAGTCCGAGGAGGACGATTTCCAGCAGCGGGTGCGTTGACCCACGCGCCACACTCGCTCACTCGCAAAACCACACGTTCTACCGCAGACGCCAGGTTCAGCGTCGGTATGGTGTGCATGCATGTCCCCGTTTGTCAGTCCACTGCTGGATGAGGGCCCACTCATTACATGCAAGAAGTGGCGCTTATTTGACCATACTTAACTCTGCTGGTCAGCGAAGGTTGGTGATGGCAGGGAGCGTAGACGTGGGAGTATAAAAGTATGCCCGCTACCCAGAGGGCATTGCAGCTCCACAAACCTATGACAAACTGTTTACGTATAGTGGCCACCCATCCAAGCACTCTCTAGGCTCGGCCCTGATTTGCTTCCTTGATTTGACAGCATTGCGCTCATCCCGGGTGATTTGGTCATAGGTACCAGTTTGTTGCTGCGTGACAAATATTTCCAGCAGAGTCCGGATGCTACCAAATCCACGCCTTGGTACTGCACAAACAACACAGCAGCTTTCGCAGAGTACTCCAGCCTGCAGCTGCGGCGGGAAGGCGTTGGTCGACAGCGATCCAGCTGGGCTAAGACCCGTTAGCCCCCGGAATTCTTGAGAGCTCGGGACACGCGGTGGAGAGAGCTGGACGGTGGTGGGGCTGCCCGCTGTGTTGTTGTGCAGGGCGTGGAGGTGTACGTGCTGGTGGCCGACTACGCGTGGACCAGCACGGAGCGCGCGTTCCTGTCGCTGGGCAGGGGCGAACACGTGGAGGTGCTGGACTGTGCCCACCCGCTGCTGTGGCTCGTGCGCAGCAGGGCCTCAGAGAGCTCCGCGTGCCAGCAGGGATGGGTCTCCTCCGCCTACCTGGAGAGAAAGCCACAGGTAGTTCAAGCACGGCCCAGACGGCTGCTCCCCCAGACATGCCAGCGGGACTGATTCACTGCACTCACTCGCTCACCGGTGATCAGTCGCCTTCTCATCACTCGTCTATGGCTACTACCACGGTTACTGTTCCCGTGAAGTTCACTTGTTCAAGCCTCCATCCATCGCTCATGCTGTGTTCAACCAGTAATTCAGGTCACAACAATGCACTCAATCGTGAACTCGCTCAACTAAACCACCACACTGCAGGTATCTAGACTTCTCTTTCTGCATCTTCCCCCACACCGCTCCACTTTGGAATTAGTAACTGTCATCGGTTACATATTTAATAGTGCTGTTTGTTTCTGGCTGCTTGAAATTTTGGGCCTTTTGGGCCTGCGCTCATAACTGTGTACAAAAAGAAGAAAAAAACGTGAACACGAATGGTTACTTTATTTTCTGTTGTCCACCGTCGCTCGTTCTCTAGACACCATCCACGGGTCGCAAGGAACAACCCATCGAGTAAGTCCACGGTTTTTTACGTCACACACAACTCGAACATTTTTAATTAAAGCTTTCGTGACTGCAGGGATTCATGTTCTTGGTTCTTTCGGTAAAGTCACATAGAAGGGAAATGATAAAATAATAAAATATAAAACAATAAAATGATCACGACGTTTCGACTGCAACACAAGCAATCATCATCAAGTGTGAAATCCACAGCAAATTTTCTTGCTGTGGACCAGCATGGAGCGAAATTTTTTTGCTGTGGATTTCACACCTGATGATGATTGCTTGTGTTGCAGTCGAAACGTCGTGAGAATTGTTTAGTTTAATATTTTTATTATTTTATTATTTCCCTTCCACGTGACTTTACCGAAAAAACCATGAATATAACTCGAACATTGTTCTAAATTTACCCAGAATTGCACCATCGCACACCATTTTTATGTCGGGGGAAAACAATAATTTCCGGCCTCACCGAAAAAGGCTTTAAAGGGCCTCACCGTGCTCCGGAAGCTGCCTGCGCAATGTCACGATCCCTCGTTTGCGTTTCCCGCGGCAGGGTCACCCTGCAGCAGCTGGTGGCGGCGGAGGAGAAGTTTGTGAAGAAGCTATCCTTCCTGGTGTCGCATCACGCGCAGTTCGTGGAGAGTCAGGTCAACATCCCCGCACTGGTCAGGTCCAAGCGGGAGGCCATCTTCAGAAATGTGCAGGACATCCTCAACTTCCACCGACAGTGAGCACTCACTGCCTCCTGCTGCCACCGCCTCGCCAATTTCCTACGCCTGTCGCCGGTTTTCACTGATAGATGTTGGGCAAATTACTCCCAACTCGTTCTCCTTCTGATTGACTGTGGCCTTAGAAAATATTAAAACGTGTAAATAAGCTTTGGTCTTGAATGGAGCACGTTGTTTTTTTTCAAGAAATTTAATCTTTCATCCACGCTATTGATTTTTTTTCAAACGTCTTTTTTATCTCACTGAAGCCGAGCGCATGCCATCTGCCAGCCACGTGAGCAGAGTGCACGTGCAGAGACGCGAGCCGTATGCCGACGGGCGGTTCACGTGTTGTGCTGTGCTCGCAGGGTTTTCCTGCCCAGGCTCAGGGCGTGCAGGGACGAGAGCGACGTGGTGGACGCCATCCTGGGCAGCCGCGAGCAGTTCCAGGTGTATGTGCAGTTCCTGCGCAGCAAGCCGAAGGCCGACCTGCTCTTGCTGAGCGACGCCGTCAGGGTCACCTTTGAGGTAGCTCCACTTTCCCCCAAGCCGTCGGCCACGCGATGAAGCCACGGACCCGCACCCTCAGCTGTCGTGCATCGGTGTCGATTGTCGTCCGTGGGGATTACCTCAAATCTCTCCGATGTTCTCTTCCTGTCTGTGCAGAAATATACCGAGATCCTACGCCAGTCCACACACTTCCCCGAGTCGGTGCTGTCCATACAGAAATACTTGGACCTGCCCCAGGAGCAGCTGCACGTCTATCAGGTGGCACTGAAGGTGAGAGCAGCCGGGCATACGGCTCTGAGAAAAGGGAAGGCGCCCTGTCCTTGTCTATAAAGTCTCGTCAACCAATGAGCCTCAAAACTGATTTTGAGTAGGATCCTGGTGCTGTTTTCCTTTTCACGAGAAAATAGAAAAGAAGTACCTGGGGAAAACACACAGGTATCAAAGGAATAGCAGTCATCCAATCCTAGTTGTTGTACTGCCATCCTGGCCACCTTATAGGGAATTACAGCACAGAATGAAGTCGACCAACCGTTGTCTTCAAGTGCTGCGGGCATGTGTGGCCACCACTTACCGTCCTGGGACACCGCCCACCAACCTTATCCACATTTGTTATCAAGCCAGATAACACGGTTGTCTGGCTTGACCTCCTGAATGTGAAATTGTAGTTGTTGCTCTACATCTACATCAGCTGTACGAAAGAAGAAAAACCCTCAGTGGTCAACAGCCGCAGTGTGGCACAGATCAGCGGTGTCACGCAGCTGCCCTGAGTTGGTCGCTCACGCTGCCACCACCTGCCCACAGGACTTGATCCGGAGGCGCGCGAGTCGGGGCGGCGACTGCCGAGGCCTGGAGGAGGCCTACGGCGTGGTGGCGTCGCTTCCGAAACGCGCGGAGGACGAGATGAAGCTGTCCATGATCGAGGAGGTGCCCACCAACCTCGCCAACCTTGGCCCACTCCTGCGACAGGTACAACAACAACAGCAAACGTGATTCGCCACTAAGTGCACACAACAACCCTGCAGGCACGTGCACACAGCAAACGCTCTCCCATTAGACAGGTGCTCTCAGTCGAGTGAAGCAAGCAGCTTAGTTGCAGAATTATTATTATTCACAAAGTAATTTATTTTTACTTAAATATTTTGTGATATTTGCAGGAGTAAAAGGAACGCCAAAATATGGAGTCATCCTTAAAAATGCTCATATATCTTCTTGGTTCTTTCGGTAAAGTCACGTAGAAGGGAAATAATAAAATAATAAAATAAAACATAATTAAATAATTCTCACTACGTTTCGACCACAACGCAAGCAGCCGTCCTCAGGTGGAGAACAGGTCCGTCAAATAGACAGAGACTTGACGTACCTGTACTCCACCTGAAGGACGGCTGCTTGCGTTGTGGCCGAAACGTCGTGAGAATTATTTTATAGACAGAGACTTGACGTACCTGTTCTCCACCTGAGGACGGCTGCTTGCGTTGTGGCCGAAACGTCGTGAGAATTATTTTATTATGTATTATTTTTATTATTTTATTACTTCCCTTCTACGTGACTTTACCGAAAGAACCAAGAAGATGAATCCCTGCAGTCACGAAAGCTTTAAATCGAAATGCTCATATAATTTCATCGCAATCATTTATATCGTAGTAGTCCACCACAGTGGACATGGTTTCATGAGGGGGTTCAATACTTGCACCATTCATGCGCTTCTGGCTGTGGTCCAAGACGACAAACGCCTATTAATTTAAAAGCATTAATTGAGCCATTACTGAAGGCAGGATCAGTGTTTGTTTTGTTCGTTTGGATGGATTCTCCCACCCCTCCGCCACCATCGCTCACCCCTCCAACCACCTCCGCCGTTGCGAGCACAGGATGTGTTCGAGGCGTGGGAGGGCAGCGAGGCGATAAGCCGACGAGGCCACCGCCGCCACCTCTTCCTCTTCAACAGCCACCTGCTCGTATGCAAGGCGAGGCGTGGAAGCCACTCGGCCTCCCAGGCCTACACGTGCCTGCACGCGCTGCCGGTGAGCGTCGCCGCGCAGTCCCCTCCATTACCCCCGGGAAGCCCTCGGTCGCGGCATCTCCAGCCCTGGCGCGCTCCCGACGTCTGGCAATTGACGGAGAGATGCCCTTTCTCTCCCTCCGTGGCGTCCAGGTGCGGAACGTAGAAGTGAGCGAGGTGGTGGAGGGGCATGAGCGAATCCTGGAGCTGTTGCACGAGCACGAGAGCGGGCTGGACAAGTTCACGCTGCAGGCAGCCAGCGTGGCCCACAAGGACGCGTGGCTTTGTGAGCTGTACCTCCTGCAGGGGCGGCAGAAGACGCAGCAGCAGCCGCAGGATTCACAAGATCCAGCCTGGGGTGCGCATTACCCACCTCACCTGTATCACACACAACACCATTAGCAATATCTGCCTGGCTATGCATGTATACGCACAGTGTGTGTGTGTGTGTCGATGGGTGATACATGTGCACGAGATGTATGTGACCACGCATCCATTAAGCCATCTAAATTTTTCACTCGCATTTCTAGATTCAAATCATTTGAGACAATTGATTATTTTGTATTCGTACTTGACGTGTGCAATTGCTTTACGGGACCCTTACAGCCCCGATGTTCTACATGGACCGCGATGGTGAAGGAACGATTGATTCTCGCATTGAGACAATCATTAAATCGCAAGGGAAGCGAGTCCTGATTTACCCAGCAATGTGTAACACGCATGCAATCAACTGGATTTACACAGCGTCTAAATCAAACCACATCTCGGATTGCTACACAGAAAGTAGGACGCGCACATCACGGTTCTACGTAGACTAATTGTGTTTTATGGGAAGAGACGATCGTCGGCAGAGGAAAAACCAATGGGCTAGAGCAGGGAGCCAAAAACACGGATGTCTGTGTCGCCGCGGCTTCTGCGTGGCCCTGCGCAGGCCCCCCGCGCTTCACCGAGGAGCTGGAGGAGTGCATCGTGCGGGAGGGCGACTCCATCACACTGCGCTGCCACGTGATCGGCACCCCGCGGCCCGTCATCACCTGGTACAAAGGTAAGCCCGGTAAAGCCCGAGCTATATCCCGAACCCTGCCCGTCTTTACCTCGCTCCCATGCATGGATATTTGTTAGGGTCATATACAGCCTTGCAAATACAGTGCTCTATCAACCCACGTGAGCTGTTTGGAAACATTTCACTCTGCTGGTCAGTTGGGGATCTCGAGGACCGCTTCAGCAGTCGCTCGCTATCAGTCTTAACTGTGGCCAGCAATCCAACTTGGGTCGCCAGGATCATAGCACAGTGCGCGAACCCCTGTCTCACCGCTCCAGCCATGCATGATTATGCCGCTCCTATTCACCCATTACTTCATCCGCTGGGCCCCAGAAGCAATTTTGATTGTAGGCAGCGTTACTTTTTAGAGCATTGGCGATTCTCACTACAGCGCTCCCTGATGGCGCAAAGAGAGCATGGGCAAGGCATGAGCAGGGGATGGGCATGGGATTGGGCATGGGATGGCCAGGGCATGGACAGGGCATTGGCAGTGCAAGCGCAGGGCAAGGGCAGCACATGGGCAGGAATGGGCAGGGGATGGGCAGGGGATGGGCAGGGGATGGGCAGGGCATGGACAGGAGATGGACAGGACATGGGCAGGACAAGGGCAGGTCAAGGGCAGGAGATGGACAGGACATGGGCAGGACAAGGGCAGGGCAAGGGCAGGAGATGGACAGGAC